TAGTGCGATACCCTGCTTGCCGAGTGCTTGAGCAGCGAGTAGAGAGGCCCAGAACACTGTCGTCTTGCCCTGACCTGGTGCAATAACTAGAAAGACGTCGCGCCCTTCGATGATGTCAAGTCCGTGTTTGATCTGGAATTCTCGAGGTTGAGAGATCCCGCACTTTCGAGAGAACAGCTCAGCAAGCCATTCAGCATTAATTTGAGGGTCGCCGAGAGAAGACTGAGCAAGTTCCGACATGATCACTACTTTTGACAGGATTTTGACAGAATGAATGCGTGAATGAACGTGCCAGTGTCGAGCGACATGCAGAAAGACACGCTCAGCCTGAGGCGCGTCCTCTGGTCGCGTGGTCGCGTTGTGGCGGTGGCGGCGATATGTTGAAACTCAGCGTTCCCACGGATACACTTCTCACTGGATCCCTAGTTCTTCGCCTCAGCCTAAATCGAACAGCCCGACCGACATTTTGTATTAACGTTCATGATGACGGAGAAACGCTTGCGACTCTATGGGTTTGACGGAAGCGGTGCCTGGTGCTCTGAGTTAGTGGCCTTCCGAGGCCAACGCAGCCGTCACCTCCTCGTCCTCGCTATCCTGGTGTTGTTTTGGTCTGACGGAGCAATCGGCAAAGACTCCGACATCATGTTGGAGCCACAGTCAGGACACACAAGTGCACTCGGCTTCAAGGCGACGATCCGCTTACGGGATTTACCAGTCGTTCCTCGGAGCGATCAGAGCGAGGTCATCACCAACCAGGGGACAGTACGTGCCACAACACAGAATACGGGTATGAAGGTTACGTACTGGATTCGTGACCGTGCCGCACGCGGGACGACTTGCCGGATCGATGGCTATCTCTACGAGACAAACGCCGCCGATCGCGTCCGGTGCCGGCTCCCAGTGCTAGAGCGATATCATGGGCCGTTGTGCTGTGCGCCGAGTGCGGTGAAATTACTTATCTCATTTCGCGATTGCGTTTGTGGTAAGTCGTATGATAAATGCTGGTGATTTTATTGCTGAAGAGCCGTCGGTTAGGATACCGCAACTTGCTCTTGCAACGAGAGATCCTCTATCGTGACGTTAGCATTAACAGCCTAATGTACTTCTGTACTGCCCGAGCATTCAACGCAGGAAAATTATTGACTTGGATTTGGCCGCCGATATCCGCACGCTGTGGACGGTTGGTGGAGCAACCGCAGGCGACTTGCGAGTGGTGAGGATATCTATCCAGCCTCATAACCATAATCATTTACAAATTCATGTCTTCAGAGAACGCGTGTGTTCCAATCTGCGAAAGTACTGTTTACTACTGACAAAAATGTGTCTTTATTTGGCCCTCATGATCACTTGGACGACCTCGAGTCGTTCTTTTACGTTCTCGCATACTACTGTGCCGCACTCGAGGGGCCAACACATGATGTGCAGCCAATTCCGGTCTCACAAGCGAGGCCTTTTCATCGGTGGGACTATCATTGGCTCGACTCGGATGATTGTGCAACACGCAAAGTGAATGCGCTCGAGCACGACATGTGGCTCCAGGCCACCCCTTACATGCAACCTGTATGGCAAGCAGTCTCGAAACGTATAATCCTCTTCCTGAAACCGCGTATCGACGCCATTTCGAAGGCAGGATTTATGGACGAGCCGATTCCGCGGTGGGGAGTGGATCAGCTGGACGAAGTGTCAAAGCATTACGATCAATTCATCGCCACCCAGGATGATGCGATTGAGATGCTCGAGGAACTACAGAGCATTCCTGGCCAACATGTTGAGTGCTCCACTTCTCCTCTTGAAGGTGTCGACTTCGAAGAAAGATGCTCTATGCCACATTTCCGATCGACTACGCCGCGTCCCAGATCGACTAATACTGCACACGATACGAAGGCGTCATCGCATATTCCGCGGCGGGTTCGACTCCTAAAGCCGCTCTCAATAGCAGAGGTCGGTTACTCTACAGGCCGCTCCCGATCGACCACACCACGTCCTCAATCGATTGGCATTATATGCAATGTGGAGGCATGCAACACGGAGACAACCGGCATTCCTCGGCGGGCTCGACTTCCGGCAGAGCATGTCGGTTACTCTACAGACGGCTCCCATTCCCAATCGACCACACCACGTCCTCGATCGATTGGCGTTGCACGCAATACGGAGACAGCCCGTGCTCCATCCTCGACCCGCATTCCCTTGCCAGTGCGGCCACGGCGTGGATGCCCAGTGATGTCCTCGGCAGCAACCTAGTACCGCAAGCTTCACGAAATTCCTCGCGAGTTCGCGCCGGGACGCTTGATCGATAGGAAGTACGCACGAAATGCTTGATACACTTGGTTGGTGTGAGATATCGGGACCATGGAGCGTGAATGTTTCTGATGCTAGTTCGTGAACGGCAAAACTAACAATAACCGAATCTATTCCCTGTGAGGGTATGTGAGCTTTATATACCAGTGATTGTCAGAAAACGCAAAGGAAATGCCCGCCCTTATTTTGCTTCCGTGCTATCAATCCTTCCTGAGGCAATCACGAGACAGGTCTAGAAAGCAAACGAGGATTGCCATCACCATGGATAAAAGAATTTTCGTAGTACTTGTGAGGATTATGATTTTGCAACGGCCCCACGGTTGCAAACTTGATTGTATGGACTGCATGTAAAGGGACAGCGTTTGACCAGGACAGGTAACATAGCAGGAGGGACACGGAAGTGCGAGACTTACATGAGATGGCATTGGAATCTCGACGGCTCGTTCGCGGTGCAGACACAGGCCGTTAACATGCAAAATTGATTCAACCACCGGCAGCACGTCAGAGACAGATCCCCAACATTCACCCGACTCTATTACTCTCAGCGACAGCATTGTCAGGCAAGAGGAGTCCTCGTAAAGAGTACCCGACTTGTCAGGGGTTCGTGCGCGTATGAATAATGTCCATCCAACACTGTCTCTCCGCAGAAATTGGGGAGAGTGAGGATGTTTATATTAACAGTAGTGCCAACGCTGGTACATACAAGATATCACGGATTTTTTGAGACGATTCGGATGCAATAGAAACACGGAGTAGATAGAAAATATAGTGAGTTAACAGACGTGGGACGCGAAAACTGGGAATGAAACTGGAGAGGACATGTTAGCGTATGGGCACATTAAGCTGACCGTACAGACTTACACCATTCAATGCACAGCCAAAGATGCGGTCTTCAGGTGCGCTAACGCACATACCCATTTTTGAGGATATTTGGGTTGATGACTTCAATGGATTCGCGTGGCGTTTCCGGGAACAATGCTGCGAGATAGTCGCTAACCACGGGCCTAGGGGCCTCACGTCCACGAACGACGGGTTGATAAAGGTAAATTTTGTTCACCCGAGATGTGGAACGGAAAGAGGGTGGAAGCGGAGGAACGCTGCTGTCATCAACCGGCACAAAAAGCTTCAACAGGTTGGGAGAGTGTTCGGCGATATCCATGAGGCTGTGATATGCGGGAGGATCCGTATATGTGGACAGGTCATAATCCAGAATGCGGAGGTCTTCCAGATGCGGCAACGCACGAACAATTTCGTCATATCCGCTCATGCCGATCAGGAGACAGGGCATACGCAATTTTAGGGATCTAAGGTTGCTCAAAGTCAGGATCGGATCCAACGATTTTTGAGCGATGTACGGCGGTGGATTTCTTCTCTCGTCATCAAAGAGCACCAAGTGCAGATGACGGAGAGCCCCGAATTGCGCCAGAGCTTTGACGCAGTTCTCCAGCTTCTTTTCATGAACTTCGGAAATGATGAGCGTAAGCTTCACAAGTTTGGTGGACGATATCATCGTCATGAGCTTGTGCGATGTGTCCTCCAATCGATAGAACTGCACGGTCAGGTCCTCCAAAGCCGGGAAGCACTTAACAGGAAGGGCATGCGCAGATAGAGAACCGAGCTGTCCATCGATTATGACGTCCATCTCCTTCAGTCTAGTCATTTCTCCGAGGGCGACGACGAAGTGTTCGACCAACGACGTGCCGCACACAAAGCGCACCAGGTTATTCTGCAGGAGCAAACGGTACAGCCATGCATAGGTACGCAGCCGTTTATCATATTCCCTGCTATCCCAAACAAAATTCGAGATGCCCGGGAATAGATCACTAGTGACCGAGAGGCTCTGCAAGTCTTGGCAGCCATCACACAATTCTTCGAAGACCTGCCACAAAAACTCGGGGACTTGAGTTTTCAGCGTAATGCTTCGTAGCGTCCGGAGAATGAGTATCTGAGTGTTTAAGGCATCCTGAAAACTATGCGAACCGTCGCGAACGGTGAGATGACGGAGATTTGGCCAATACTGGACGCCCTCTGGTATCAGAGTCATGAAGCACCGCAAGCTGGTGTCATCGATGCCTACTCCATAGCGGGAATTCCAGGTAAAACTTTTGATCCTGCGAGCGTAGTCAGGCCAGGAGCCGAAATCCCAAGGCGGCTCGCCGAAATGGCACAATTCCTAAAATGAAAACCAGTCAGAAAGATGCGGACGAGTTTTTGTCGTTGAGAGATGATGAGGAACACACTCACGTAAAACGTTCGTCCTGTGGATTCAATTCTAGTTTTCTTCCAGTGCCAATTCTTAACCAGTGAGAGCAACGGAACCACCGAATCCTGCTCTGCCCATAAGATGTCCAGTCCCATCTCGCGGAAGGCCTTACACGCCAGAGCAAAGTTGAGCAGGGACTTGCGGCCACCTTGGTCGTGGAGACTCCACATGATCATGCGGATGAGTTCCTCGATGTGGGAGACGCGGGACGACGGGAGGCTTGCGACTTCCATGACATTGTTTGATGGACTGTTCGACTCCATGGTCCACGCGGCTGTAGAGGGTTGTGACCGGACAACGAGTCGGGAGAGCATTGGGGCGAGTTAATGGGAGGAAGAGTTGAGTGTGAGCGTGGCTAATCGCCACTCGTCAGTGATGTTTAAATAGGCTTGTGCACGAGGAAAATGCGCATTAAACAACGCGTAGCGCGACGAAGCGCCCACGTGACATAGCGGCCATTGGGCACGTTCGGGCTTGGACCACCACATTAGGCCAACCGTTTTGCCACTCTACACTTTCATCAACAGCTGCACGGCTCCGGATCTCCGACTGAGGACCTGCCGACTGCCGAGGGAGTGGCGTGTTTCCACACGTCCTTCAACGGCTTTTCGCCCCAGTCGACGCGTCTCCTCCACCCTTCGACGACAGCTACGGTTGGCACAACTAGGCAACTGTCGCAGCGGGCAATAGCGGTAGCACGGTGACGGTCGACGGCGCATCCGTACCGCTACGATCAGCTGTCCGAGACGTGCGGCCATGGGTGGCACTCATCCTGTGTTCGCGTTGCAAGCCCTGCGACGTCGACGTCGACTGCAACTTCGTCCACGCGTCTTATAGGCCGAGAGATATCGTGCAAGGGTCGAAAAGGATCGATGACCTGTAGGAGTGAGTCGTTCTTCGGGTCTAGGTCCTTGATTTCATGTGCCAAATCCCCTTGTCGTCCATATTGTAGGATCACCGACTCTTCACAATGTCGGCGGCTTCCCTCGAAACTGCATTATGGAGGGCCAGTCATGGGGCGCGAAGAGTTGACATGAATATGATCGTCGAGTGCTTTGGATAATGCTGGAGGAAGGATAACTAGACAGTGAGTACGAATTCTGGCATTCTTGATGCATAATACCGTTCATTGAAGATGGCCGGACTGCTTTCGAATGCACCAGCCACAACTGAACTCGAATATCATCATCAGCAACTGATGTCTCGCATGATTTGGCAGTGCTACGTACGATCGAGCGAGGAGTCAAGGCGCACCTCGTAGCTATCGGGCCTGGAGCATAAGCAGAATTTCTTGAACAGCCCACACGGGTGCCTATTATTCCTGAACAGCCGCTGGCAGGGGGTTTAGGTCCTTCCCTGGAACCTCGGTGACGTCTCGTGATGATCCGACGAGCAGAGCTTGAATCACCTACACTGCCGACGTATTCATTCTACCCCTGGAATGGATATATGGTCCATAGGACATGCCGAGGCATTGCAAGACTTTGATCGCTGTCTTGGTATTGCCAATGAGCGCTGAGACTGCAAATTCCTACAATGGCGGATTGGCTTTGATGAGGGGACGGGTGCGCATTGGGAGATGGAATCCATGTCCTCCCGTGATTCGATCACTTCTTGCCCACGAATCGCTGATATCGACCAACGCTTAATAGGTATTGGGTAACTCTAGGAGGCTCATGTCTGTGTGAAAACGTACCTTTATGGGGTAGACCGTCACGACTTTACTTGGCAAATCTCGTCTTAATGGTGAGGCTTTCAAAGTCGACCGGTCAGCCGTTCAAGTAAAGATATTATCAAATGTGGCCGCATACACGCTGCAACGGAATTATCCACGTCTGTCGGATCGCATTTATCTTGACACAACGATACCGACCAGTCGCAAACCGCCATTTATTTCTCGTTATGGTTGCAGATGCAGCCAAGGTCCTGTATTTATCCGTTACAGACCCTGATATCTGCATCGCAACACCATTCATTCGTCGGGAAGGACCAAAAAAGAGGGGTTGGGAAGATCCTCCTGTGCTGAGCAGTGCTGAACCCCAACTATCCTTCATGTGAGTGAAGCATGCGACTGGAACAGTAGTATCACCCACTTACTTTCCCCCCTATATCAGAACGTTATACCGTCAGACACTGCGCATATATGAAGCCAAGAGCACACATATGTCCGTCATAGTAGGTCATGTAACCGACGACAGGCTCCAATTCCCCGCCGCGAGAGATGGCACCAGTCATTCCATGAGGGCCGCCATGGTAGATCATTAAGAAGGTTGACGGTCAATCCTGTCAGGCTTTTATTCACACGAAGGTCGCGTACGGAGCATTACCAGCCCTCGTCCGGGATGTTCATTGATCTTCCATCTTCTCCGAGAAAATCCAAGACCAGCAGCGGGGACATCTTTGACGTGAGATCAGATTATGCATCCACATAACATTCTCTTCCATGGGGTCACAGGGCCAACATTTGTGGTTCGACGACGTTGTCTAGGAATGTGGCTGCAGGTATCCTGGGTATATGCGGGTGCGAGAGCAGAAGTGGGGGAGGAGGAAAGACAATAAAGCGGGGAAAAAGAACGTTATGCACTTCATATGCCAACCCAGAGGCTGGCAGCGCGTCGTCGATGCCTAGTGGGTTGAGGCCACGAACGAGTGACACTTGAGTGACACTGCGACACTGCGACGGTTGCGCGACGCGTCGGTCGTACGACCACATCAGGAAACCCCGAGCCGCCCGGCTATACAGCGCTGCAACGTTGGCCTCTACCATCAAACTTTCGCCTGCTCGCCGCCTCCCATCTGCTAGACATGCCCGACGCCTCTTCTAGTTCCACTCCAAATGGGGAGCGTTTGCCTCCTGGCATGGTCATCGGCCCTGACGGCAAGCCATGCAAGATTTGCACAGCGTTTCGCAACTGGAGACCCCGCGCGCAGAACACCGACGCGCACCCCCGCAGCCAGATGGGGAGGAAGAACACTGCTACAATGATGGCCGCATTCGCGTCTGGGCAAGGATTCGCCTCCCAACCCGATCCTGACGTCCGCCCAGCCCATTGCCCGCCCGACGTCGAGGAGCTCGGTCGCGCGACGTGGACATTCCTGCATAGTACGGCCGCATACTATCCCGAACGTCCCACGCCATTCCAACGTGCGAACATGCTTAACCTTCTGCACGCTCTGCCTGTGCTGTATCCGTGCACGACCTGCGCTTGGCATTTGGGCGAGAACATGAAGGATCACCCACCAGATGTCAGCGGGAGAGTCCCGCTGAGCAGATGGCTGTGCGAGAGGCATAATGACGTGAATGAGCGGCTGGGGAAACCAAAGTTTAACTGCTCTATTCGGAACTTAGATGAACGGTGGAAGGATGGGCCAGCTGACGGCAGTTGTGATTAACTGGTCTCCCGGTAAGTTTCTGTTCAATGCTTGAAGTTGAACGTATCACAAACAGTACCAGGCCGGACACTACCTAAGATGCGATCCGTGCTATTTGAGAAACAATGGCGTAAGTGCTCTAGATGATGCGAATGGTGTGCCACTTTCTATCGTCTCAGCTGCAATATCTGATATTATTCATCATGTCAAAGTTGTTTTGGAATAGTTTGATGCCTGTATCCCGTATAGAAAGCTGCTGATAATCACTTTGTATAATCAGCCACTGTGTGGATTCAGCCACTGTGTGGACTTAGTAATCTCGAGAAGAACAAGGCCACATCGCATGAGCTTTACGAACTGCAAATTCATCTGCACAGCCTTCCACGTCACGCATATATGCAAGAAATCCACGCACTGCCCTCTTCTGGAGTTGAACTTCGCCTGTGCTAATCTTCTCGGAGTCTTCCCTCATATAGCCAGGCGCTCAGTATGCATTCATTCAGAAGAGGGAACACTCCTAGAAAGCATCTCCCGCGCACTTTCCGATCGACTTCTCAGGTTGCATTCGAACGCTTCGGGGAATCTGCAAGAGGTGACGATCAACAACACAGGAAACTGGGTCTCGGCCAGTACCACGGCTCACACAATGCTTCCAGAAGTATATGCAATCTTGGGAATGATCGGCGTGCCGCGTTCGTCGATAGCCGGGACGATCTGACAGGTTGCAAGGACAGTGGCAATCACCGCGAACATGGTACCCTGGGCAAAGTAGAAGCCCGGGCACGCTCTCCGGCCGAATCCAAATGCCAGGTCTGTGACCTTCTGCATCTCGGCGTCCGAGTTGTTGTACCGCTCGGGCTTGAAGTTCATCGGGTCGGCGTATGTCATTGGATCGTGCAGCATGTGCCTAGGGGAGACCAAGCCCTTCTTCAGCACACTCATCATGGAAGACGCGTCGTGGCATGCTCACCAAACATTTGGCACTACGAGGGAACCCTTGGGAAGATGAACACCGTTGTACATGTCCGCCTCCCTCAGCGAATGAGGGAAACCTAGAGACATTTATCAGCAACGGCGAGTGCCAGAGAGAAACGGATGCTCGCAGAGTGGAATGGCAGGGTTCCACCGGAAGACTTCCGTGACCAGGCTGCAAATATATGGCAGCGAGGCCCTGTCGGCAATGGACGGAAGGCGGTCGGTCCCAATCTCTGCGTCAATCTCTGCTTGCGCTTTGGCCTGGACGTCCGGATAGTGGAGCATGGCAAGGAAGAAAGTTAGGATTGTGGACACATTCTGCTCGTCCCAAGATCAGCATGGGCTTCAGACAGCAACCAGCGACCCAGGTGTACGAACCGTGTCGAGCCCTCCTCCCAGGACAGCCGATGCTGCCCACACGAGGGTGTGTTCATCCTCTTTTGAAAGCTCGCCATCCGCTTGCAAGAGCGATGTCGCACAGAGACTAGGCGAGTGTGCGATGCCGGTGGGCTTGCAGATCGGACATCAACAGCCAGCCATAGAAGGCACAAGAGCGGGAACACTGCGCTTACGAGGTTCTGCTTGCACCAGCGGTACGGATTCCAAGTCGCATTCATGCAGATTTCGTGCCACTCTCGGGCCGTACGGAGGAACCCTGTCCCTGGCACCCAAGATGGCAGGCGCTGCACTGCGAAGACAAGTATAAACGGACGTGAGCGATGAGGAGACGCACGAGCGCTTACACTGCGGGATGAAGTCGACGAGCCATGCGCCTGGTGCGGAAGCTTTGCTGAAGTTGGCCATGGCGGCAAACGGAATGGTTATGAACGGGTCGTCCTCGGACTTCACCGTATAGCCATAGTTGGCTTCCATGATGATTGCCGCAATCCTCCTGCCAGGCAGTCGAATTGTGGCGAGAGAAACGCAATGAGAGAACAGGAGATACTTACATCTTTACCTGGCGAACAAGCGAGCTTGGGTCATGAAGCACGGCTTGGACAAGCTTGCGCGCCTCGGTCTCTTGGAGACGGTAGTAGCGCGGAACAGTCCCCTGGGCAAAGTCTGCGTTAACGAGCTTGCGCTGCCTGCGCCACTCCTCGCCATAGGGCTGGAGAACGAAGCCCTCGCTGTAGCCGACGCTGTAGATGGGCGCGATCGATGGGCAGTGAGCGCGTCACACGAAAGTTGGAGAAGGAATGACCTACAGATCGCCTGCCATGATCTGCGGAGGAGAACGATGAATGAGGCGCGACGCCACAACATGAGGCAAAGGTCAATACTCACAAGATGCGGCCGCTCGGAATAGATGGAGGATCGTTTGTCGAGAAGGTCTCTAGCAATCTCGGCAGAATTGATGACGATGATGGGCTGGCCAAAGACGTCGAGATGAATGATATCGCCTGACAGATGATGATGCATTGACAGCGCGTACAGTGGCCGTTCGCGGAGGCATGCTCACCGTACGTGTCGGCCCATTTGGAGTAGGTCAGCCAAGGATTGACCTGCGGGATTTGGAACGCATTGCCGACGATGGGCCAGCGGGTGGGCCCTGGGGCGAGATGAAGGCGTGCGCGCGAGGACAGAAGATGTTTTACGAGGACATAGGTGCCACAGGAGACCACGAAGACACCGAGAGGCTGGAGGATGTCACTCGTGGCGGCGGCGAGACCGAGAGGCTGGAGGATGTCACTCGTGGCAGCGGCGAGACCGAGAGCAACAGCGGCGGGAAGAACGCCGTCCATGGTCTTGACAATGATGGCGGTGGTTCGTGAATGGGTTCACCTGGGTAATGGGGAATCCGGAGTGAACGCAGTGCTCTGCCTGGCCTAACCTTGGCTGGGAGCATGGTTAAAGCACCAGACGATTGATCGCCGATGGATGTGAAACAGTGCAAGCGCGTTGCACAAGCTCTCAGATTGGGCACAACGCAGCCATTGATCGATGGGAGAACACCGTGGCAGAGATGCTCCCGGGCCTCGGCGGCACGCATACTTACGCTTACTTGCGCTTGCCTTTCATTGGCCACGCTGCGATCTGTAGTCCACATCATCTCCCCACGGACACACAAGCGCACTCCTTGGAATGCCCGCCTTACCCGGCTTGTCCTGCGCCTTTCGGGTTCCGTTTCCATTCTTTGCCAGCAGTCGCTTTGTTCGCATCTCTTGAGATGCCTTCCAGGAGGCCTTTGCGGGATCCGGAAATGAACACTGGTCACTCCGAGACCAGTATCTCTGTGGCACACTTACCGCCTGGAGTATGCGAAGGGCCATCCCTCGCGAAACAATCTTTCGAAGTTTGTAGACTCATCAGAAGCGGAAGGGCAGCTAACGTTCAACAACGCACCATCGTCATCGACTATCACGATGATGTTACAGACTTAAAGGGTGCTGCGTGACACATCATGATGGACATGCTGCAGATGGTTGAGTCGTTCTTGCTCTCCTTTCACCCCTTCTCCTGAATCATTTCTGGGCAAGTACCCCGGAAGCGCTTCGTCGAGTTACACACGTCCAGCCTCTCTTCGACTCCCCATTCGATAGCTTCCATCCTTGTGCGCTCATGAGATCATCCACCTGATCCGCGTCCTTCACGGCAGAGAGCGTGATCGGGCCCTTGCAGAGTGTCCACTCGGCCGCCGTCGCCGGCGAGCGGCTATATGGCTGTACGACGCGTCGATTCATCAATGGATCGTCCATGAGTACTGAGTACTGAGTCGTCGCCGAAGTTGCAATTTCCACGCGGGCGGTTCTCTTCATTGCATTCCCAGGACTAGCAACCATGGACACGGCCGCAGACATCGAATCATCAGGAGAGAGTGCCAGCGGGATCAAGCATAGTAATGGTGGCGAAGTTAGCGGGACTGATAGAACTCGCGTTGAGTCTTCTCTGGGTCATCGGCTCAATTTTGCACACACGGTGTAGTTCTTCAAGCCTGTCGACTCGTCTCTCACTCAGCTTCTAAAATGAACCCCAACACCTCCGATTGACTAGCAGAACGTGCTTCCCAGATGTAACACGCATGCAGTTGAGATCCGCTATTTTGGCTCTAGGACAACCTGTGTCAATGTGAGGACCATCGCAGATGTCAATGCTCATCGCCTTGCCGGATGCATTGCCAGCAGTAGTAGAAAAGAGGCTGTGGGGAGGGCGTGTAGCCAATGCCCTCCATACTTTTTGTCACCAGAACAACATGGTCCACGTTCTCCTGGTATCAAATGGTAATCAAGTCTTGGTGTTTCTGCCGCCTCAAAGAGGTTTGAGACGCTAGGAGTCCTTGTTCATGGTGCAACAATAAACAATAAACCTGAGTATGACTCATCCCTTCTATCACGCAGTCCTTGATTGATGTACATCGATATTTGTCTTCCTGTGGTATTAGGAATGGAAGCTGGTCCGTGGTCCAGCGATCTAGCTCGTTCTCCGCAGCATCAGGCGCTCATGCGGACAGCCTCATGAGAACATTGACCACGATTTTCAGCGTTGAACCATCGCTTTCCACTCGGCAAAGTGTGTCAATCATGGAAGCTGTCTGACTGGAACTTCTCCGGCGTGATGCCTCTTTGAATGGCTGTGTTCTCTCACGGTATGATTGGATGCAATGCCTTCGGTGATGTTATCTACCCCCCTTTGCGAGCTTCCTGTGGTCTGAACATTGTATTGCTCCAAACAAGGATTGACGGGACGGATTGCAGCATTCAAAATGGCGAGTCTGAACCTGAATGCATGACGCTTCGACATTGCTCCATCATACCCACAAAGCCATGGCATCATCAGATTCCCTATCATTGCTGTACGTATATCCCACATCTACGAATAAAGCAGTCGGTGATTTTAAGTACTATTTCGATTGTAGTGCAGGTCCGCAGGTTCGTTAGCCGTTGTTTATGTCCCGACTATTGTCGACACAGCCTGAATTAGTTGCTGGCCTTCGTTTTCAACTGGGGCTTACTCGGCATCCTCAACACTCAAGTCTGTGAGCACTGATTCCTACACGCCTGACGTGCATAGATGCTAATCATGGGACTTACCCGAGACAGACGTGTACTATTGTAATTTTCCAGCAGACCGTATATACCTGAGGTGCCTAGGTACCTATGACTTCTATTGACTCTCCTCTGAAAGTCCAGCTGAATTGTTGCAGTATACGGCATTTTGACCTTCGAATGGGTCCAGACCGGCTTGGTCACTGCGCAAATGTTTGATGTTTACCTCTACAACTATGCAATCGGGCCGCCATCATCTCCACCAAATGGATTTGGTTCTCCGCTCCAGTAATGGGTTCTGTGATAGCGGCAACGGTGCAATTGTTCTTTGCATGGCGTATATTCGCGCTGGCCAAACCGAGCAAGCTTCATCGTGCAGCCTTGCGCAAGGCAATGTACGCATTAGTGTTGGCAATTGTGATTGTGAGCAAGCTATGCATATAGTGATCAAGATTATCTGCTCAAATACTTGTGCGTAGCTATCAGTCGGTCAGGCAATTTCTGGGGTCACTGGCGGTATCTTGGTATGAATTTTGCCTCATTTGTGTAACCCCCTAGGCTCATGCATATACGTTCAGGCGCGTGTGTCACCTTCTGCTCGCGATATGGATAATGCAGTAACGCCTCTAATGGTATGTACAAAACGTATCTGTTGTATTGCGGCAGCCATCGTGACAAGTTGTAGCTCTGGCTTGCGTTGAGCGCAGTCGATGATGTCCTCATCGCGACTACAATGTGTATATTGGTCAGTTTCTTGCTTCGCTTGTTATATTCTCCCTCTAATGTGGAACACAAAGCTGCTCAAGAGCAGAACAGGGTTTGCCTCGACAGATGCTTTAATCCATCGCATCATGAAACTCACCGTGGAGACGAATGCCGCCACCGGCAAGCATTCAATATGTATAGATGCGATATCACGCTTACAAATAACGTCTGCAGCATTCTTTGCCGTCATCCTAGCCATAATAGCGGGCATTCCTCCAGTGAGTAGCGCGCAGGTTTCGTATTGTTGGTCCATCTCAGTGAATCCAGACGGACACAACGCTTATTTATCAATTTCCGTAAGTGGTAAAGATTGTTGTTCGGTGACATGATTACTGACCTGCTGTAAAGGAGCATCGTGCTTCCCAAAGTGTATGTGATCGATTCTCAGCATGAAATATGAGCATCGTGATTGACATTCCTCCCTCAGATACGCCAACTCCTTCCTTGCGAACATCAACAGTCGAGCGTCCTTGAGACAGCAGAACGCTATCGGAGCTTCACTGCAAGTACCTCACATTGCCACGTCCCCGGAAACAACGGTATTAGATACCGTCGCAGACATTGAGGCGTCAAGAGAAAACAGCAGAGAAACTGCGTATAACAAGGATCGCGATTTGAACGAGACGATGGTAGAGCTCAACGTGGGTATCTGGAACATCGACGAGACTTGAATTCATTTCAGATCGATTTTAGCCTGTTGGGTCTTCCATCCAGCAATCGAAAGTCAGTCGTAACAGTCTCGACTGATTCGTAGCCGTGCCGTGAAAGAGGACGGGGTCTACCTTGTTTATTCCTGAGCGATATGATAGTAAGACAGGAAATACTCATTGCGAGCTCGATACGAGACACACTTGTCACTTGCATTTATGACTCATGATATGCACGTTGTGCAATGAAGTCGGAATCTACCTTCTTTGTTCCTGAGCGCTATGATAGGACCGGAAATATTTATTGCGAGCTGGATACGAGACACTCCTGTCAATTGTATTTGTGATTCACGATATGCACCCACGATATGCACTTTGTACAATAGGCCTGCAGTGAACAACGTGCACCCAGGAGATGCCAATTGATGAGTCCTTCATACACGCAATGCCAGTGCTGAAGAAATCGAGCGAAAGCAGAGGAAATGATGCGAGCCCTGTACGTCCGTGGCTCGTGCCTTTCGCTAGTAGCGCGGTCCGAAGCTGCATGTTTACTTCGCCATTCCAACAGTGGGCTCACTGATTGTCCACGCTTTAAATCATATTGATGAAGAACGGGAGACGCACTGGTACTGATGTAAACTGTCAGGGTACAGATAGATCGTGACCGAAGCTCATGCAGGTGCTATAGTATGACATTTAAAGATGCAGAGCCGAGTCTTCACACTAGCGCCACCACGAAAGGTCTGTCATACCATCAAAAAAGGAGGGAGGCTACTGGTGGAAAAGGATTTCAACTGTTTTTCTATTACGATACACGTACAATCCTCTATACGGCAGATGGACCTACTGATGGGTGATTGTAGAGCAGAGCCGAGTCGCAAGCATCGGATCTGTCAGGAGTCATCCACCGTACAGCACATCCTGCAGCCACCGCCTTGCAATCTGGTCTCGCGGCGTTCTACCGACCTTGACGCCTGAGGGCCGTCAGGTGGGGTCCTTCAAGACAGAAAACAATACATTAGCGTGTCGTCCCACATGAACACTCCGGCCAGTACACCACGTTTGTGACTATATAATCCGGAAGAACATAGAGCAGCATTTGTCGGCCTGGGATAATTCATTCAGGAGAGGGGATGCTCTGAATCAGCAATGCCCGCGCACGCTCCGTCCGACTCTTGATATTGCACCTGAATGGCTCAGGACACCTGGAAACAAAGAGCGCCTCTCAGCCCTACATCCAAAAATATTTCAAAGCAGCACAGAGCTCACACTATCGTTCCAGACGTATACGCAATCTCGGGAACGATCGGTTCACCACGTTCATCGACAGCTGGGACGACGTCGCAGGTGGCAAGCACGGTGGCGATCACCGCGAAGATGGTGCCTTGGGCAAAGTAGAACCCCGGGCACGCCCGCCGTCCGAACCCGAATGCCAGGTCGGTGACCTTCTGCATCTCGGCGTCCGCGTTGCCGTAACGCTCAGGCTTGAAGTCCATCGGGTCAGCGTATGTCATCGGATCGTGCAGCATATGCCTGGCACAGACCATCCCGGTACTTCTTCAGCGCGCTGATGACGGAAGACACATCGTGGCATCCTCACCATATGTTTGGCACTACGACAGAACCCTTGGGAAGATGAACACCATGGTACACGTCCGCCTCGCTCAGCGCATGAGGGATGCCTAGAGACGTCCGTCAGCGACAGCGACAGCGAGGCCGAGGAGAGTCGAACACTCACAGAGCGGCGCAGGGGGATTCCATCGGAACACTTCAGTGACCAGGCTTCGAACATACGGGAGCGACGTCCTGTCGGTGATCGACGGCAGACGGTCGGTCCCAACCACTGCGTCGATCTCCGCTTGCGCTTTGGCCTGGACTTCCGGGTAGTGGAGCATGGCAAGGCAGAAAGTCAGGATCGTGGACACGTTCTACTCACCTCAAAAGGTAAGTTACTGTCTCGGAGAGCAGGTAAGGGAATAAATGTACAGACCGTTTCGAGCCCTCCTCCCAGAACACTCCCTGCTGCCCAGACAAGGGCGTGCTCATCCTCCTTAGACAGCTCACCATCCGCTTGCAAGAGCGATGTTGCACAAAGACTGGGAGTGTGTGCGATGCCGGCGGACTTGAACATAAGGTGTTAACACCCGCTCAGGGATGGCAGAAACAGCAAGATAGCACTTACAAGGTTCTCCTTGCACCAACGGTATGGAATCCAGCTCGCATTTATGCGGATCTCGCGCCAGTCTCGGGCCGTGCGGAGAAAACCCGTCCCTGGCATCCAAAGGGGCAAGTGCTGCACTGTAGATATCACGAGCGTGAGCAGACGTGCAATGATGAAGGAGCGAGATGAATATGCGCTTACGTTGCGGGATGAAGTCAACGAGCCACGTGCCTACGGCGCACGCCTTGCTGAAGTTGTCCGCGTTGGAGAACGGAATGGTGATATACGGGTCGTCTTCTGACTTGACGGTATAGCCATAATTAGCCTCCATGATAATCGCTGCAATGCTCCTGCACAGGAGGTCGACCTGTGGTAAGTGAAGCCCAACGGAGATCATGAAACACTCACATTTTCAACTGACGGGCGAGGGAGCTCGGGTCATCGAGCAGAGCTTGGACGAGCTTGCGCGCGTCGGTCTCCTGGAGATGGAAGTAGCGCGGAACGGTCCCTTGGGCGAAATCCTGCTTGATGAGCTTGCGCTGCCTGCGGAAACTCTCGCCGTAAGGCTTGAGAGCGAAACCCTCACTGTAACCGACCCTGCAGATAGCGGCAATCGACGGGCAGTGAGCATGCCTTACACCGAATTGGGGTGAGAAACGACGTACAGATCACCTGCCATGACCTGTGAACATGGATGATGGATGAGGGCGCGATTCTGTGCGGCATAGAACAACGAATAAAACTCACGAGATGAGGCCTGTCTGAATAAATGGAGGATCGCTTGTCGAGGAGGTCTCTCGCTACCTCGGCAGAGTTTATAATAATAACAGGCTGGCCAAGGACGTCTAGATGAATGATATCACCTGGCAGATGATGTGTAAGATATCGCTTTCAAGATCAAGCACGGGGAGGTGATCACCGTATGTGTCCGCCCACTTGGAGTAGGTCAGCCAAGGATTGAGCTGGGGGATCTGAAGCGCATTGCCGACGAGCGGCCAGCGGGTGGGGCCAGGAGCCATGCGGAGGCGTTCGCGTGAGCACAGCAGATGCTTCGCGAGAACGTAGGTGCCACAGGCGATGGCGGCGACAGCAAGAGGCCGAAGCATGTCTTTGATGACGGCAGCGACGCAGAGAGCGACGGCGACGGGTAGAACTTGAATGGTGTCCATGGCTTTAGCGTAGACGACGATGGCGCGGATGTGGGGGGAGGTGAAGGCGGCGCAATAGCATGGCGAGCAAGGACCCGGTGGAGGACATGTTGAGAGTGAAGACCAGTAGCCGATATCTCTCTAGGGCGTCCGATCGCTGCCCCAGCATCGCGGCAGCCCGCACTCTCGCACTCCATTCTTCGCACAGCCGCTGCTCCAAAATGACCACGCTGCACCAGGCCCATCGTTGTGGTGTTTAGGTGCCGAAGTTCGATGTCGCCTCACATCCCATCGGTACTGTTGCGAGGAGGATCAGGTCTACACCCCAAGACCCAAGTCTTTCGGCCCAGGACTACTCTGAAGAATGTACGGATCAGGCGAGCAACCGGCAACGGCCGACCGCGGGATTAGTTGCTTGTCCCTTTCCCAGTGCATAGGATGACTCGTAAGGTGTAACAGAGTAAATTCCATGTTTGGTGGTTCCGTTGGATCATCGAATATATTATGCCGTCGGAGAAAACAATGATAGAGATGTTCAAGTTGGCCACCGAGAGAACTCTTGACAGCGCTAACAGACTTTTAGCTGAGAAATATCCGAGAGTAGACGAGAATACATGATCATACACGAGTTCACAAGTGAGAGTCCCCAGATCGCGTAACGAGCAGTCGAAGTTGCCGTACGGAGCACACGAGTAGGTTCAAGTTGGGGAATCCACAGCTCCATTCCAAGGCGGGAGGGCGCCTTGTATACATTGTAAAGTGACATAAGAAGGAGTTCATGGAAAAACGTTGACAGAGAATCCGTGACAAGGAAAACTGAACTTACTTTGTATGGTAATCGTATGCCCTAAAATGAAAACCAACTAGTCTAAGGACAGATGGCGCTCCGGAACGACACCTGTCACTACGATTGACACTGGAATGATACTCCAATCGGACGTGACAGTTGACATAGATTGACTTTTCAAGACTTTACAAGTTATGAGATGCCTTTGCTTTGGGTAAGGCTTGTACTATTCTCCAAGAAATTGTGCTGATGCTGAATTATTCTCGAAAACTTGTTCAGTACAAAATCAGGCACGCAACATTGCCTCTGGCACTGCGCTCAACGGCGCGGGCGATGAGCGCGAGGGCGCGCCGTGCTTATGAGCTTTCGCGAATGGCGAGATTTGGTGCCGTTCAGTTCCAGGAGGTCTCAAGCATGACGCCGAGGACATGAAACCTCGCGACTTGCAAATTGAGCTAGTTGGGACAATAGACTTGATCCTCATCAGCAACCGTAACCTGCCATTCCTCGTCACGAATAAACCATGCCATCTCCATCACCTGCTATCTGTCTGTGTTCTTCTGACCTTGCCTCGTAGCCTCTCACGGCGTTGCCGATCTCCCCGAGCTCGGTATCAGCAACATATCGCACATCCTGACTCCAGGTTTGAGGGGTGTAAATGGCGCCATTATGCCTTTATACGGTCAAGTCCGTGTGAAAGACTCGTTATTCTCCCATCAAGATTCCGTTGACACAGCTACGGTGTGTGCTGTTTCTTCTCTTCTCTTACTGCACATTGATTGCTTCCTGAGGTTGATATCTCTATCGAATTTCCCTCCGGACCGTACCCTGGCCCATGAATCCGGTTTGTCAGCTATCAAAATGAACAGCCACTGCGAATTCGCTCGATCGATTGTGCTCTTAATTGTAATGGTACACTTCAACACATTCGGAAATGACCCCTTGACTGAATGAGGGAAATAGGAGCGTTGAAGACTGAATCTCACTGGCACGACATACGTCTAGTAGACAGTGCCTCCCATCTGGCTGTGACAATAAATGTCAAAGCCAGGGAGATCAGCAAGCAACAGAGGGCAGTAATTTGACGAAGAAAAATAACAAGTCAAATGCGTCCAGTCTCGAAATATAGGAAAGGATTCGGGATTCGCGCCATGTTAGTTCGAAAGCAACAGGTACACAGGCCCTATACCGGCAAGTTTACCAATCGTCCCGAGGACTTCGAGCCTTCGCCGGGAATCCTGCATGAACTATCTTCTATCTCTCGTGGACCTGTTCTGATCTAGCCTCGAGCCATGAACATCGAGCCTCTGGAGCGTTGACGTTGAGACCTGCGACGAGGCGGTGATCCAGGAACGACCCGTCCCGGGAAGCTTCCCACATCGCTTACGTTGCGGGAACCACACCGGTCTCAGCCAAGCCAACTCTATTCCGACGGACGCTTTTTGATGGGCTAGTGGATTTAGATGGGGAGCCACACATGACGAGGGACTGTGACGGTCCTCACCGTGATGATAGGCGACTTCGTGAGATCGGTCCGAGGTGTTCCTGAGTGCGTTGCTGTCGACCGTCAGTGAATGAATTGTCGTCTGAAGGACCTGAAGATCGGCAGCAAGGCCCTCCTGACCGTGCATACACTCGAGTCGTCGTAGAGGAGCGATAGGCGTACAACAGCTCTCCGAGCGGGTCGCAACCACAAGCATCCCGATAATTAATTTTACTTCCATCCACGCGTGGTTCACGGGTTCACGCGTGCGATTCCCGGAGAGGTGACCGCTGGTGCAGCTCCCAAACAGGTCCACGGAGACTCGCCACCATCAAGACCAGAACGGTGCTCCACGCGACTCGACCGCTCGCCTTTCGGAAAGAGGGTCACCGGATTGGAAAATATTTGCAGCGGTCCTCGATCGAGGCACCGTCGGCGTCGACGGTACCTCGCAAGGGGAGAACATACAGATGTCGCCCTGAGCGATGGAGTACCTTCACGGAGTGGACTCTAGCACTAGGCCGTTTAGGGTTCGGGCAATGTGGAAAGCGGAGCCCGTGACATGCTGGTGCGTCAGGTTCCGTGCTGGGTTGGCGTGCGCGGGTGGAGCTAACGTTATGTGCAATATCAATATCAACAGCTGGCAAGGTTCCAAGTCTTCCGGGACTGGTGCCCACTGAACAGATGCTCTCAGGTGAGTTACATATAGGTTTTCTGTTGAAAATAGTAAGCAGGAATCCAGGCCGTGACCTGTAGATGGAGCGCACGAACCGTCTGGAATCCGACGAAAAGAACCCCCGATACTCGGACCAGTAGCCTCGATCGCAAGCAAGTATTTGATGAGCAAAAAGACGCACACGAAATCGTTCGGTATACGCGTGCAAGCGTGCCTTTCCGATAAGAGGATTTTTCGGCTAAACTTCAGCGGCAATGATGGAGCGAAGAGCTCCCCGGAAAGGCAGAGTGGCACTGGACCAAGCGCGGCGGCCGATTGAACTTGCAGCATACGAGCTCCATGAACACGCGGGAACGCCGTTGTGCGGAGCACGTCCATTGTCCGGGGCCTTAGCGTCCGAATGTGGATTTTTCTGATCACAACTAGCTAGAGGAATACCGGATTGCGACGATCACGCACAATTGGTGCTACGCCATAGCTCGGAACAGTGCGATGTGGGTCTGTCGTTTCCGGGGCCTTTTCCGCAAAATATGCATACGCCGTCCCGACGTCTTGACGCTGATATTTTATCTGGTATACTGCTCGAGTAGGTGCGTGGGTGACCCGGGCATCCAGGAAAACAAAATGAATGGTGCCTTCGGCCCAGGGCTAGGTGATGCGCCACCACGCCAATCGGGCGCTGCCACTGGCGACTGCTCGGGTCCTCCTATGATGTGCATACCACGTGACATCAAAAAACCCGTAACAAAAAGCGCTGATTGGCCAGGGATCCGTGCGGGGACCGTCGCAGTCAGTGAGCACCGGGGCAGTCGCAGGCTTAGGGCCGAACTCTGGACGGCCGCGGACACAAGACATTCTTCTGCCCCCGCCCGCCTCGGTTGCTGCATTGCGGCCTTCCTCCTCTCCTCCCTATATTAAATCACGGATACGACCTCCCTGATTCCTCGTCCCCTTTCCGACACTCGAGCACGCCAAAAGTGCCAGATCCGACAATTCTTCTGACGAGAGCGAGATCCAGCGAGAGGATCCACGACCATCACCACTATGAGGGGCCATTCGATCCACAGACGAGACGACGCCGTCAACTGCGGCAGCGGCGGCGGCGCCGAAACCTACACTGGACTCAGGATAGGATCGATATTCATCATCATGGCGACCTCCATGTGCGCCGCACTCTTCCCGGTACTCGCACGGAGAATGAGGTGGTTACGAATGTGCGTACCGGACATGGCGTTCCAGATTGCGAAGTACTTTGGTAGTGGCGTCATCGTGAGTCTTAACTCCTTGCTTCTGAATCACATCCTCTAACCTTCTGTTCTGGACGCCCGTGAACCAGATCGCAACAGCCTTCATCCACTTGCTAGATCCAGCTATGGACGAGCTCGGGTCGGAGTGTCTCTCGGCTGCGTGGCAAGAATACGTGCGTGTTCGTCTTCGTCTCGTCCCCTATTTCTTCTCATGCTTGCCAAATGCAGCCGTACGCACTGGCGATATGCCTTGGCAGCATATTTATGATCTTTATCATAGAGATCGCCGCCTTCCGCTGGGGTACTGCTGTGCTTTCCAAGGCTGGCTTTGCATACGGTGAGCCTTCCTTTACATCTGTCAAATCGATGGGATACATACAACACTCTGTATCGCCATATTGTCCTTCACAATTCCTATCGACTAGTGCTCACTTGTGATGCATTCCTTCTCGGCTGGTGTCCATCATACTCACATCACTGGTTTTAGACGCACACGGTCACGGCCTCGCCACCGGCGCAAACGCCGCACATGGACCCGAACATCGGACCGCCACCGAAACTACGAGCGAAAAGGACACCATCAACGAAGTTGGCGCGGGCGATATCGAGGCGTTCCCGAAGAAGCATCTGGAACAACACGAACATGCCCACGCCCATGCCGTTGGGAACTTTTCCGATTCAGCGATCGCTCAGATTATCGGCGTGGCGATCCTCGAGTTCGGTGTGTTGCTGCATAGGTGAGTCATGGATCCATTAATCCTTGAGGATGGCTACTAACTTGATGTGCAGTATATTCGTCGGGCTCACGCTCGCGGTGAACGAAGAGTTCAAGATCCTCTTCGTTGTCATCGTCTTTCACCGTGCGTGCCTGTCTTCCTTTCTTCTCCCTCTTTCTCCCGTAGTGACTCTGTCCTCCCGCGCAGAAACATTCGAAGGTCTTGGTGTCGGCTCTCGACTAGCATACATGGAGCTCCCACAGAAATACGCGTACTTCCCCGTGCTTGGTGGGGTCCTTTATGGGCTGACGACGCCCGTTGGGATCGCGGCCGGCCTTGGCGTGCGTTCGTCGTACAATCCAGATGGGACGACGGCGAGCATCGTCAGCGGTATATTGGACGCGTTCAGCGCGGGAATCCTCATCTACACGGGGCTAGTCGAGGTACGTCAGCATCACGTATCGAGTGTTTGAACGGAGATTAACGATACCGCCTGCAATCGCACAGCTGATGGCGCATGAGTTCATTTTTAACAAGGAAATGATGGATAGTTCGAACCGACACCTTGTCTTCGCGATTGGGTGCATGATGCTCGGCGCGGGCCTGATGGCGCTTCTCGGCAAGTGGGCATAATACTTGTCGTCGGCGCTCTCCTTCGTCTCGCTGGCGCATTGCCGTCGCTCTTCGCCCGTGCTTGGATGCGTTCAGAGAGCATCCCAGTCATTCGTCCAGGATAGGATAGGACCGGAGATCATCTTGGGCACCCCGCCTCCTCGCTTCGTCGTTCAGCCGTTCACCGTTTATACTTAACGCATTTACGCCGCACTCACGCACTGCACCGGCAACCTAGCCTTTTTACACGCATCTATCGTTATCGTCATGATATCGCAGGTTCTCTTACTGTGTTACTATCGTCTCCTGTTTCTTCGATTTAATACGTCATCCTGTGTTGCGCTACATCTGTACGTCGTGTCTGTAAGGATGCCATTATAGGATATGGGGATGTCTCGCACCATCATCCATGTCACTGTCGCTAGAAAATGCACACCATGTTTCTCGTCGGAGGCATTGCGGTCGATCTAATGAGGTACAGCGGATACAGGGAACCATGTCTTGCGGGAGAAGTGCCGTCCCCGCTATTTTCATGAACTGTACGAGATTCAGCAACAAAAAGAAGATGGAGGCAGCAGCGTTGGGGCAGCCACGTGAGTGGCGTCGGTTTCTGCCGAATGGCTGAGAGCAGGCGGCGCTGTCCATTCGGCGTCGACCGAGCTCGTGAAGAACTTGCGCGCCTCCCTGAGCAAATCGACGGTGCTCGATCGTCCGTCGTCCTCGGCCTCGACGGCTCTCATCTCACCGCCCTCCTCCGCACTCCCCTCTTCGCCTTCGGTACCCCCGTCACCACGTCGCGCTGGCGTGATAAGCCGCGCCTCCGACAGTGTACGAGGTGCTGGGGGTATGGCCATCTCGTTGCAGGTTGCACGAAGCCACCCCGGTGCCGTGTGTGTGCCGGCCGCCACCTCGAATCGGTGCACCGCGCTCGGTGCGCCATGTGCGCGAAGGAGAATCGCGCCGCCTCCGGCTCATGCGCTCATGCGCAATGCGTGAACTGCCGTGAGCTCCACCACGCTGACTCCGACCAGTGCCCCAAACGCACTCAATTCCGGAACGCTGGCACCGCGCCACCAACATCTTCCGAGCGCCCCGTGCCGCCCAACGCTGGTGACTCGGACGTCGCCATGTAGCGGCGGCACGACTTTTCCATTCCACCACGCTCCTTCGTTCCTATTCCATCGCCCCCCGTCCGCCCTTTTTGCCTGCCACCAGGCATGCCCGCACCGAATACGGGATCAACATGCTGGCGCAGCAACACTTAATCGCAGGGGATCAGTTTTTATCCAGCCTGCTACGTGGTAGGGTTCGCCGCGCGTCACCCACTCCTGCTGTCGATTTCCTTAAGTTATCCTCCCCTTCCCGCCCCGACATCTCTTTGGCCGTCAACTGGTTCCGCCCTTCGGTCCGCCGTCGTGCAGTTCACTAACCCTGGTCCGCCGAGCTCTCCTCAAAGTCAACTGGGTAACTCCCCCCCTCAAGAGGGGTGACGAGGTTAGTTAGGTGGGAGTATCTTGGAGGTTCGATCCCCCCTAAACAGTGTTCCTAATGAGTCAACGGACTGGCCGCGACGCGGTTTTCGTGTTGGTCGGGCATATGCAGTTTGTTAGGTTATCGGCGCTTGCGTGATTCATGACACAGCTTACCGGGCTTTCTGCCCTTCTACTATACGTCTGCTCTGTTGCGTCCGTGGGGACCGGGAGTCCGTACGTTAAATTTCTTCGCCCCCAGATGCGTCTGGTCCTCCGTTTTTCCACACCATGTATTTACACACCTCCGACTGCCCTTCGGGCGGTATAAAAATGTATTTAAAAAAATTTTAAAAAAATTAAAAGGCTGAGAGCTGTTGGATCTCAGATTGAAACTTTCGCAAATGCGGCCACCGGGAGTCGCTATTCTCCCTCCCTCTCACTCTTTCATAGAATATCTAAGCTTGCCGGCTGCATATTTCGCTTATGGATATGTGGTAAATATTGTACGCTGGATAGCTAACCGAGCTGGTACATCTAGTAATCGCCGCCACGTCGTAGGAATGACAACGGTGGGTGGCCTATCGCATACCTTCAGAGGTATTTAATCAATTGCCGTGCGCATGACGATTATGATATACGGGGGATAGTGCTGATATTATCCTCTGGTAGGCTCTTTGTGGTGCCACGGTGATCTCCCGGCTTCACGATTGAAGAGATCGCATTGCCTTTATTGCTTCAAGTTGACGAACGTCGTTCGCTCGTGTATTGTATCGACATGGCTATGGGCCGGTGTCCATCTCGTACGGTGCCTTTCTTTCTATTTTGTGATGATATACTTCATTCAGTGTCGCCTTCAGTGGCATGCAAACGTGTGCGCACGATGTGATCGCTTGAGTACAGCGAACCGTACGTCGCACCTTACGCAGGTACGTGCATAATCGTGGACGTCAATACTGATTCCCTTCAGACTAGGGAGTTTCCGGCTGCTACGTTATGAGTCGTGCTTTAGGTTCCCTCAATCGCCACTCAGAACGTGGCAGCTGGCGTGACTCGTTTCTTGCAGTGGCTCTGAAAGGGGCAACACCGGGGCACGATATCAAATCCTGTAGAGGTGCGTGCGCATTCGTGGAGACGAATGCGATATCCACACGGTGGGTATTCGTAGTTGCTACGTTATGAGTAGCGTTGTGGGCACAACCGTGTAAGTGTTACGCATCTCATCAAGTAATTTCTGATCATGCTGATTTATATCTGTTATGATTCTATGCAGCGTCGTCCGATAGCCACCTAATGGCCTCTGCTCGATTGAGGGGTCCGGGTATTACGATGATCATACTGCCAGGTGCTCTCTGTACCGCTGATCCGAGTTATCTGTTCAAAGCTCTTAGTCGTGCTCCATTGGGAGGGTGCCGCAGTGGTACCTGCGACATTTTGAACCATTGTTTCATCTCCGCCAACGGCGGTTCATAACGTGAAACGTATTCGAGATCTACTGAATTCCTGTTTATTGATGCAGTGATCTCCTCCTTACCGATCATCCATTTTTCCACAGTTCGCGTGGATAGTGCACAGTGCACGGTTCTGCATAGGAAAGCTACATGATCACGTTATGCATCAGGTACATGAAACGTAGCAATACAAACACACTGCAATATCGTACAATCACTGTTGGCAATGCGATTTCGCTCAGTATAGATCATGTCCCATGCTTTCTGCCTCTCAGCGCGACTGCTAAAACCGTCATGACTCAGCCTTCAACGCCTGTGCATCCCCTGGACCGCACCCAGCCACTCCTTCCTCCTCGCAATGCTATCGCTGATCCTGGCCCCGGCAGAATCCATGAAGTACCGGCTCACCTGCACCCCGCGCAGGTTTTCCTCCACAGGGACAATCTGGTAATTCCCGATGACGACCTCCTGACGCTTCAACGCATTCTCGATATCATGCGACAGCAGGATGTCCGGATCCTCGATGATGCTACGCAATTTGCTGAGGATCTCCTGTAGCTCATTTATACTGGGGATTGTAGCGAGTTCGGGCTGCTCAGATAATAAGGTGCTGACAGCGTCCCTCGTAACTGTCTGGGGAGTGACACCGCGCGCGCCCAACTCGTGCTTTTTATAGGGAACCACTTGAATCTTCGGCAGCGTCTCTTGGTTGATGTAATGGGTATCGATGAACACCTCCTGGCCCAGCGTCAGAGTCCCTGTGGCGATAGGCGTGCTCTGCATGAGCTTCTGCCACATGTCATGGACATCGGTTGCCTTCTTGGCATCGTAAGTGAACGGATCGGTGTAGAGTGACACCCGGGATGATGCTCCAGGCTTGAAGAACGTTGGCGTGTGAGTGTCAGAGAAGGGCTGCATAGCCTCCTCGATGCGATCGGTCAGGACGGCGATCAGGCCTTTGCGCAGGTCCTTCTTGGACACTAGATTATCAACCTCGAGCTTCACTTCACTCGATGTGAGCTGCGCATTCGGCGCCTTCAGTAAAACGTGATCGATGTGCTGCTGTTCAGGCGTGCCGTATAGATAAAAGGGCATCTTTTTCGGATAGGTAGTGCTGAGAGACCTGGGCGTGAGGGAGTGGTTCTTCAGTACTTGGATGTCCGAAAGTTTCGCATTATTCACTATGCTCGACAATGAAGTACTGTGAGGTGTGTAGGTCAGTCGTCAATCCGAGCGCTAGAAAAGACCCTGCTCGCCCATAGACATCCGGCATGCCTTTGACGATGTTAACGGCACATGTTCCTCGTACCAGAATATCCTCCAGAATTTCGGGAAAGACAGTGTGGAGCGTAAACGTTGCGCTTGGGTCCGCCTTCCTCTGCTCCGCATAGTCTTTCATTACGTCTGAAGGGAGCTTTCCAGTGATGACGACGTTTTGTCGGCGGCTGCCGAAATACATCATTGGCATATAGCTGAGGAAGAGCTGGTCTGTTCCTTGCACGATGAAGTCATGATAATCGGGCACTACAGCGATACGCCGCTGACAGTTCTATGTGGCACATTGAGACCGTGCTCGGCGAGAGGATTTGTATATACGTACCTCGATCTCCTCTTCAGCTACATGCTGGAAGGCATCTCCGACTACCTCGATGAGATTCTCCATGACAAAAGGTGACATCGCGACGCTGGAGTATACATGAAGATCCGTCGGGTCCTCCGGGTCGAGACCGAGACGCTGCTTGAACCTCGTGAGACAGCCCTTATACGTAGCCTGCTCGAATATGCTGCCCACTACGATCACCGGCTTCAGATTCATGTCGTCCGTAACCCTGCGAATTGATAGCCGCTCATAGATACGTTGATTGAGAAAGTTTGCCTCGGCAACATCCTTGTTGATCTCTCCGTCCGGGGTGAGCCTGAAATTGCAGGAGAAGGTGTTGATCATAAGATCGGAGCCGATAGACGTGATGTCGTTCATGGCTTCCTTGTCCTTGAGTACTTCATGGTAGGGACGCTGAAGCAGACTGCGCGTAAGTCTCAGCTTCTCGTTGTCGACTTCTATCCTATTCTTGGTTGTGTCTTCGATCGGCAGGATATTGAACGGAGTCACAATCAGAGTCTTTGATCGGTGCGATAAGGAAGACCAGAGGGTGTAATACTGGTTGTGCAAACAGTCAGCATCTCGCTCGCACACAAAGCAGAGTGCGTACTCTGACTCCTGAAATAATTGCTTGACTGAGAAGCGTGCCATAGCCACCCATGTGGAGTCCCAGGACTACATTTGAGACCCAAACGGCCAAAGGCGCGGCACCGGGTTTACTATCAGCGTGTCATCAAATCCATGTGTGTTACTACACAGCACAGATACATAGTATCCATACCTTCCCTCGAGGCCATAGGTTCCCATGGCTTCAACTCCTTCGCCACTTGTGTTTATGTACGGACTGGTTGTCGTAATCAAGAAACGCATGCGCTCATCGCGATAACACAGGCCTCCTGCGGGATACGGGCAATAGCCTGACTTGTGGCTATCAAGCGTGACAGAGTCGGCGTACTTGATGCTTTCGAGCTGCTTCGCCGTATACGGCAGGAGAGGCTTCTTGAGGAAGTCGGCGTCGACATCCTGACCGCGCCAGTCATTGGGCGGATTACGGATGATGGAGGTGAAGTACCCGCCCCAGGCAGCATCGCAATGTATGAAGAAAGACACGCCGTACTGCTTTTCGAACTCAGCGCGAATCTTTAAGATGTCTGTCAAAGGATCGACGGCACCGTGCTCGGTGGATCCCATGATAGCTAAAACACCATAGATCGGCACTCGAGCATCGACCCGCTTCTTGAGCTCCTCCTTCAGCATCTTCGTGTCCATGCGTGCATGATCATCAACGTCAATATCAACAAGATTATCCTCGCCGATTCCAAGTATGTCTGCAAAGGATCATTACCCGTCGACAAAGGTAGACAAAGACTGACGTACTCGCTGCTTTGTTGATCGAGTAATGCTTAGTGAGAGAGACAAAATACTGGGGAGACTGCACATCGAAACGCCTTTCCAACCACTGCTTGCCTTTCATTTGCGCAAGGTATGGCTTGACGGCATCCTCAATGTATTCGGAGGATATGTCATATAGTTTCGTCAACTTGTCAGCAAGGCCGAGGATCTCGTCTGGCTTGAGATTGAGTAATTCCCAAGGAGTGCACGTGTTGAAAGGTTCCTCCTGGCCCGTGCCCGTGAGCGTCACAGTGAAAGCGTCCCCAACGAAATCCAAGCCACCCTCCTCAATCGCACACTTGAGCGACAGGGGATAGAACTTCAAGCTGCGAGCTGAATGAAGAGGGTTATGAGGCCAAGAAGATCATCGTGGCTATATGCATAGCACTGACCAACCCTGTACGATGCAGACAGCAACAAAATCAGCTACCGTGCGCTATCTATGAACGCAGTGGCTCTCACCAAAACGACTCATAATTGGCGACGGAGCCATCACAAGTGACGTGGCCCCAACCAATGGGAGCGTCAGCGAGTTTGGGATCCTTCCGAGCCTCCGCGGTGTGGAAGCCGAGCATGTGGCATAGATCCTGGCCTACAACATATTCTATGATGCCAGTGAGCGGACTAGCTTCAGGAGACACATTGTTCTGGTTATAGAGCATGCCAAGCACGTAACCCACAGTGGCGGGAAGAGAAGTATCGCCGGTCACATGGGCGGCGTAGCGGGGAGAGGAAAATGGCACAGAGTGATGCGACAGCATGACAGATAGATATTCCAGGACCTGGTCCAACCTGTCCATGGCGGCTTGATAGCCCTCAGACTTCATCATGTCCTGAGTGATCAAAGGCTATGGAAAGCAAACCGTAAAAGAATCAGAAAGTATGTTTCCAAAAACTTGGTTGTGAACCTACAGGATCTTTTGGAAAGTAACTATCGCGACCATGCTTGAAATACCGAACAATCTTGCGAAGTTGCTCTTCGAGCACCTCATGGTTCTCTGCTTTGGGGCCCAAGAACCAGGCGCCAATCGTTTTGTCAAAATCGCGAACAGACGCATATCGGATGGAAGAACCAAGAGGCATGCTGGATCCGTATACACAGCGAGTGCCCAGCGGGATGTCCAAGTCCTAGGGCAAGATGCCACTGCCTATATACTGGAATTTGGGGGGTTATGCTTCACTGATTCCTCTTCCGTACATTCCTACCAAAGAGATGTATCACTGCTGCGTCCAGCAAATTCGTCGTAGCGTCTCAGAAGCTCAGGATGGCCAGGTTGCCACGGAATGCAGGGAACCGTGCCTACATCCACGCCATGGGGTCGCACAGGCGGTGTGATGGAGGGATCCGGAAGACAAGATGCGCGTGCTGCTTCAGGAAAACGTTCTGGTTTCTTGACGTTTAATTCCACATTTAACATAGTTCCGTGAAGTCTAGAACCCCCTAAGGAGCGCGATTTGACAATAATACAAGGTGAATTCAACCGTCCACGCTTCCAGAACTTTCGATGAGTGAGCTTGATTGTTCGAAGTCAAAGCATATGCGCGACCAAGACATGCAACTCCGGATGCAGACTCCAACCCGCGGCGCACAGAACCGTTGGCAAGCGCTGAGTCGGGCCGCTACTAGTCTCGTGCCATCTCTCATTTCTATATCTTAGAGTAATGCTCTTCTCCGTGGCTCTGCCCATAATCAGTCAAACTATGTCCAAGGTTGAACGTTGAGCGGGCTTCAGGCGACGTCCAGACTCCAGACTCATAAAGGTCAAATTCCAAGACATCATGATGTCAACGTGGGCATCCGCTATCTTCCGGGCCCGGGGCTGGTTAGTGACGGCGACGATTGAAAAGAACTTCATCCATAGACTAGAATGCACTGAGGATGTCCTTCATAGTCACTCTTAATCCTTTTTGGTACTCTACGGGACACTATCTCGCAGATTGTGCGTTACATTGCATACTAATCGTGAAGCTTGTGCGATTTAGCGAGTTCCTCATACCGTAAACGTCGGCCTTTGGGAGGTTTCAGTTTACTGCTCGAATCCTCGGCTGGACCATGAGACGTTGCTTCTTGCTTCGGATAAGGATATCCATTCCTCCGTCCAACGAAGACTTTGGAGGTCATAGTTCTGGTGCCATCCGAATTCAGGACATACCCCTACCTTTTAAAACCTGTGCAATGGCTCACTCGTTCCATATGAAGGAACATGCATTCATTCAAGTTGGGCATAGTCATGGGTCTTGTTCATTGAGGCTTCTACAATGCATGGAATTCCACTTGTCATTTTCAAATACCGGTTACCACCAAGGCATCGAACTTCAAGCGAAGTTGACGGTTGCGTTGGGACACAACCTTCGTTCAATTTCGGCATTCATTCGGTCTCGGTATTCACTCGGACACTTGCGACCTTCCACGCTCCGCGCGCGCCCTGAACGGTCTAGACTCCAACCATCGGGTGCATCAGCTGAGCTCGCGTTCGCGGTCATGTCCCGGGGCCCATATCGAGTACTTCCAGGATTCATGTATTCCATTCATCAGTAAGCTCCTGCTTTGCATCACTAAAGGCAGACACAAACAACGCAGGCAGGCCCTCCTTCGATATTAATGACCTTTGCTCGACTTGCCACCCCCCGCTCCCTGAGGCATCTTTTACCCAAGTTTCATCATGAGCTCCTTCATTGAGATCGACCCCTCCGGTCTTTCCGGCTTCACTATCACCAATCAGCTGTACGACGTTGTCGCTCCTGACAGGAACGCTGCCGGGATTCTTGCTTCCGGCTCAACGTTGACCCCTGTGGTTGTCACAGTCGGCGCACAAGCCCCTGTGGTAAGCAACCGTCGAGTCCCAGCCATATCGTTTGACTTTGCTGACCTCGAGCAGTTTAGGCTGGAGAAGCTCGACAATGGCGCATATCACATCCTTCTCTCCGGCTTGGAGGGAGTTCCGCGCTTGGTAGTCGCCTCTCAGAAGAAGCTTTACGCTCAGGAAGACACTTTGGGAGACAGCACTGACCTCAATCAAGAGTGGGAGGTTCTGTCCACCGCTCGTGAGGGCACGTCCACGGATGATGCGCACATGAAAGGCGTCTACATGTAGGTGCCGATATTGCATGAGGCTTCGTACACGACGCTGATGACCATTTCGATGTCCGCAGGATTGCAGTTCGAGGACAACCGCGCATGGTTTGGACCCTCCGCGACGGCGCAACTGGAACCCAGGTGTGTGGTGTTCCACCCATCCGATGCCGATGTCCATGCGCTCTCGTGTTGATAGCATCCATAGGTCGAGGTTCTCGACATATTCACCGCAAATGGCCCTGATAGTGTTCTAGATGAGAGCATTCCTCCTGCGACAGCAGCAACGCGGGGCAGCGAGCCGATATGGAAGCCTCGCAGGTGGCTATGGCACATTCGGCCTTCGAAGCAGCGGTTCTAAGCGATGAGATCATCGATCCGAGACGAATTTGATGTTTGACCTTGTAATTCAGTATGGCGAATTGTTGTATGGCAATAGATTCAAAGTGCTATGCCTAACTTACCTTAGAAAACTAAATGGGACCTTGTATAACACCAACACAGTTGACCATATCGAGAGAACAAGTTATTTCATAGCATCGCGCGCAGCAAATTGGTGAAATTAATTCGCAATTCACGAAGCCCGCTGTCGCTGTTGTCTGTTCCTTAAACGTGACATAGAGTACATTCTATAAATATGAGATTATAGCCTAACAATGCAGATTAAGTGCGCAGGAGTTTGTTTCAGTGTTGGTCGGTTGGAGCATAAAACGATGATCTAGAGAGAGCGTCCGTGGAACTAGCTGCAAGAAGTTTAAATAAGTGGAGACAGTATAAGGATTGTGAACGTAATCATGAGGTCGTGATCTAGATTGTCCGGGCTTGTGAATATGCGTTGATGTTGATCGACTGGATCACCTTCGCTTGCGATCGTGTAGCTACTAGTGCCTCATGAATCAGTTGTCGTTAGATTTGGGTTCGAAAAATTTCATGAGTTCCTCGAAAGTAGACTCAATTGATGGTGACGGTGGACTGCTACCCATTTGGCTCCCATCGCAAGGCTCGCCAGTCTGCGGGAGCGTCTGCAATGGGAGTTCGTCGGATATTGAGCTGGGAATAGAGACCGAGTTAGAGAGCGGAGGAGTTGGAGGAGTGATTGAAATAGATAATGGAGAGGGTGATGCTGCGGTGGCTTCCACGTTGCAAAGGAACGAACCAGCGTCGAGTAGGAGTGGAAGTTGTTGAGCAGCTTCAGCGTTGGGACGGGAAGGCTGAGGGATGGATGAGAGTTGCGCTTGCATCTCGGCGTATTGATTGGCTCCTGCATGCACCGAGCGGCCTCTAATAGCGGGGGTCGTCGATAGCAGTGGATTCTGAGGCAAGTTCGAGAAAGGCGAAATAGGAAGGTTCGACCATTGTTGCATCGGCTGGGACCCTCCTATAAGAGTCGCGGTGAAACCCGTTGAGGCAGCTTAGAATGAAACTTTGTTAGAGACAATAGCTTAGAGCGAATCGAGAGAGCATTCACCCGAGTTCATGAATCCAGATGATACTCCTTCTCCAGGAACTGACGTACAGTTCTGTAAGGCATGCGTCCGATCATGCAGCGCATCGGCCCCTGCCCGCTGCAAGACAGACCCGCCGAATTGCAGGCTATCGTTCCATAAGCCCATTTCGCTCGAGGCCACGACAGGCTCCTGCCACGCAAGCGCCTGGTATGCAGGTTCCAGTGCACAGCCGCTTTCATACAACGCAGCCGGCAAGCGATAGCTGTATGAAGTGGGCATATCCGTTTGGAAGGGGGGGATTTGCCAACCAGTGCTGAACTGCGGGCTATATCCCTGCATGTACTCTGAGTCCAGAGACACGCTCGACGCTGTATTTGGCGAAGGACATGTAGTGATATACGGCGAGGTTATGTAGAAGTGTATGTCATACCTGAGGGGGAAGTCGTGAGCGATCCCGGGATGGGCGGTTCGCTCAGACTACGATTCCTTTGCGTAAGGCCCCGAGCAGAGGCGGGACGGTATAATGGCGCTTCAGACACAGCAGGGCTTGGAGCGTCCAGCGAGTCTTCCTGCCAATCTGCGTAGAGTGATGCTGACGAGTGTCGACGAGCCAAAAATGGTCCAGCCATCAAGTATTCGTTAAGCTTACTCGCTTGCGGAGGTGTGCGACACATCATGTCTCTCCATTCACGATGGGATGCATTCTTTTTGATGAGGTGTGTTTCTTCATGGCCATCGTTACCCGGGCTTGAGTCGAACACCATGATTAACGGCGGCCGGGTTTCCGGAGGATTACTCCTGCTTTTCGTCCGTACGAGACCTGGTGAGGGTGATGAACGGCTTTCTCGTTTTCGACGAGTTGGTGCTTTCGCACGGAATTCGGTCGTCTTCCATTGCAGGCACTACGAGAAGCTTCATCAACAAATCTCAACTCAGCGAATGGAGTACTAACGTTATGCATTTCATCTCGGCGACTGTCCGCCGCGGAGTTTGGTGTTCGCTGCTGATGCGTCTCATCTTCTCGGCGAGCATCAGTGAGATTCTTCTTCTGCATTCTGTGGAATGTGTCGAAGAACAGGCCACCAAACGAGGTGAAAGGAAAGAGGGATTACGTCCTCAATCCACTCGAAGACGTACGCTTACATAGTATGGGAGCGGCATCAGGGGCAGATCACAGAAATGATAGCCAGATTTCGTTGCTTGGGCGCTAGTCAGCAGCATGGGCAGACTATCGTGGTCGGCATAGCTAAGTTGACAGTCTCAACACCTCGCATAGCAAACAAGACCGCCGTCGCGATCCAGAAGACAGTGCAGGACGACGAGCGGGCTCAGATTACCCCGCAATGGACAGCTGGAATCATGAAGTCCTCCGGTGAAAATGTTCTGGAGAAGCCAAAGCACACAAGCGATGCACTCATCAAGGCAGAACAATGGGACAGCGGCGGAAACAATCACTGCAGAGTGGCAACGTCCGGCCAGAATGATGCCGTCTGACCGCACGGCGTAGTGGATTCGTCAAGAGTATTTCCCGAGATAATGTGCCGCATGCAGCATTAGTGCTTCGTGCCCGGACCAGGCATTATCTGGCCTACACAGCGCAGTGTTAGGTCATTCAGGACCGGATCAACAGATGAGACCCGGTTTCACCTCATCAGTTGAAATGGCACGTTGAATGATCGACAGGTGTCAACTTGAGATGGATGCAAGCGGAGACAACGTTGTATTGTTTCCGAGGAAATGGTCGATAACGGAGAACAATTATCTCTGCGGAGCCGTTAGGTACACCACAGGTAGCAGGCGCTTACTATGATGAGCCGGGACAATAATAGCACGAACAACGTCTCCAGGCCGCAGAGATGGCGAGCTTCCTACGTAACTTAGCACCAGAGCCAAGTGCTGCGTAGTCACGAACCACCACCACAATGTTTGCAGAGCGCTCCAGTGTCCGTCAGATTCTCCCGAAGAGTAATGATCTTCCGATCTTCGGGCACGGCCGCAACATGCAGAGAGAGGCAGCTCAGAGCGCATCCCAAGTGGTTTGCGTTCGTTCCCGGCTCCGAGCCCATAGCAATCGCCAGAATCCGGTCGTCTAAGGTCCTTTGCATGTGAAGGAGGATTTGCTTGTTTGAATACAAGGCGTCGCTGGGCTACGCATCATAAAGTTAAACGCGCAGGCGCCGTCGGACGGCTCTGGCAAAGGAGGTGTTCCTTGTTTTCGAGGCTTTCAGGAATGGCCATGATATAGCCATAGTATTTCGAAGACACTCAGCTCCGGCGCCCGTAGTCCGCAGAGCGACACCCTTGTCTCAATCTCAGCTTTCACTCCTCATGTCATTCGTTGTACGGGCAGAGTCGATGTGATCCTTCCTGTGGACACCAGCCGTGTGATTCATAGAAGCAGCATAATTTAGATGGAGGATGGACAAGACGACACTGTCTCCGACTGTCGATGTGTTTGCCGCCGTTGGACTTGAGCAAGATGTTGATTCTGCCCCCGCGATCTTTCGCAGCACGCGCCCACAAGTACAAACTAATGCAAACAAGATTTCTCCATTAGAAACTGACTCCAAGTTCCGGATTCACCATATCAAAATACATATATCGAAGCCACCCATCTGCATTGATAACACGCCCCATCCGTCCGCGGGATTAGAGGAAGTGTGACAATACGCTCTTGTCTATTGTTCCGGTGGGACAGCATAGGCCATCTCGAGATAATTACGACCGTTGACTGCTCAACTGGAAAATATTAGTACAACCGGGGAGAAGGACTGTTGTTGCGTTGTGAGGGAAATAAGAGATAAAATCTACGACAGAAACATCACGTCCTGAAGATGCTAAACCGTCTCAATCATCTCGACAGGGAGTGGAGTGTAACCCGCCGATCTGCTTCCCCGGAAGAGGCTCTTGATGCCGCCCCAGAAGTCAGAAACGATAGCCTGTAGGCCATCCCACATCGAATTCCGGGGCACAACCTCTCCAGGCATGACGCTTGATGGCGGTCTTGTCCACCACCTCAGCATCAATGAACTTGTCACCACACTGACGGAAGAGAACGCCATGGCCGCACCTGCCATCATGGGGTGCAGGCGCACGCCGAGCGGCAGGAAGAACCCCATTGCAAGCGGTATGCCCAGCAGGTTGTAGATGCACGCCCACACTAGGTTGCGTCGGATGGTAGCGAAGATGGCGTGCGAGAGATGGAGAGCGGCGACAACGTCGAGTAAATCTGAGCGCATGAGGACGATATCCGCTGCCTCGATAGCAACCGAGGTGCCTGAGGACAGAGCAATACCGATTGAGGCTGCCACCAAGGAGGGAGAGTCGTTTATGCCATCGCCGACCTACGCAAATTTGAGCTAAGAAACGGACCGCAACAAAGATATACATACCATTGCGACTCCAGCGCCGTGCTTCTCTATGAGCTCCGTAACGACAGTAGCTTTTCCTTTTGGACTCATATTTGCCCAAACCCCTTCAGGTTTGATGCCAACCTGCTTGGCGACGGCGAGTGCAGTCCCTCGGCCATCACCTGTCATCATGTTGACCTCAATGCCCATTGCTTGCAACGCCTTGATAGCATGCACGGACGACGCTCGGGGAACGTCTGAGAGAGCAATGGAGAGAACAGGCGTGGGACGTGATGAATTGACAGATACGGATACGAAGATGGTGGTCAAGCCCTGTGACTCTTCCTGCGTTTTGAAGATGGAGAGCGACGACGGCAGTTGGGCATCATCCGACTGCAACACGAACCGTGGATGTCCGACGTAGACAGTGTACCGTCCCTTCGACCCCGACAAGGTGACGCTAGCTTTCACTCCGGCACCAGGCACGCCCTCGAAAGAGTCGATAGTGGCCAGTGGCGAAGCGGAGATAGACTGTGCTAGCAAATTCTTGCCATATGTAGCGACGGCCTTAGCTAAGGGATGTTCGGACCGCGCTTCTGTTGCCGCGACCATAGCGATGACCTCCGCACGCGATAGTCCCTCGGCACATTTTGCAGTGAGCGATGCCTCCCCAAGGGTCCCAATAGCTCCATTGGCATGAGCGTGAAGCTCATCGTGGTCTGCAGATGGCACCCAAACTGCACTGACAACGGTGAGCTTGCCCTCGGTGACGGTACCGGTCTTGTCTAAAATAATGCGCCTGATCGACCTGCTCGCCTCCAACGCCCGCCCGCCCTTGATCAGAATGCCATTCTTCGCACCCATACCTGTGCCGACCATGATGGCCGTGGGCGTGCTCAAGCCGAGCGCACACGGGCAAGCGACGACCACGACCGATATGCATAGCTGAATACACACCGCGACCTTGCTCGCGCCCCGCTTGTGGAACATTTCCGGCAGCGCGCTGTCGCTCACGATGTGCGAGATGATCATCCATGCGGAGAACGTGATGACCGCGAGCGTGATTACGGTCGGCACAAAGTATCCCGCGACCTTGTCCGCAAAAGCTTGGATAGGCGCCTTGCTCGTCTGCGCGTCTTCGACGAGTTTCACGATCTGCGCAAGCGCCGTGTCCTTGCCTGCGCGTGTCACGAGCATGTCAAACGTGCCGAGCCCGTTGACGGTGCCGCCGATGACATGGTCACCTACTTGCTTGTGTACTGGCACAGGTTCGCCCGTCACGGCGCTCTCGTCGACGGCGGAGGAGCCCTTGACGACGGTACCGTCTGCAGGCACCTTGTCACCCGGGACGAGCTTGGCAATGTCTCCGACTTGCACGAGTTCAGTGGGTATCCTCTTTTCCTGCGTGCACGCTGGCGCGTCCGTATAGATCGTGGCCATAGATGGAGCCAACGCCATAAGATCCGTGAGCGCGGCGCTGGTGCGGCCCTTGGCCTTGTTCTCAAGGTATCGGCCGAGCGAGACGAACATAATGAGCATGGTGCTGGTATCAAAGAAGGTGAATGGATGGTAGTTGCGGTCCGCCAGGTAGATAGCGTATATCATCGCCCCGAGAGAGTAAAAATAGGCGGCCGACGTGCCTAGCATGACCAGCACGTCCATCGTTGCGCCGCCGTGCTTGAGCGCCTTGTAAGCATTCCTGTAGAACTTCAGGCCGATCCAAAATTGTGCAGGCGTCGTCAAAAGCAATGCGAGCAAGTCTCCGAGGTACAGACCGGGCATCAATGGCATCTTGAACAGCATGCACACACGTGGGATATGCGGTACGACCATGCTGATGAAAAACACGGGAATAGCAAAGGCGAGACTCCACTGGAACCGTCGGCGCCATTCTTGAATCTCCTTCGTGCGCGTGAGCGAGCGCAGCTGCGTCACGTCCTCCTGATCTGAGAGCATCGCGTCGAAGCCCATCTCCTCGATTCGCTCGACCATCTCCCTCGGGCCAATTGCGGAACGATCGAACTCAACTCGACATGTCTCGGTGGCGAGTGAAACAGCGACGCTACTGATTCCGGGTAGCGTACTCAATTCTGTTTCAACAGTGGAAGTGCAGGAAGAGCATGTCATTCCGTAGACTCGGAGGGTGACGACATCTGCGCGCGCCGGTGGTATGAGTGTTGCATCGAACCCCATGTCAGATATTTCCTATGGAGACAATTAGTTATTAGAAAGAGAGAGCACAGTGTCTCGACACATACATCGATGAGCTTGTCCGAATCCCACACAGCGGGATCATATTCCACCACGCCACGTTCCGCAAGTAACGCGACCTTGACGGAGTATATTCCTGGTTGTGTCCTGAGTACGCTTTCTATCGACTATGCGCTGTTAGACGGGATCGAAGGTCCAAGTAGATATACGCTCACCTCAACACACGAGCCGCACGTCATGCCTTCTATCCTTAGCTCGCATTTCTCCGAAACCAACCCTTTGCCGGTTAAGGGCTCATCCTCGGACATTGGCAACTCGACCTTTCCAGCAGGCGCAGGATTATTGTTTGCAAGCAAAGTGGTGATGACATTCGAGAGCCCCGAGCCCGACATGGTGAGAGATGGGGGGATTAGATTAGAGATGGGAGAATGAAGGGTCGGGGGCTATGAATACGGTGACAAATCAAGCGCTATCCAGCGCGCACTGACCTACGAAACACGTTGCAGAGTACTCCTGGACGGACAAAGGCTGTGCGTAGACCGCAGACCGGCCGAACATGCATATGATGAAAGAGCCGGGAGCGCGATTTGGCGGCGGGTGCCAACCGACCGGAAGAGGAAGCACGTTCTCTTGGTTATTTATCATTTTTCATAGCAAGGAATTCCCTCGCTAGGAAAAGGCATTGAAATTGAACCAACCAAGCGAATAACTTGATAATTAGAAGAAATGCGAATTCGCACCTTTCCCGAAACATTAATTCGTGCCGATTGTCTCACACGGCAGACATGACGCAATTTATCAAGGTGGGAAATTGTGTGCGAATATCAACTGATTTCTTACACATGTGACAAATATTTGCAACTATGGCATTTCATGCTAAAAATGTTTCACTTTGGCTGTGAATGTGAACTATTTGCGATTTAAATGCTACATTGGCAAACCTTTGCCGCAAATGTAAGACACCAGCCGACATTCCCACACTATTTTCCACATTGATAAATCGCATCATGTCTGCCGTGTCAGTGGCTGGTAGGTTGTCAAAACCAAATGCAAACAATTTTCTGACAGTGAGATTGAGTACGTCATTTGCAGTGCTCTTATAATTCAAGGCGGATAAAACTAGCGAGACTGATGAAGCAAAGCCTTGAAGAATTAGCAATCCGAATGTGTGCTCAGCTTCCGTTGAGGCATATTAATGAGGAAATTCGGATGGGTCACGTGCATGCATTGTCGCGTCGCGCTTAACGTCGGTGGCCGTGGCCATGGCAAGGGTCATAGCGACTCAGCTTGGACCACCGTCATCCCCATCAGCCACATTATGTCTTCGTGAGCAGTATTTATCCCCGCCACAACTAGTTATGGCTATTCACGACAACCCGTCCACGCAGTCCTCAAGCTGAAATGCCCACAGCCACAGACAAAACCGTATCCATCGAAGAGGCCATTGAACATGCAAAACGCGCCTTTGCCCTTGGAAAGTACGAACAGGCCGTCGAGGACTATGCCACTGCTTTGGAGCTTATGTATGTGTCACGTCTTGGGCGCGTTCGACGCGTCGAAGTGACTAATCTCTTTGTGCTGAATCAGGACGATGAAATATGGCGAAAAGGCTCCAGAGACGGCTGACCTGTACTTCGCCTATGGAAAGTCACTATTGGAAAATGCTATTGCACAAAGCTCTGTGCTAGGAAAGGAGCAGACAGAGGACGCAGGGCTAGGAGAGCTAAAAGGTGAGCCAAGCTACAAGCTGCGCACTGCGCAAGTCTGACACAAAATAAGACTCAGAGACTTCAGCAAGTGGGAAGTTCCTCTCCTTCTCTGGAGATACGGAAGATAACGACGAACTTCTTCCGGAGGGCAAAGAGGACGTCGCGGTGGATCTTTTTGCTGAGGCGGAAAAGGCAGTGGCAGAGGAAGATGAACGCGAGGCGGAAGAGGAGGAAGCTGAGCCCGAGGACGACTTCAATGCCGCATGGGAGGTGCTCGATCTTGCACGCGCGATATATGAGAGGGAGCAGGACGACGACGCCATCAAGCTGAAGCTTGCGGACACCTTCATTGCTCTCGGAGATGTCTCTCTCGAGACAGAAAAGTTCGACCAGGCAATTACCGACTACACCGAGGCACTCAAATTGAAGGCCGAACTGCTACCACAATCTTCTCGTCAGATTGCAGAGGCTCACTACAAAATGAGCATCGTGCTTGACTTGACGTCAGGGCGCCTAAGTGATGCCATCACACATGCCGAGCGCGCTCTCGAGAGTGTGGAGGCGCGACTAGCGGAGCTCAGAGATGCGCTTAGTGGGCAAGGCGTGGTGCAGATAGAGCTTGACGAGAAAGCGGATGCGAAGGGCAAAGGCAAGGCTACTGGCCCGAGGATCCTTGGAGACGACGCAATCCAAAAGATGAACAAGACACAGATGGAGGCTGAGGTAAAAGAGCTGCAGGATCTAAGAGAAGACTTGGCATTGAAGGTACGTTCTTCATGCCTGCGACCCGGCGAGACTCATTCCGTTGCATAGGTGGAGGAGCTGAAGACAGCGCCTGACGAACAGTACGAGTCAGCACCTGCAATGGTAGCTAAAGCTCTCGACAAGGAGCTCAATGGAATCGCATCCGCGATGAAATCAGTTACTCCACAGACCGTAACCGATCTCACCTCGATAGTCAAGAAGAAGAAAAAGAATCCGGATGCTGGACCAGATGCAGGCGATAAACGCAAGGCTGAAGAGGAGCCAATTCCCTCGCTACCATCGGAAAAGAAAGCTAGAGTAGAGGAAGTCCCAGAGCCGTAAAAGACGCGGACGTCCACTTTTCCACGATTACTCACTGTATGCATCGCTTTTAGATTATACTCAGGATACACCTGGTTATACAATAGCATTATTGCTTACGACAAGAAGGGTACAGAATGCGCATCAATTCTCTTATGTTTATACTTCTTCTTGCCCTCGCCTATTCCAAACTCGCCTACGATATGCCCCTTATCCCCTCTACTCTTTAGCATATATTTGTACGTTACAAGCCCTTCGAGCCCGACTGGCCCTCGCGCGTGTATTCTTCCTGTGCTGATGCCAACTTCCGTGCCAAACCCATAACGGAATCCGTCTGCGAAGCGCGTGCTGACGTTAACGAACGTTCCCGCTGAATCTACGCCGCGGCAGAACATAGACGCTGCTGCGGGATCCTCGGTGACGATGCTATCGGTGTGATGCGATGAATGCGCGTTAATGAAGCGGATAGCCTCTGCGAGCGAGGGCATAGCAATCACGGACAACGTGAGGTTGAGATGTTCGATGGTATATGCATCGGGCGTTGACGGGTGTACGTGTGTGCTGAAATTGGCCGGAGCGGGAGAGAGAGAGGAAAGGGCAGACAGTGTCGGTGCGTCACAGAGAAGCTGGACATCCGCGGCGAGGAGAGCCTTAGCGACCGCAGGCCAGACTGTCGACAACAAGCTTTCATGAACAATGAGAGTTTCTACTGCATTGCAGGCGGCCGGATAGTTAGTCTAGTAAGTGGACAAATTAGGGTAGCGAAGCCGATATCGAAGACATCTGACGCACCTTCGAGTCAAGCACAATTCTCACTGCTTTGTCGAGGTCCGCCGCCTCATCCAGGTAGACACTGCACAAGCCATCGGCATGGCCCATCACAGGAATCCTTGTATTGTTTTTGATGCTTCGTACTAGGCTGTTGCTCCCGCGCGGGATCACCAGGTCAATGTACTGGTCTAGAGAAAGCAGCGCAGAGACTTCTGCCCGTGTCTGGATAGTTTGGATATACGAGCTCGGAATAGACGTTCGTGATAGGGCAGTCTGTATGGCCTTCGAGAGAAGCTGGCTGGTCTGGTTTGACTCATGACCTCCTTTCAGAATGGCAGCGTTCCCTGATATTTACTTCATCAGTGCAAGTCCTCGGACTCGATTCTCTACGCAAACACACCTGACTTGATAGCCAGAGCAGCAATGTTGATAACAACTTCGGGACGCGCTTCGAAGATGACCAATAGCACCCCGATCGGACAGGAAACCCGGTACAGCTCGAGTTCGTCGTCGAGCTCATTTGCATAGGTCACCACGCCGTTAGGATCCGGTAGTCCTGCAACATCGGTAACACCTTGCAACATAGAATCCCACTTGTCATCTTTACCGAGGTCCAGCCTTTTCAGCATAGAACTCGACATCCGATCTGCATCAACCTCCAGTTGAGCAGCCTGAGAGGAAGATGAGATGAGAGCTGGGCCTCTTACTTGGCAAGATGAGTATGCACCTCAAGATCTCTCCTGTTTGCTGCTAAAATCTCTTTTTTGGCCCCCTCCAGCTCCTTGCGGATCTCATAAAGGGCTTTCACCCTCTCCTCGGCCGGGATGAGTTGCGATGCCTCGAATGCTTCTTTGGCAGCTTTTGCAACGGCCTCCGCCGCCGAGATATTGTTTGTGTCGGACATTTGAACTAGTCTTCACAAAAGTGATATGTAAAGTCTTCGGAGCAGGAAAGAAAGGAGCGGTTGAATGTCTTTGACTTGAACGCGGTCGCCGATGGCGCCTGATAAGTGGCGCTGACTCGATCGTCTTACTTTGATGGCTCTTCCGTCCAATCTGATTAGATATTGCAAGGACCCAGTAACCCCCACACCAAACCGTTCCGATTTCGTTTCTCCTGAAACCCGACATGGAATGCATGGTCCGCCGATACAACTACACTTGGGTATTTTGTTTGTGAGGGCCACAGAAAATACTAGCGCTCGTGAAGTAAGCTAATAGACGCGAAAGCAGCAACATTAGATACCACTGGGAGGGCAGAACGCTATCGTCGAGAATTACGAATAAGACATCACACCGAGAAAGAAGAGTAAGAATCATCACTAGATCAAAGGACCACTCTGATACTGCTGCTGCATATTTGGCAGATTCTGCCCCGTTCCGAACTGCCCTGCAGCGAATGAGGGCATCCCCGGTGCAGAACCGTTCATGCCAAACGGCGAGTTGCCAAGGCCAGGGTTTGACTGAGAGGTTGGGAGTGGTGGTGGTGGCTGGTTTGTGAAACCTGCCCCAGCGCCGAATGGACCGCCAGTCATTCCAGTTGAATTCGCAAACATGGTCGCCCTGAACGGATTCGCAGCACCCGCGGAACCTGTCATCTGAGGGCGGAGACCAACACCGACAGTCGATTGGCCCAGATTGCCTAATGCTCCTGTCGGCTGTCTTGTCAGCGCACTGTTCTGCTGAGACCCGAAGGCACCCGTCGACTGTGAGTTGAACGAATTGGGAAGTTGCGTGCTAAATGCGCCCGTCGGTTGCGAATTCAACCCGCCAAACCCAGTCTGCTGTGTGTTCAGTCCATTCAGCCCTCCGCCAAACATCAATCCTGACGTGGCCGCAGCACCATTTGAAGTCGGCGAAGAGAATTGTGGCTGAGGTGTCGACGGTGCCGATGGAATAGGCGGGAGCGATTCGAGCAGTGCTGCCCCGAATGATGATGAGGGTTTGAACGGCCTGAGGCCGCTCAAACCTCCTGTCTTCTGGGGCTGAAGTGCAGATGTCCCCATCGTGGGCGAGCCTAGTGACGTGTTGTTGGTCATGCCTGTAGGCTGGCTTGACAAAGAGGAGAAAAGAGAGTTAGAGAACGTGGAACCAGTAGTGGATGACGGCAGTGACGTCGGCTGCGGGTTCAGCGGCGACATGGCAGAAGGGTTGTCATTGGGCTCCCCGAGCTTATTGAACGTAAATGATGAAGCAACACTTGCCATAGCAGACCCTGTTGGATGTGTCCCGAACTGCGAACTGAAACCGCTTGTACCACCGGGTGATATCTGCTGTTGCTGTTGCTGCTGCTGCTGCCAACCACCCTGCATGCCATTCTGCTGGCTGTTCTGTGCAGCACCCATCGCAAGCTCGAACAATGTCGGCGGCTTTGGCATGGGCGGCGGAGCAACGACAGGCGTGCCGAATGGATTCCTTGATCCTGTTTGATGCGTCTTGATCGGCTGTGCAGGGGGCGGACCCGACGACGTTGATGACGTCGACGGGTGTGAAGTAAGAGGAGCAGACATCGGACGCGCAGGACCAGCATTAGCAGCATAGCCATTGGGCTGTTGCGCAATGGGCGCGGCCATTTGTGAGGACCCATGCATAGAGCCGAACGCGCTGAATGAGGGCATGTTCGCGCCCGTTTGCAGCGCTTGCATCCCCGTGCTCTGCGTAGGGAAGGGGTTCGTATTGATAGGCTGCTGTGGTTGTTGCTGCTGACCCATGCCCATGTTGAACGCCGCCATCCCGGTCATCTGCGGTAGCATCATTGTCTGCCGGAAGGGGTTCGAGCCAGTCGCTTGTGGCTGGAGGAACCCAGTTTGCTGCGGCTGCATGAACGGCGCAGGCTGCTGCTGCTGCTGCATCTGCATACCGAATGGATTTGTCGCCGTGTGCTGGGCCATGATGAAGCCCGTCGGCTGTGGCTGCATCTGCATCTGCTGCGGTGCGAATGGTGCACCCGTCATCATCTGTACCTGGTGTTGAGCAAAAGGATTGTGGGCAGCATGTTGCTGGAAGTAGGCGCCGGAAGGACTGCTGTGCGATTGAGCTTGACAGTAATACTGACATTTCGTGCAATGTAGCCTACCTGTTAGTTTGAGGGTTGAACATCGTCTGCTGCTCTCCTTCGATCGCCGAGAAGAAGTCTATCATCGCCTGGCTGTTGGCGGCCTTGCTAGCTTCAGCGGGAGTCTCGGTCGATGTCGAGGGCTTCGTCTCAGGCGCTGCATTGACAGCTCAATAGACGTACTCCGTCCGACAGTAGTGACATACCTTTCTCCTCAATTTTCGCTTGAGGTACGGGTATAGCCCTGCTACCTGGCTTATCAGCAGCCTCCTTGTTCGCTTTGTATTCTATTCGGTTTTGTTCGAAATTCGGGTCGTTAAGGTACTCTTCAAGGGCTCCCGCTAAGGAGACTGGAGCCTGAGGAATTATAAGTCCCACTAGCTAACAGCAAGGGGTAGGAACTGACATGGCGGAGATTGGGGACAGGGACGTTTAATATGTTCTGCAGCTTCTTGGCGACACTGAGGTATTCGACAACATGTTCCGTCTGCTCGCAGAAATGGCGATACAATTTCAGGGCTTCTTGTGCATCGCTCTTGAACATTTCAAAATAGTGTTCCAATACGTTGATGACACCCTCGTTGCAAGCCTGGAACAGAATCAGCAGATCTTTGACCAACATGCGGAGGGCCGTGATGTTCAGCTCGTTATCCAGGTCATCGAGGTAGAACTTTCATAGGGGTGAGCACTGCACCAGCATACCGCGATTGATATACTCACTCGGCATTCGACAAGCGCATCAATCATCTTCTGCACGACTCTAGTTTCCCGCAGCAAACCCTTCTCCACTGTCATCACCCGCAACTTCCTTCCAGAAATGGTCTTGCTTCGTTGCATTCCTCCATAGTCCAGATCTCTCATAGCCGACCGGGAACGGTACGAGCTCGAACCCATCTCCTCGATTGCGGCAGAGTTGCGCATGTCCCGGTTGTTCTCAGACTGCACACGAATAGCGTCGTGCTTCAACTGTGCATACGCGCGTATGCGAATGTCGAGGTAGTTTGCATAGTGCTGGATGTTTTGCGGAGCGTTGTACCCTGTGCAGAGAGTCAATATCATGATCGCTGGACATGAAGCAGACGTGCCTTCCCAGCTTCCCGCAGATACATTCTTCAGCCTGAGAACATCGGATGACGACAAATAGGAGAGCACATTGTCTGTCGAACCGTTGCGAATCATCATGTGCAGCACGATGAGCGCCTTGAACACAACCTGGACGATGAAGTATGTCAACCGGGACATCAATAGTAGAGTTCAATCCTGCGCTCACCAAGACATTCGGTTCACGGAACCTCGGAACCAATGCCCTGCACACATCATGGACTGCCCCGTCTTCAGACCAGGTGGCGGCAAGGATCGGATCCAAGTACTGATGCGAACTTAATGAAGTGCCAGCACTTCCAATGAACATGAGAACATGCCTTGGCCTTCGGCGGGTTAGGCTTTGGCTTGCAAGCCCCTTTGACCGCCTTCTCGTAGCTTGACATGCCTGCAGGGAGGGTGCGAGGACGAGCGGACGAGAGTCAGCGACAAAGGCGGTTGCAGAGCGTCGAGGTCACCGGTGGCGACGGTTCCCAATATGGCAAGCCCTCATAACGATGAATCTGAGTGAGAGGACCGCATCCGTTCCATCCAGTCTCCTCCAAGTTATTCCGCACGGAACATAATTCGTTGCGTGTCGCCCGACACGCTGCTAGAAAGATATCCTGCGAATTCGAACAATTTGCACGGTCGTGATCTATCTGCTGCGCATAATCCACTGCTGCTGCGCCTCATCTATGTTCTCTCCTTTCCATCTCCTAGCCCTGGGTCTCTGTGCGTGAAGCTGCCACCATTCGGGCATCTAGTTTTTTTCGTCGTCTCCGTCGCCTCATAGGCTGGCTTTTGGCGACACTCTCCATGTTATCTCACATGCTCTCGTCTGTCTTGGACTCCTTCAAATACCGGCGCGTACATAGTCGCCACCTGGGCTTTGCTGCATTTGCCTGCCTCGTTATTCTCACACTCTACTATTTTACATTACCACGACATGACAAGTCAGCCGTGCATTACAGGTCTCCATTCGTTAGCAATACTTCGCGGGAAGAGTGGAGGCAGCGCGCAGAGCAGGTGAAGCAGGCCTTCCGTCACGCTTACAGCGGATATGAGAAGCATGCCTGGGGTTATGACGAGCTACTGCCATTGACAAATGGAAGCAAGAATAAGTGAGCACATTCAATCATCCTCTGTTTCCACGTCCGCCTTGAGCGATGCATGGAGAAATTAGAAACGACCCGCTTCCCTTCCAACACGGTGTCCCCTTATTTCTCATATGCCCTCTTCAAGCATATGCTTAGTTATGCTTTGCGTTTGTGGATTTTGGGAATAGCGAAGAAGCTATTCGTTATGTTCAGATCGAGCCCCAGGTATATCGTTTGTGGCATGCCAAATTCTGCCAGATTGCGTAGTAATGCGCATACACCTTGCCAGCGAGCTTGCTGTCTCCCCCGCAATATCATTCTGCCGAGCACAACGTAGCCTAGGATGGGCTCTTACGTGGCATTGTCACTACGGTTATTATTTACCCTCGGTCTTTCACTGTGACATATGCTAAACATGGGCCGTTCGGGCGCATTTTGCACACTCAGTTATTCCCTTACGGGGTTTCTGTTGGCATGGCTTACAGGTACATCATTGCATATTCGGCCTTCATAAGCCGGCGATGAAAAGAGAGTTTGCCACTTGCTGGGACGCGCGTCAGATTGTCTTGCTCGCCTGCACTGTAACTCGTTTCCATACTGTCTGTTCATATACTGTTCCTTCAATTCCAGGCAATGACAATATGCAAATGAACTGACCTTTGTTCACTCCACAGCTTCAACGGATGGGGGGTGATGCTGTTCGACTCCTTAGACACGATGATCATGATGGACCTCCACGACGAATTTGCGCGAGCCCTCAAAGTGGTCGAACGAGCCGATTTTTCGCCTAATCCAGTGAGTCCGTATTTCGCGCGTGGTACAGTTCATTTGCTAGGATGATAAATGTAACAATTACCGTAGTCTATTACGCAGAATCCCGGCTTCGCCCCGTTCTTTGAGACGGTAATCCGCTACTTGGGAGGGCTCCTGGCGGCCTACGCACTCTCCCACGAGCCCATCCTTTTGCAACGCGCAGATGATTTGGGTCGAATGCTCTCTCCAGCATTTGACACACCCGTGGGCTTCCCAATGTTCGGTGTCAACACGGTCACGTAAGTAAGATTTCGCCACACCTCCGCACTGCCGCAGTGCTTTGTGTTCGCGAGATTGACATTTACATCAGGGGCGAAACTATAGGCCCGGTGGTCGGCATCCTGGCGGAGATTGCCAGCTGTCAGCTTGAGTACACTTATCTTGCACAGCTCACCGGAAGGAGGTCGCATTGGGAGAACGTAAGTGGCATGTGGATCGTGTGATGCGTGGCTTAGCTGAACTCTGAGAGGATAGGCGGACGTCGTCGTGCGGAACCTCGCTAACGCGGGTATGGATATGCTTCCCAGGCGCTGGAATCTTGAGACGGGCAGGCCGATCGATTGTATGTCCGACGCCTTTTCTGTGTTTCCAGGCTCGTTGACCGACGATTTATGTGATGCAGTGGTTTTATCAGTCGGTGCTGCGTCGGATAGCGCTCACGAATATCTATTGAAGCAGTATCTGCTCACTGCGCAGACAGACAAAGAAAGTTACCAGATGTGTGAGTATCAACATGACTGTTGGTGGCCGTGCACCGCCCGCTAACTCCAGCGGCAGACTTGCGAACCACGAACCACATACTAACCCACATGCTCTATCTCTCAGAGAATCGCGAGCTGCTTTACGTGACGGACACGTCGCATGACAACTTTGCGCCTAGTCACCGTTTTGAACACCTCTCATGCTTCCTCCCGGGTTTGTTCGCGCTGGGTGCAGATCAGCTCGACCTCTCCTTGGACCATCTTGACCGTAGGACGCTTCGCCCCGAGGGCCGACGCGCATATGATCGTCTCAAAGGCTACGATCTGCGTGAGCTGCATAGATGGGCCGCGGAGGGTCTTGCGACGTCATGCTACCTCATGTACGCCGACCAATCAACCGGTATCGGGCCCGATGAGGTTATCTTCCAGCCTAAGATGCCTGCAGCTGCATCCGAGACGCGGTGGCCGTTTGGGTCGCAGTATCAGGGCAAACTGTGGATTGACTACGTGGACGACTGGCGGAAGAGAGGACAACGTGGCGTGCCTCCGGGTTTGGGCGACAAGCCTCCAGTGCGCTTCACTGAGGAGGAGCTGAAAAGTGCCAGGTTGAGGAAGATGAGAGTGCCGGAGCGAGACTACGTGATACACAACAGCAAGTTCCTGTTACGTCCAGAGGTGTGTGAGTTGCAGGCGCAGATGTCGCGGCGTGGTTGACGATTGTCGTAGACCATCGAGTCGCTGTACATCATGTGGCGGACGACGGGCGATCCCATTTGGCGCGAGCGAGGGTGGGCACTCTTCGAAGCTATAGAGAGAGAGACGAAGACAGATTCGGGCTACGCGTCGGCACTGAACGTGCTGGCCTCGCCCGCCCCTCTCATGGACGATATGCCCAGGTAAGGGGTCCAAACAATCTGGCCGAGTTCGGGCGCTGATTATCTGCTACGGCCCTTCTTTATGTAGTTACTTCCTGGCCGAGACGTGCGTATCGCCACCCCCGCCATCCCCATATTCCCCGTGGTGCTGACCTTTAGCCCCGCATTAGCCTAAAATACCTGTACCTCCTGTTCCACGAGGAGGATATCGTCCCACTGGACCGCTGGGTGTTCAACACCGAAGCACATCCTTTCCCGGTGTTCTCGTGGTCCCCGTGGGAGAGGAGCAAGTTCGGCATTCCAACGCCCTCCTTGCCATGAGGTCTCCGCGGTGCGCGGTGGGGCGCCACATCTCGTAAGATAGCGTACGTTTCTTCTTTGATCAGTCCGAAGATCCGAAGTTCAGATTCCGAACTTAACAGGGCTTTTCACGGCAGACAGACCGTTCGTCGGCATTCGCGAGCTTGGCAGCGGACGTTCCTCTGGCGAGATCGCTCTCGAGCGCGGTGATTGTGCATACGAGAAGGAGGTCATATGTGTACGGGCCACTAGACTGCGGTTGATACAGTGAGGGCGCCGATTGACTAGATATATCTTACACCGATGATTGAGAGTCCTGATTATCTTGCCACCTGACCTTAGAGGCGCTTTTATGTATGAGGAATGATCGTATTATGTGTAGACCGTCTAGGTGTCTACCCCTGAGTGTGCGAGTGTTTTGAAGTGATCCGGCAAGGCGGGGGCGCTGCGCCCACTGGAGGACATTCTGCCTGAATTGGTGCCATCGGTCGGCATCAGCTGCCAGATGTCCGGAAAAGATCGGTCCGCTCGTCCCCCTCAACAGAGCTTAGGAGTCGGCCGGGGCATATGAATATGAGCCTTCTCCACATTTTCCGCAGGCATTTCTTCTTCTCCACTCCCCGCCTCCACTATCGCTATCTGACCATGCCTTCGCTCAGGCAAGGAGAGTTCGTCGGCTCCCTCGACTGTGGCACCACGTATGTCTCGTCGCGCTGCGGAGTCTTGTGCATCCCTAACCGAGTTGACACAGGTCCACTCGTTTTCTCATCTTCAACAAGCATGCGGACATCGTGGCTCAATACCAAATTGAATACCCACAGTATTACCCCGAGCCAGGGTGAGTTCGACGCGTCTTGACATTGTTATAACGCGTTTTTGATCTCTTCACTCGCAGATGGCACGAACAGGAGGCGGACGAGATTGTGGAGAGTTGCGATGTGTGCATCACGAAAGCATGCGAGACCCTCGAAGAAGCAGGCTGGTCGAAGAACAGCATCAAAGTGATCGGTGCGTCACTGATCTTCTCCCGTATCTTGTCACTGACACCGACTCTCACGCGCCGTGCTCGCAGGGATCACGAACCAGCGTGAGACCGCCGTCGCATGGAGTCGCAAGACCGGCAAGCCCCTCTGCCGCGCCATCGTCTGGGACGATTCCAGGACGAAGAACACCGTCACACACTTTGAACATAAGATTGGTTACATCGGTCTTGAGGTCGAGCCTGGAGTCATCCGGAAGGGCCAAGAGGGAGAGCACGCTCTAAAACAGCTGTCAGTGGGGTATTTTGAGACACTGTCGGTCACTATGCTGAGCTACAGCTAGGACCGGCTTGCAGCTGTCAACCTACTTCTCCGCCATCAAGCTACGATGGATGATTGACCACCATGAAAATGTTAGAAAGGCACACGAAGAAGACGACCTCCTTTTCGGAACGGTGGAATCCTGGATTGTCTATGTGAGTGCTCCGCATGCGGATTTCGCAGGGTCTTCGATGCGTTTACCAAACTACCTTATTCTTTAGTGTTTGACTGGCGGTAAAGGACAAGGCTTGCATGTCACGGAAGTGACGAACGCATCCCGTACCCTCCTCATGAATCTCCACACACTACAATGGGACCCTATCCTCCTAGATTTCTTCGAGATCAAGCCATCGGTACTCCCCAAAATCGCTTCGTCCTCCGAGGTGTACGGCCAGGTGGCGTACGGCGCGCTCAAGGGTGTGAAGATCGGCGGCCTCGTCGGAGACCAGCAGGGTGCCCTCGTCGGTAACAAGTGCCTGAAGCAAGGGGAAGCCAAATGCACTTACGGCACCGGCGCATTCCTGTTGTTCTGCACAGGTGCCGATATCGTCTCGAGCGCGCACGGGTTGTTGAGCACGGTCGCGTACCAGAACGGGCCTGGTGCCAAGCCCGTTTATGCCCTGGAGGGATCCAGTGAGTCTACAACTCCTCGTACCCGTCAAGGCATGCAGGTGTTCATGGTGTATTGCAGTCGCCGTCGCTGGAAGCGCGATTAAGTGGTTGGTGTAATCCGCTACCGCTGCTGCGCTGGGATTTACTATCGCTGTCTCTCTACAGGTTGCGCGATTCTATGAAGATGATATCCTCCGCACCCGAAGTTAACACTCTTGCGGCATCGACACCCGAGACCGGCGGAATCTACTTCGTTCCCGCATTCTCAGGTCTGCTCGCACCATACTGGGACCCCGGAGCAGGTGGCATGCTCATCGGTAACTCTGATCGTGATCATGTTTTTGTCAGCTGTTTGCTCATCGCCGTCCGCAGGCCTCTCCTCATATACCACGCCGGCGCACATCTGCCGAGCGACGCTGGAGGCAAACGCATATCAGACGCGCGAGATCCTCGAGAGCATGAAGCTCGACTCGAAGACGGAACTTAAGCACCTCATGGTCGACGGCGGCATGACAAATGGCGACATGGCGATGGAAATCCTCGCCGATGTCGGTGGTTTCACTGTCGTCCGGCCCGAGATGAGAGAGTGCGTGTCCCGTTTAAGTTTTTATTCTCCGCCTGCTGATCTGTTGCACCTTAGATCGACTGCATTGGGCTCCGCGCTCCTCGCGGGCTCCGCTGTGCGCCTGTTTGGGTGGGACATCAGCAAGCCTGAGACGCTTGCGGAGGTGAACACAAAGGGCACGCGCGAGTTCAAGCCCGATATGTCGGCGGAGACGCGCGAGCGCAAGTGGCTCGGGTGGAAGCGTGCGGTCGAGCGTTCTCTCGGGTGGGAGGAGGGCATTGACGAATGACGCCGCCGGGCGCTGACCGCCCTCGCGCATGGCGAGAACGTCGAGACGAAGGCGAGGGCGAAGTTATAGGTGGTAGGAAGGTATCGTAGGAATGCGATAGTGATATTGTAGCAAAATGTATTATCACGATATACCGAGCTGTACTTTGCTTTTGTGTATGATCTTCGGATGTGAGATATTGAAAGGGCTCAGAGAGCAGTAGCGGATCTTCACTTGTGCGTTTTGCGCTCTCTGAACAGTAATCAGCATGTTAGCAGTCATCTGACACGGCATTAGGAACACCTCACGTCGCTTCTACCATAGGAGATGGAGAGACGACAGCTGGCGCGTATAATTAGACGCACCGTGATCGACGGAAGACATATGATTGTCTAGCATATATCGAGCTTTAGAAATAGACTTGGAGCTGGCGACCACGTAGCATATGGACTTTTTGAAAAAAGTACCGTATGAACACCCAGAGAAATAACTGGATTTGTAAGACGAATCGTCAGGCCTTTCGGCGCGCATATACCCAGTGATACGCACCGTTCTTCCAGGCTTCCAGCTGTGCGTTCTCCGCAGAAACTCACGATTGGAGAGCCTCAACTTGTAGCAATCAAAGGGGTATTTAGATATTAAATTAACTGTCGACTGAATTTGAATAGTGATGGTCAGCGGTCAAGTTCAACGGCTGGAGAGAAGAGCTTGCTGCGATGTGCCAGACGCGAGCCACACCCACGTGACCGCGTTTGACAACCGCATGCGGCACCTCGCGCGCGGGCGCCACGCTCGTCTCGAACTAAATCGTGCATGCTATTGTCGCTCCTCCTTCCTGCACGCGCTGCAGCCATTCATCACTCCTTTGCTTCTTCAATGACTTTGGATGTCTCTACCATGGAAGAAACGCAAGTCGCGCCTTCGCAAGCTGCTAAACGCGGGACTCGATGGAGACGACGATGCTGAGGGTCTCGCACTGGACCGCATTCTGCACGGGCAAAGTGTCATTGGCAAGACTGGTGAGTCAAACGCATTATGGGTGTGCATTCTATAATTTAAAATGTGTATTTATGTAGCGAAGACTAATCAAGTTGATACACTGCGATTCTCTGACAAGGATCTGAATATGCTTGGTACGCTCGAATACGGCCAATACGGGATCGTGCGTGAAATGCTCTTGTTGTAGTTGTCCATTTGAGTTATATTCTATTCTCAGATTGACGTTGTGACCTGCAAGCTGGACGGCCGCGTATACGTGCGCAAGTCGACAGAGAAGCGGTTCGCGATGAAGATCCATGACGTAGGTCAAACCACTTTGCTAATATATGGGGACTGACGCACGTAACCAGCAATGCTCTCCCCAATTTGAGCGCGACATCCTGTTGAAAGCGCGTAGAACGCAGACGAAATGGGCCCCGCATCTGCTGTGTGCGTTCCAGACGCCAACGCACCTCAATCTCGTGATGGACTACGCGGAAGCAGGCACGATGTCGGACGTCCTGGAGTCCAGCCCGTATGAAGGTAGGATACCTGAAGACGACCTCATGTGGTGGGCACCGCAGATCGTCAGTGCGATTGACTGGTGTCATTCGCAAGGCTTCGTACACCGGTAGGCTTCATTCGCTCCCAGTGCAGCTCATTCTCCCATGTCCCTCCTCCAGTGATATCAAGCCTAATAATTTTGTGCTCACTCCTACGTCGCACCTGATGCTGATTGACTTCGGCTCAGCAGCGCCGCTGCTCCCTCGACAGTCGGATGGCAGCCAGATGGTGCCCAAGCAACATTGCCTTGTCCCGTGTGGCACCTGCGATTACATCTCTCCAGAGATTCTCAAAGCACACGAAGAGGCTCTAGTAGAGATGGAGATGGCGGATGACATGTGTCCGCTCATAACTCCGGCAGACGTTGGCGGATACGGGCGCGAGACCGACTGGTGGAGCATGGGCGCCATGCTGTACGAGATGGTGTATGGAGCTGCTCCGTTCTTTGCGAAGGAGATTCGCCAGACGTACGTAAAGATCGTTAATTACTATGTACGTCTATTCCTTCCTTGAATGAGCTGTATCACCGTGTATTTATCCTCTGACTACGAAACATTGCAGAAAAACCTTAAGCTTGATAAATCTGTTCTTATCTCATCACATCTACAAGATCTCTTGAAGCGGTACGTTCATGGACTTCATACACACACTACGCCGTCTCATGTCTCGACAGGCTGCTGACGGACGCAGAGCTGCGGCTCGGCCGTTGCAGCATAGATGATTTGAAAATGCACCGTTTCTTCCAAGGTACGGAGTGGTCCAGCCTTCATCACAGTGAGCATCACTATTATTCAGCAACGTGAATTGTTAGTAATCTGACCCTGTGATCTCCCCGCACAGAACAACCACCAACTAACCTTCATTTACCGCAGTTTACATACTCAGCGCCAGTACATCCCGAGGACGTACCTCATGCATGTTCTCCACCAGACGCGTCACAGTCTCGGGCGTACGCATTCTCAGCCTTGTTTCAGTCGTCGCCCATCCCCGGTCAAGGTAGTCCCCCTGAAACATCCCATGCGGTTGGGAGTGCGAACGCCCCTGGAGGTCGCTCGATACTACGCGAGCAGCCTCTTGCCTCATTCATCGGTTTCTCCTGGGGCCCCGCGAGAGACGCGTTCAAGCACACGAACAAGGACCCGCTGCCGCAAGATCAGCCTGTCCTGAACACGCCTCGTCCGCTCCGTCGCTCTGTGCCAGCTACGCCCTTCCCTCGCATTCCTCTCGAGCGTGGCGACGGAACGCCAAATGTCCCGCGCTATCCGTTCGCCACGCCGATGCGGCCGAACAGGGACGCGCCATTCCACACATTGCCTCGTGCAAGCACCGTCCGCCGCACGGTACAGCGTCGAGCCGTCTCCGACCGCGAGGCCATGAAGCAGCTCGTGAGCTGCGTTGGCATGAGTGCGCGGAAGCGTGTGCTCGAGAGCGGACGCAAACCGCGCATCCTCACTTCGGCCAGTCGCTCATCGCCGTTGAAGGAGCTCCGCTTCGACAGCTCCGTCGTTGTCGTGAGCGCGGCGGGCGCGGTGTCGTACAAGCTCGAGTCTGTGACGCAGTCTGACAGCACGTTCATCACGTCGCTCCTGTCGGGCTCAGGCTCGGGCTCGAGCGAAAGGCTTGCCCAGGGTGCCCTTGGAGAGGATGATGGCGGGATGGACGGCGAGTCGGATTCTGACCTCCCGTCCAGTCCGAGCCCGAGCCCTAGACCGGGGTCTGCCCAGTCAACGATGTCGAAGAGAAGCAGGAGCCGTTCATCCACGACCTCGAGCTCCCACTCGCGGGGAAGCCAGGGTAGCATCCAACCGACAGAGATGATCAAGCGACCTTTCTCTCCTCCCATCTCATTACCGCCGCTTTGGAGGCCGAAGTCGCCATTGCCACCGCAAAAATCCCATCTAGACATCTTTACAGCAGACCTTGCTCTGTCGGATGCCACTCTGAATGGCTTTGATCGGAGATACGCTAAATTGATGGAGGATATCTCACGAACGGAGCGTCGGCTGCAGAAAATCTCCACGAAATTCTGCAACAAGGACTAGGCTGGTGCATCTATATTCTGATATGCAGTATGTAGAGTTAACTAGATGCTTGGACACGCGATATCTTGCCTAGGAAGACCGGACTTTCTTCAGCTATGACTAATTCGATAATGCGATTCCTGCTGTGATGGCTGCACTCTCCGAAGGATATGCATGGATGCCCAGAATGTGAATGAACGTCATCGACCGAATTTCTTCAGCGGGTCCGACTTTTTCCTGCCCCTTCCAGCACTTCCGCCTCGCCCCCCTCTGCCTCTGCCTCTGCCACGTCCGCGACCGCGGCCACTATTTTTGACGAACGGAACAAAGCCGACGTCTCCGTTCGCGTTGCCTGTCTGCGCTTCGACAACCTGTTCTGAGCCTGGAACAGGTGCAATGCGCGGCAGCAGATATTTTGGCACATGCTTCATATGTGGTTGGACACGGGTTGGGTGCAGTGACTTGTCGTGCCGGAGATATTCGAGATCGTTCGGATTGTCTTCGAAATGTGCCTACGCGTGGTTTATCAGTGAGACATAGCTCCTTCCTGAATGGCACGGACCTACCTTGAGCTTGTCCGAATTGAGTATCTCCGCCTTCAGCTCCTTGATCCTGGCCTCCTTGATGGCGCTCCTCGTGACAGCCCGGAGCGCATCCTCCATGCGATACCTGAACGCCTCCACCTGCTTCATATCGAATTTGTACTCTTTGATCTGGCTACCACGCGCCGCCTGCTCGCGCTCAATCCGCTCAAACACCTTCTCATCCTCCTTGGCACTCTGCAGACCCCCGACCACCTTGTTCTTGCCCCACTGATCGCGCGGCACGACGAAGGAGAGCGCCATGCCTGTCCGCCCTGCACGGGCCGTGCGGCCTACGCGATGCGTGTACGCACGTGCTGAGGAAGGAAGGTCGAAGTTGATGACGCAGGACACGTCGATGAAGTCCACACCGCGCGACACGCCGTACTCGGCGTCGGTTTTTCGGCGATGCTTTCGCTTGTTCGATTTTGAGGACTTCTTTGTTTCCGGCGATTCGACTGGTCGCTTGCGCTTCGTCGAGGAGCGGGACGCGGACGGCTCGTCTGCGTCCTGATTTCCCGTGTCTTCCTGTTGTGGCGGAGGTTCCCGCTGCGTGGTGATGACTGCATGAAATTAGCGCATCACAAGGTACCACTCTGCTCTTGCGAACGTACACTCTTCATCGTCATCATTTTTTCCTGCATCTTCGTTCTGCTCTTCCTCTTCCTCTTGCACATCCTCAGAATCGTGCTCCATACGGCCAGTGCTCTCGTCAGAGGCTATTATATAGTCATAGACGCCCTTGTTGAATTCCTGTACGGTATGGTACCTGGCAGCAGGTGAGCGATAGATACCAGTATATACGCATTAAACGTACCGGGAGTTGAGCGGCAGCTCCGAGTTCAGGACACAGCTCTTGATCGAGAACTGCTCCAGGAAGAGCTTCAAGCGATAACACCGATCGACGTCGTTCACGAAGAGGATACATTTTCCCTTGATGAGCTTCAACTTGAGGATGACGTAGGTCAGCAGGAACTTGTCGACCTCTGAACACCTAGAGGTTAACGAGGTCATTAAACAGGCATATAGATCGATTTCATTTCGCATACCGGACAGAGTATTGTGTCAAATTTGCTGCTTCATCCTCGTCTTCTTCCAGTCTTAGAATAGCCTAAGTCATCCATGAAATTCTGTCAATCAGAGCCATACAAGTCATCAGACGCACAGGATTTCGTAGAGCGAGACCCTTGAGAGCTTCGACGTCCTCCGTCATGGTCGCACTCATTAAGAAGGACTGGAAGACCTTAGGCAGATACCCTCCGTTGAAGATCTGTCTCACGTCCTCATCGTGCCCATACGATAAAATCAAGTCCGCCTCGTCAATCACAAGTGTGTCCAGAGACTCGAGCGATAGAGTCTTATATCAAGAGAATTAGACAACGACCGGACCCATAGACAGAGAGACACACCTTCGATTGCAACAGCGCCAGGGCGCGTGAAGGTGTTGCGATGACAATATCTGGTCGGTCCGACAACAACGTTCTGGCTTTCGAGAATTAACGAGGAGGACACGAAATGTTACGTGCATGTGACCTCACCTCTGTAATTGATTTGATGTTCCCGCAGATATGTTGGCCACGATAACCTCCTTGTCGCAATAGGCCAGAAGTCCGCGGAGTTGAGTCGAAACTTGCTCGGCGAGCTCACGAGTGGGTACAAGGATAAGAGCTCGTGTGGCTTGTCTAGAAGCATCCTCGGCAGGAATATTCTACGAGGGGGTCGTCTCAGCATATGTATCCACTGTGGAGCCACCCGATGAGAAATGCACTTCGACGGTGCATGCATCCCGGGTTGACTGAATGCAAAGCAACCATTCGATGTGTGACGGAGATAAGACAAACTCAGAGTGATGAGCCCATGCATACCCACAGCTTTAGCGTTCAAGATTTTTTGCACGGCCGGAATGCAGTATGCGGCAGTCTTTCCACTTCCCGTACGTGCTCTCGCGAGAATGTCGCGATTTTCAAACGCAATCGGGATTGCCTTCGTTTGCACAATAGTTGGCCGCGAGAACCCCATGTCCGCGAGTGCTCGCAACAAACGAGCATCCAGTATGTGAGAGAAAGAGGCGAAGCTAGCTTTCGAGTCTACCAGACGTGCATCAGGCATGGCTGCAGCGAGCTTAGGTCAAAGACCGATTTTGTGAAATCCAGCGGCAGTAGTTTCAGAGAGTAAATTTAGTGCGGACGAGTTACGTGTGCAGTCGCGAGTCGGTATGCAAGCTGTTAGACTTCAGAGAGATTTTCAGCGGCGAGTACAGAGCAAGGAGGGACTTTCCATTCTTGGGTGCCGATCATCTCACCACGTGTTGGACGCGTGAGACGAAGACACCACGGTCACGCAAGGCCACGCCGCGTCCTTAATTCGATGCGCCACAAGTATTCCTGCTAGATTCTCCTGCCAGTACCCTTTGGGCGGCCTGAATCCTATATGAAGCAGCAGCTCAAAGTGGCTCGTATCATTTAAAACTTCTCTAGAATCCGAAATGTCGTCACAAGAGCTATCAGTAGAAATATCCACAAAACCCGCGGAAGCTGTCAGTGCTATCCCGTGTGCGATGTGAGTGAGGTTCAACTTGATGCTTTTTCAAGCGTGCTAATTGCTGACAGCTGTCGGAGACAGTTCTCGAAGTACACATGCCCCGGATGCAATGTACCATACTGCTCTCTGACATGTTTTCGATCTGAGGTGAGTACAAGAGGAATCGCTATCGTAGCCCTGCACGATGCTGAGAAGTTTTATGTCGTACGCAGGCTCATGCGGAGTGTTCAGAATCATTCTACCGCAAGGAAATCGAGTCTGATGTCCGCAGCGCCCCGTCAAAGACTGCCGAGGAGAGGCAAAAGATGATGGAGCTGCTGAAGCATTTCGAGGAGGATTCTATGGACGACAGTGTCCTGGGAGCGCTTCAGGGAGAGGAGGATGAAGATGGTGGTACTGATTTGGCGGAGAGGGTTGGCGGACTTGATCTTGGTAGGTATACCTATTTACCTTGGACACTACTCACGAATACGTCACAGACTCGGCATCCTATGATGAACTATGGGCTGCGCTCACTCCTGAGGAACGCGGGAAGTTCTCAAAGGCCTTGAGTGACCCGAATAGTGAACTTGCCAAGCAGTTGTTGACAAGCGAAGAACTGAAGCAAGAACTCATTGAGCCGTGGTGGGAGTCACCTTCGGACGCTGAATTAAACGAATCCAAGCCAACCGCTGCTTCCCGTAATCTTCAAAAGAGAAAATATGGAAAGCTACCCGACATCATTGAGGTTCCACCTTCCATCATCAGCACCTCGCAATCGCCGGGCAAAGTCCCTTTGCTGCTCTACAATCTCTGCGCAATCTGGTAAGTCAACATCTTCACCGCTACTCATGCCAAACTGGAGCTCACATATGTAGTAGCATAACCTATGCGTATCTTAACCGCTACTTCTCCACGTCGCCACTGTCAATGATGGCTCCAAATAGCCCGGAGCGTGCGGAAGCACGGCGCCTTGTGGCTCAGCTGATTCCCTTCCTGATAGATCGCAAGTCTCAGCTGGTGCACCCAACGCTCTCTAGTGTCGTCACAGACCTATGGTCACGGTTCACACCGGTAATGTACCATCCCAGCCTTTTCAGAGTTATTATTGAGCTGAGTGTTTTCTTCATTACATACGGACAGGGGGAGATGACTCCTGCCTTTTTCGCCCTCCTACTACGTGATTCTTCGACGCTTTTACGGCCTTCTACAGTGGTAGAGCTAGGTGATGCAATTCAAGGATCCAGTTCTAATGCGCTGGGCGGAAGTGTGTCTCGTGATTTGGAAGGTCACCCCAATGCAAATACACTGCGCGCCTTATCCGATTTATCCACGCTTTTCAGCGGACCTACGCACTCATCGTCGTCCGCATCTTCTGCGTCGTCCTCAGCACCTTTAAGAGTGGCTACGAAACCCATTGCCGCGACGAACAAGCACATTCATGTTGCGCACAAGCTGACTTTCTACGCTGCACATGTCCTCAGCGTGCCTCCACTTCTGCTGCGTGCGCTTGCGGATGAAACTGCCCGCCGTGCAGATGTCGTGGCTCGGGAAGGCTTGGATGTGCAGAGCGGAAGTACCAGTACCCAACGTTCAGCAGGAGTGCTACCTGGAGACGGCGCTCAAGCTGTTGGGCAGGGCGGTGCGGGCCGAGTCCGGATTGAAGAATTGACGTGATGGTATGTACTGTAATATTCCCGTCGCACACGCTGTAATCGCACTTCTCCTGATGAAATGCATGCAAACTAGTTCTAGTTTCTAAACTTTCCTGTTTCTACCTCCCGATTCGCCCACATGCTCAATATCCGTCTGATAACTGTGTATAACATTCATGTCTGGAGAACTTTCAAGTACTTTCGATGATGGTTCTTTACGATAAGCACAGACGCCCCATGTACGCAATGTTATAAACCACGGCATTGGAGCCGTGTCCATTCCGTGCCAATGCTCGCTACACAGGTCAATGTCGGTAATAGTGCTGCAGTGTTACATAAGGTCAGCGATATGTCTCACTATGAATACAACCAGAATGCGCAAGAATTCATGCTACGCCGAAATACATAGAGAGGGCGCCATGTTTAGACTGTTGAAGCCGGAAAATGAGGCGAAGCACTGTCGTCGATGGTTTGTCGCGGGTCTATAGGTGAGCTGTGCCCTCTTCGGTTTGTATAGTCTCACGTGTATGACGACATCGCAGTCATGACCCGAATGCAATCGCTATAAACGTGGAATTGTCGGATGTTAAGGTGCTGGGTACTGAAGAATGATTTTTTTTCTCTGCACGACCTACCCCGAGTTGATGCCCTTCTACTTTTACGGCACGGCTGAACAGATATCAATCATATCCTGCTCAAAAGGCTGAACGCGCAATCACAATTCTTCGACTCCGGCGTGGCATCAAAGATGTCACTCACGATGGTCCATTCAGCTATGAGGCGAAGCACCCCACCGACATCCACGATTTCTACTAGAGGTTGAAGGCGAGAAACCCAATTGCCATGGGAACCCTGGCGCTAGGCCAGACTGTCTACGTCGATACTCATTGTCTCGACTAGGAGACGCTGCCGGAGATTACTCTTCGCCGTCTTATCTTGCGTTCCGACCACAGACTTCCGATAGCGACGTTGCAAGGAATTCTGAACAAACTCAAGAACATCGCGCAACGTGCCGACGTTCTGCTGCCACAAAACATTATGCATGTAGTCAGGCGGGAGAGAGCCACCATTGGAGGGTACGAGTTTATTCCGATGAAGGATGTGCCCGAACAGCGAGACCGTATTGTTGAAGATCAGCCGTAGTTCCGGCCTCTACTGACATGCTTGCGATGCTCTTGTGGTAATGCCAGCTCCACTGAGACGAACGTATACATAAAAGACATAAAATAGCCTAGATATTACTCTGTATCTGGCTATGATGGATGAAAGAACTGAAAGGCGTATTTCTTGAGGGTTTGCCGCACGACTGAGTTCCACAGCAACGAAAGTGCCATAAAATGGTCCGATATCGTTCATTTCATGTCGCTGATAGTAGAAAAAATGTGAGACATTTATTAAAACCTGTCTGATTGTTGAGAGTACTCCAAGAGGCACTGCGAATCTGTCTCAGAGGCTATGGCATGATTGCTGAATGCTACTAGACTCGCTGGTCGGTGGCGTCGCCGTCTTGGCGCTATTTGCGTTGTGTTTATACCTGTAGGCGTATATTGAATCACGGGATCGTGAGAAGAACATTCCCTCTGCGCCTCCTTCCACAGTTTCAAGCCACGTCGCCAGCAACGGCTGGCACAGTATCTGGACTTCACCTCTTGTAAATCTCGTTCTGACAAGGCGGACGACTACCGGCATCTGGTCCAATCGAATTTGATCGTGGCGTTCACGCTCCGGGACTCGAAAATGGGCTTCTCTGATGGCCAACGGGAACTCTGCCGGAACTCTTCACTGTAGGCCTTGACAAAGGGACATCAACCATCGTAGAACAATGTGCTTGGGGGAAAAGCGAACACAATGGTATTTTAGCCACTGAAACGTGTTTTACAATGTACTCGATCTGCCCTGGCGACCCCTTGTATTCTCTTTGCGATGTTCTTCCGTTCGTCTTAATCGTGAACAATGTCGTCAGAGGCGATAGGGCAGGAAACCAAGTCGTACGGATGGCCTAGATTCGGTCGATGTTGTTTGATTCTGGCCAACGACAGCCACACCGTCTGGGTTATGTGCCATCTCTCATATAAATACCGCACGATGGCATCCAATCTCTTCTATCTGTGAGTTGTTCTCTTGTAGCTCTTTGAACATGACAGTGCGCCACGCTCCTCGCTCAGTATCGGAGTCTGATTAAGATCAAACTCGTCTACGAGGAGAGGTTTCGGGGCTGTGCTGCAATGCAAGGTATTTATGGGCTCTGTTCCATTTATGCGGAGGAGTCCTCCTCCGTTGCCATCGTCCCATAACTCAAGTGCACTGCAAGTCAGACCCTCGCAGGCCTGACGCGCGATGCCGTACAAGTACAGAAAATGGCCATTGGAGAACCTTGTATCTCTATGTTAAGATTCTACTCTGTCAATGGCACGCATCTTGCTGCTGCTGTTCCAGCCAGGGAGATATTGCGCGATCTTCATTGAAGAGCGAGTTTGTAGTCCTCCCTCTTGTCTACATTTCATGTTACTGTTGCGTGGACCGAGATGACCCGTCGTGCTGTGCACGGGCATCGCAATGTCTCATTTGAGCACGAGGGAAATGACGGCGCCTGTTCCATAGAACCATTCAAGAGTACCTTCCTAAACGGTCCTCTCAAACCCGTCGCCACTCCGCGTTGCCCGAACTTGGCATATTTGGTAATTCGCGCGTCCATTGCAGTGTCTGCCATGCCGGGTGCACTCCGGCTTGCCTCGAGGCTTGCACCGCTTGCGCTGGTCATAAGGCGTCTTTCTCGAATTTCTTCACGGGCTCTCACTGGTCAATTCGAGGCAGCTAGACTCAGCCTTCGTTCTCCGTAGATTTCCCAATCGAGATGGGGGTCTTGTCCGCCATGCGAGGCATCGACGTGGTCCGGAAGGTGACGCCCATGCTCATATTCTCCTTCCTTATATATCCAGGTGGCTAGAGAAGACGAGCGACAATGCAGAGCCACTCGCCAGGGCTGTCCCTGTTGGTTTGTGGCCCGGCGCTTTGACTGATGCCAGTGTCATATAAGCGCACGCCGTCGGACATGCCGGTCCTCTCTCTATCACACTCCGCCTGGATACCTTCTATCCTCATATAGACTGCATGCCTCCGAAGAAGAACAAAGTAAATGGTGGCAATAAGAAGAAGAAACGTGGTCAGGTACCTGTACCCAGATATTTAATGCAAGGTCTCCAGGGAGAACATGCTGAGCACGTAAGGATTTCCTTGTTCCTCTTGTAGTACTGTAGAACGCCGCTGAAAATTACTAGCTTCCGCAATGGGGCTCGACAGAATTCCGTAATCCACGACGGCGCCCTTCAACCCAAACAGGTCATACAACGCAAGAGGGAAACCCGATCCGCCTCAGAAGTAGCAGTAGTCCCCCTCGCCCGCATCCTTCTTTTGCTGTGACTACATCTGCTACTACTATCGCTCCCCCTCCCCTTCCTCATGTGGTGCTATATTCGCAGGTTTCAGCATTTCAGTTAACAAGTGGCCCCCGCGCCGACGAGCAAACTCATTACCTGACCTCGGGTCCCGGTACCTATCGCCAATGGATGACCATGATGCGACAGATAGACCAAACGTCAACAAGCACGTCGAGCGAGCAATCTGTAGTGGGGCCCTCTAGTGCCCGCGACGACTCGCCCGAGCCAAGCGGTCAATATTATGCAGGGAATTCATCGGGCGCTCCCAGTTCCAGTGCGGTCAGGGAGTCGGGTCGACCTCGTCACCATCCATACCAGTTATACAGTAATCATCGTTCGCATTTGGCGGTCAGCATGCCGTCCACTGAGGCGCTGCCTTCAGGTTCGAATTGTTTATGGCACAACTCTCGTTCTATGGCTGAAAGCGACCATTTGACTACAGTAGCGAGTACTAGTTCCGAACTACTCCCGCCGTTAAACATTGGTGCACAGGTTGAGGAAGGGACTCATTACACGGCACAAGATCTCAGGTTCGACCCCTACCGCATGCGTGGCCAGTCCCAGATGCGCTATGACGCCCTCTCATCCTATGGCGGACCAGTCATGGCGGACGAAAGTGGACCTTCTGTTCGCAGAGCGCTCAGTGAAACTGGGTCCGGTACTCAGTACGTGCCGAGTGCATCGCCGAATACCTCGACTGCCTTGAGCAGCTGGCCAGGTGGCTCGGTGCAGGCTCATCCTGCTCCAGGAGCAGATTTATCTGCTCTTCATGTGGATCTCGGTGCCCCTGCTCCGCATCAGTCGAGCTTGGATACACCCCATGACGAGGTGGATACTTCAGACGCATATTGGGAAGATTATATGCACTACACACACTATTATCCCTCAACAGCTGTAGGAACAGATACTGATCCAAGCGTAGGAGGAGGATCCCCTGAGGAGCAGCGCTGGCGAGATGGCTCTTACGATCCGTTCTCTGCGATGATTCAGCAGTCTTCACCAGTTGCTGGACCATCCGATCCCTTATCCCATCCGACGATGTACCCCCAGCTTCTGCCTACGTTGTGGCCATCGAACTATGCGGCGCCTGTTATGTACGCTGGAGCAGCTGCTGCTATGACAGACTCGCAATACTTGAACGCATCTTCACCTGTCGAGACTCATTCGCAGATGTCACAATGGTCCTCATCCACGTCCAACCCGCCTGACGATTTCAGTCAGAATGCACACTCACGTTCAAGATCATTGTCTCTTCCTTTTAATTCAACTCTCACTATGTATGGAAACGTCAATCAGATGAACAGAACTCCGTTTAACCCCTTCGAACCACCGCTCCAGGAATATACTACCGAGAACGGCATGGCTTTTATTCCAGCTTCATCCATCAACAATGCAGGAGGCACCGAGGGCACTACCGAGGCCTCTGGATCTTCGCTGAGTGTCTTCCGGTGGCCTAATGGTGCAGAAGGCAGGAACGATCGATTATGAACTGCGCAAAGATGATCACCGAATCTCAAACACAGAACACTCTATGCAAACGCGGACGAATCACACACTCATTAATCAACTTAGACCATCATCACGCATCGGACGCTCGTTCATTCATCTAACCCCACGCATCATTCACATATCGCCGTCAATCATTCCTCTCATATTCGTTCTTCTCGCATCGCTTCCTGCAATGATCAAGGACAATATCGTCGTCTTCGCTCATAAACCCACTAGAAGACTTTTGCTCTGGTTTCGATTCGCTTTGCTCCTCCAAATCTCTTCGTTCTGTGCTCCTCTTCGTTCTCAAGTGACTATCCTATCTGCCATCACATTATTTGTTCCATCTTACATTGGATATTTGTTCACAGTAAGGTTCATCTGCCGCGTTTTGCCATCTTCGTTCACGAATGGCGATGATCCAAACCTGTTATTTCGTCCCTCTTATATTATCTGCTTTGCCAACGTAGTGCTAAAGTCACCATACCCCTTCGTCGAATATACCAAAGTTATTTCACATAAGTCAGCCCAGTGCATGGCAGCGTCTTAAATTATGCCATTAAAAATTATCCGTCTTCATATCGAGTGGACCGTGAGGCTACCGGTGCCAATGTTTGCCGCTGTTTGCGCACCTTGACGCACGAGGCGGCACGACCCCCGTGTCTGCCGCTGTTTGGCAAGTTAACGTTGGCGCGCGACCCCCCCGCCGTCACATCCTTCAGAGCGACATATGTCGCTGGTTTTGAACTGGCTTTTCTGGCTTTCAGCAGGCGACAACACATGCAGCCATTCCTGGAGAGCTGTACTGACTTATAAAATGTTTAAATATGGCCCGTGAATGCCGCGATCTTGTAGACTGGACAGATGAGACAACATTAATCCCTTCTCCGGGCGTCTTTTCTCGTGGTAGCCTGACGACCTCTTGCTTTTGTCTACGTTCCGCCCGCTTTTCGGCATCAGTATCGAAGGATTGATGAAAATGGAGACCCCTGCAGTGCTTATGGCATTTCTCATCCGAAATTAGTTACCTCCGGTGCACAGAGCCCGTTCTTATCTTTCTTTGACAGCTGCTATTTAGCAGACTATTCTGGTACGTGCCATATCCCCAACCTTTCACCGCATGTGCTTGCAGTGCCAACCGTTCCCTTGTCTTCCTTTTGAGTTTCCTCCTCGTTGCTACGGTGCTGAGCGTCATTCGCCCGGATCTTACGAGACGGAGCCATCCTGTCTCCATTTTTGACGGCAGTGCCAGTTCATACGATTCGTCCCGAATCTCGGCATAGCCCCTCGGGGATGGCTTCTCTGCTGCACGCAGCTGAGACACCGTGTCATTCTCACAAGGAGCCACCTGCACAGCCTACACGGGAAATCATCGCAGGTGCGTCTTTTTGATGGTTACCATATATTACTGGTTGAAGGGACTACCACATCGTTATGTCCATTTTTGACAAATATTATACCGGAGCATACTCTATCGTAACCTCCCGGGGGTGTATCGCATTCACCGAGCTGAATAATCTGTTCGCTATGTTCGCACTGCTCGAAACCGTGACCTGTGCAGTTGATGGAGGAAGGAGCTCACACGGGTCCAGACGTAAAGCGTGAATTTTGCTGAACTCATATGGCGGTTTAGTACCTCAAAACGCGGCGATCAGTGCCACTACCTGTCCTCCAAGCTTCTTCTGAATGCGGTGGCGGCCTTATATGCTCAGCGAGCCGTTAGTGGCGATCTTGAGGTCAGAGCTATGAGAGCCTTTTACTGGTTTCGTTGTCTGGGCGGTGTCAGGAAGGGATGTTGCAGACTTCACAGCTTGTTCTTCCAGGTGAAACCCCTTTCACTCTCGGTGGTCTTCCCGTCTGAACACGTAAGGGTGTCATCTTGAATGAGCATATTCCTCTCCCACTACGATGTCTTCCGGTGTCTAGTCTCATTAGGTGAGGAGTGGAAACACAGAAATGTCTCGTTCACTCGATGTTGAACAGAATACATAATCAAAAAGGTTCGCTTGAGGCTCACGATATCGACGAATAAGTATGAAAAGAAGCAACAACGTTAAACAGTCCTAATACATTGAGAGACGGACATAAAATTGTCTTTCAGTCAATATGCAACGTGATGCGAACGTTCAGCTTGAACAGCGGCAATGCCGGGCCAGACTCTGTTGACTGTAATTTTACCACTGCATTCGGAGATGCATATATCAAGTCGAATCCAATTCAGTCCCGAGCACCTCAGTTGCGGTATCGGACAAGTGGAATGTGGCTCGGGCTGGCCGTCACGAGTACAAAGAAATGACTGCCTTTCTCTGCGAAGGCCGCGGCCGGGCCCGTTCCACAACGCCTGCCTTACTGGGACTTACAGTGTACTGCTCCAAAAGAAGTATAATCCTCCCACGGCTCTCGACCTTTCGTGCACGCCGTGCCTTTCATCCTCACGCGAACGGATGACCAGTCACATTGGCAGCGTATTCTTGGGCGACGTTCAGCGCCATAGAATGCTATCTACATCCCCTCCACCTGGAATTTCACCGCCGCACAGGTCACCGGCCGTGAGCAGCCTACATGACCTCGATTTCGAGGTGGTGGAAGAGCCCAAACCAACCGCTAAGCCACCACCGCCTGTGCCTCCAACTCTTTCACTGGACTTGCGTTTGAGATGGCTAGAGGCTCTGCTGCTTGGAGCACGTCCAGATGTTGCAGAGCGCAAGCACACCGAGACGAGAGCTGGCGAGACTGTGGCGCGGAGCGTAGAGGACCTGCAACGCAAGCTTGATACAATTGTGCAAAGCAATGACGGTCTTCGCAGATTTATGGATCATTGTGAATATTCTTTCCAGGTTCTCGAGACTCGTGACGTAACCGTGCTCACCTACTATTCTGCCAGATGAGCAATATGCCCAGTACCTCACTCCTGCATTCGCTCTATCCGGCTTAATCCCAATCGCGCCCTCATACGAGAACATGACCCCAGCCGAACTCGAGGCATTTCTTACCGAGATGGAACCCGATATTCGTGCCGCCGAGCGTGACCTACGCGAGATTGCTGCTCTCGAAGACAAAGGCGTCACTGGTGCTGGCCGACTGGCAGAGTGCAAAGACTTGCAGCCACTATTAGAAGCATTGTTGAAAGCGCAGGAGGAAGACGGAAAGATGGCATCAGCACTCGAGACGCGGATCGGGGCCCTCATGGATCGATATACTACGAGGGTGTGTTACCCGACTACCGCAACGATAAGTTGTACTGACGCATGAACTCTCTAGGTCGATACGCTTTCAGAATTATTTGTGGCGTGGGACGAGACGCTACAACAGGCAGAAGATCGCCTTGTACATCTCGAACAGCAACGGGAAGAACGGAGAAAGTTGGGTTATGAATGAACTGTCAATACATCTAATGCGATACCCTGGTGAGTATGGCCCTTTCCATCGTCAGTTGTGTGCGATCACTCATTTCTTTCAGTATACAATGATACCCGTTCCTGAATTTACTGTGACAGTCCAGCTCGCGGTCCCCGGAATTGATGACTACCGTTGTTTCCGGATGATCAATATCCGTTTGTAGGTCGCGGAGGCGGTGCGGCTACAATGTACCTCAGTTCTAAGGTGCCGGAGCTGCCTTAACTGGGAAGGGAGCGGACGGGTGCTCCCGCTGTCTCGTCGCGACTATTAATTCATTGCTGAGATCTGTTTCAGTCTTCGCGGAGCTGACATCGAAAGAATTATGAAACGTGCTTTGCAAGACATTGTCGTACGTGGCTAGTACATATACGTCGTCTTCCGGTGTTCGAGCCCAGAGCATGTTAAATCATCGGTTGTTGCCAACAGCAGCAGTTGCAGTCGCCAATGTCGAGACGCAGCATCCGTCTTAAATGATTGTTCATGAGTAAAGAGTGAGTGGATGAGGCATGAACATAGCGCATATGGTTTTCTACGGACTACTAGGTTACAGGAGTACATGATCGCTAGGAAGCGGCACATAGACGCAGGACACCCTACCGACGCCAGAGTCCACGATTAGCCCGCAACGCCGCCTAACTCAGCGTCGCAGACAAAGGTATATACCAATACCAAGAGGGTTAAACAATAACAACGGATAAGTTCACGTTTAAGCTGCAGAACAAGGTGTGAGGACGCCGACAAGGAAGGATACGATATGGAGACAAGACGAGACGATCGGAGAACGAGACAGTATATAACCGCGGAGCGAAAAGTGTCGACAGAACGTGAAGACGCAAGGACAAGAAAGACAGTGAATGCTTGATGATAAACGAGGGGCAGTAAATCGAGCGATTATTCGCGCGCAACCCAGTCAGTACTTCTTGAGACCAGCTCGATGGAATTGTCAATCGTCCAAAACAATCGTTCGATCGCACTCCGGCCGCTCCAGCTCTTCTGATCGCGAAGAACCATGGCCTGATGAAAGGGGCACACATTAGCAAGGCCAAGTTGGTGGTTGCAGGAGACACATACCTGTTGAGCACCAAAATTACGCTGGTCATGCGTAAAGAGGTCAGCGTTATCTTCTAACGCTTCCGCGAGGATCTGCATATCCTGAAGCACCGCCTGAATAGCACGCACAGCTGAAAGCGTGAGGAATTCCTTGCGGTTTCTCGCCGTAACGCCCTCGCGGCTGGGCGGCGGCAGTGCCTGCGTGATGTTCTGCAACACAGTGTGCAAGATGCGCCTCGTCTCGGTGAGGAGCTTTTGTGCTTGCGGGACGTTCTTCCGTGAGACGAGTACGAGCGCACGAGTGATCATATCAGATGCGAGTAGCTCCATCCTCCGGCGCACGATCACCGGGTCGGAACCGTTTGCGGCTGGGGTTCGTGGACGGCTGCCAGTGTTGGGCAAGAGGGTCACAGTCAGCAAGACAGGATGTGCGAGTCGAGAGACGTGCTTCGCCACCGAAGGGTCAAAGAACGAGCCGTCGACTTCGAATACGGGGACCTCGTCGATCATGCGGTCCATCATGCCATCCGAGAGATCCGGAAGATCCGCGATCGACAGCGCGTCCAAGCCCATACGGCCCATGAATTGATCCGTAGCGTTCAGCGCACGCTGTGACTGGTTGATATTCTGCGGGACCACAGGCATCGGTGCGACGTCACTGTTATCGAGCTCAAGCTCGATCAACATCTCCTTGCGTTCGCCGTACCTGAGCTCGCCTAGCTCGACATCGACGTCGCGCCCGTCGGAGGATAGAATGGCCAGCGGACCACCAGAGATCTTGCGGATGCGGAAGCGCTGCCCGTCGACAATCTTCATGTGCAGCTTCATGTGGAGGAGCCCGATGGACATCATGCCGCCAATGCAGCCTGCAAGGCAGTCCCGAAGGTCGTACCAGTCTTTGACGAACGTATATGTACCACTTGTATGGTTCGACATCAGCCATAGCGACGCTGGGTCGTGCGAGCGGCCGTAGCCAAATGAGTGTATGGGTACGTTCGCCGCCTCCGTCCGTGCGAGAACGAGGTCCATCTGCGCACGCCGTGTCGTTTCAGCCGTGTCACTAACCAGAATCATTCCGGTCACTGAATTCCGCGACTTGCGCTGAAGCACAACATCAAGGCCTATCAAACATAATGAGCGCGCATATATGCGGCTTACACGCGAAAGACATACCATGGTTGACCGCGGTGACAACATCTGTCTTCTCTTCCTGCGACGCTCTCACCAAGAACTCATCCTCGAACGGCGTCCCATCCTCGCGTCGCCCCAGCTCGTCCACAAACTTCTTCAGCCGTGTCCGGCTCGCGGGTTTACCCGGGCACAAAAACGGCGTCTTGCGTACCCTCCCCCCAATCCCAACCTCAAACGTCACCAGGCTCAGCCGGTCCTTCGGGCCCAGCGACGCGATGATGAAGTCGAGTGATGCGCGTATCACACGTACCTTCAGTGCGGCCGTGCTCGGCGTTGCATACGGCGACGGGATCGATACGACCATAATGAGGTCCAACGGCGGATGTGGAAGCGGTTGAAGCGAATTGCTAGGGCCTGCAGACATGTGCGGCGCAACGAGCTGCGTTGGCGAGCCATATCGGTTGAGCTCCTCGTCCTCGTCGAGTGTGCTGAGCTTCTGATGGATCCCGCGCTGTTGTTGTTGCTGCTGCTGTTGGTTAATTGAGGACGCGGAGCCGTACGAGGTGTGCGAGGAGGCCGTTGAGCGGGAGGAGCCGTTGAGCAGTAGGCTGTCCGTCGTGCTCACCGTGGTGCCGGTGCTCCCGCTGAGCATCCGCATCGCCTTCTGGCTCCCGCCAAATTCTTCTAGCTCCGGAGCGGGCGGCTCCGTCCGCGCCGTGACTGCTGCGCTCTGCTGCTGGTATACCGCAACGAGCGCCTGAATGTGCGCGCGCCACGTCTCAAGCGACGGCCGTTCACGGAAGATGAGGATGAATGAGTCGAGCCGCTCATCCTCCATGTCGATAGTCAGGCTCAGTTCGCCCGCGACGGATGTGTCTGTGACGTGTTTGATGTGCCGGATGTAGATTCGGCCCTTGAGCCGCAGCACGCCCTTCTGCGGCGCGCTCTGCCCTACACCCGACCCCGACCCGTCCCCGCCCGCACTGGAGAGTAGCCTACCGAGTGTGCGCTTCTTCTCTTCGACAACGCAGATGATTGCCTCCCGGAAGAGGTATACATAAAACTCGCGCACCATCGAGTCGCGCCGAACTGAGAGCAGGTCGTACATCTGGAGGGGCCCAAGTCCGGACAGCGGATGTCCCTTCCAGTCGATGATACGGTTCCGCAGATCCTCTGTAATCGCGTTGAATGGCGAGTCCTCGGTCTGGGCGGGCTCTGTGCGTGGTGGCGGGAGTGCGTCGTGCGACGACACGGGTGACATTTGCTGCGATCGTGGCTGAGATTGCTGATCCGCCGGGACGTTTGCTTGCGGTGACGCGTTGTAGTCTTGCATTGGACTTGGTTGCGACCTGGCAGATTTGCTGCTCGACTCCTGCGGGTAGCCCGTCCCCCTTGGGGAGAAGGTATCATGCATAGGCATGACTGCGCCCGGCACATGCGTGCTCAGTCGCTTGCCGGGCAGCTCTACAACTACAATGCACGTCAATGGTTGGCTAGGCTCCGACGCCCGCGTGAGCGACGCGAACTCCGATCGCACTTGGATTGATGGCGACACGATGTATTGAGGCTCCTGCGAGCTGCCGCTCGCCTTTGAGGACACGTGCTCGACGGGATCATCGTCGTTCGGGTCGTATGGCTTTGGGGGCGCCGCGTGCGGCGCGCGGGGATTAAAGGAGCGCACAGAGGACGGTGTCTCCCTCCCAGGGTATAGCGTCGCTCCGCTGGGATCACCCATGCCAGTGAGAGCAGCGAGTTCTGTATCGAACATTCAGTTCGCACGCTGTCAGATGATAACGAAATACGCACTGTTAGACTTTCCACCGTCCCCGTCGCCGACTTTCATAGGCCGTCTGCAAACGCCGCACACGCCAAGATTAGTTTTACGAATGACACCGCCTGCGCGAGAGGGTCCTGGGGGCGGGCCATAGACTGCGGTGAAACATGCCTGCATGATCGCGGGTAGTATTAGTACACAGGTTGGATTCGGCCTGCAGATGATAAGAAGGATGGGATGGGGAAAGACGATAGCGCAGTTGCGAACTGCAGAGGGCGCGCAAGGAGCGGCCTCAATGCGGACGATTGCGCAGTACGGGAGGTGCGATGTGATGGTATACGTTGCGACATCTCATAGCTCTTGATCGCACTTGACGAGTGAAACAGATAGGCCGGACCATATCGAACATTGATCGGAGCGGACGAACGAACTCACCTCATGTAGGGCGTGACCGCACTCTGGAACAATGTGAGGCTTCTCTCCAGGAAGCCGAAAGCTGAAGCTGAGGGGTTCGAGGCATACGGGGCACTCGTCCTCATCATCTGATGCATCGTGGCTGGATACGACGGGAAGCGGTGCAGCAACCATGGCAGCGTAGGGATGGACTGAAAGGCGGGTAGAGGCTGTGTGAGTAGAGGCGTTCGCGGAGGAGGACGCCGATTGTGAGGAGCGGAGGGACGCGGAAGATGAGACGCGGTGAGGCTGGAAGACAGCACGGAAGGAGGCAGAGAGTGTGGAGGACCTGAAGGGTCGGGGCAGGGAGTTTGAGGAAGCCTGACGAAGCTGATGAGAGTTGGACGTCTGATGATGATGGCTTTCGGAGGAGCTCTGATTCCTGGACCCCCGTGAGCTAGAAAGATCCGGCTTCATGTAGCTTCATGCAGGCGAGCTGGGGAGGAGATGGACGTCCGGGACAAGGAGAAGGAGAGGAGGGCGCGCGTATAGGCGGACAGCAGCCGAAAACAAACTCTCGCAGCACTGCGTCGCGACTTGATCGAATTCCTCGCCCAGATCCTCTCCGCTCAAATTCAATCTCAAATAAACCCCATTTCCGATCCAGTCTTACGCTCTTATATTCTGCTCAATATCGCTGCCATTTCTATGCGCTGAGTGCCACGTGGATCATCACTACACCGCCCGTATATAATGGCGCGCGCTCTTTGCTCCCCATCCACCACAGCCTACCATCGCCCGCCTGCCACGTCCGCCTCTTCGCTCGCAACGATGGTCAGCGCCACGGCAGTGGTGACGCTCACACGACGACGCGGGCGAGGCTTCCAGGAACGTCGCCGCCATGTGCCCGGTCGTGCGGCAAAATCGCTGCCCCATCTCTGGCCAGCCAAGAATCTCGAATTACGCTCGCGGCATCACCCGCCCCCCACCCACAACGTGTCTACCAACCGCCACTCCCATCTCGTCTAGGCATCAAGCGTGCACACGTACACGCGGTGTCCGTACTTCGATTTCTCGTACTCAGAACATCAGCACGAATTGAGCCTTCCCCGCGCCTTCTACTTCAGGGTCTTACAACTCTAACTGCGCGCGTCAGAACCTGATGAGATGGTTAGGGTGCGCTCGGATTGCCGCTCCCTGCCGTCGAGACTCACGCATCGAGTGTACCAGCATCCAGGTTCGCCTCCACGATTGACCCAGCCCCGCCTCACCGGCCCCTAGCGCGCCGACCCGACGTCGCCCTGGACACATACACGGCACCATGCGCCCGTGGGTGTGGAAGCCTCCCCCAGAGTTTCCTTCGATCGCATCTTTGCCTTCTGGTGCTGATGGCAATTGCATGCGCACCTGCCTGAATAGAGATGCCTTTGAATCAGCGATCAACGGTATCCAGCATACAGCTTTCAGGGTGCAGTTCTTGCTGACTTCATGTATCTGTGAAGACGCCGCAAAAATTTGCATCGTGTGACGCTCTGCCGTCCTGCCCAGCCTCCCGAATGCTGTTTATTCATGCGAACTGCACTATAGCCTCCTGTCGATAGACAACTGCTGTCCAGGGGCCGCTCAGGAACGTGTACAGTTCTGATGTTTATAAACCCATACGATATATAGTCGTGCGTCAGTGATTTGTTTGCGCTCTGATATCTGGACTGAATGGCGTTCCGCCACCGTTTCATCAGCATTGAATGGGCCGCTAAATGCCACGATTATGTACCTTAGATTTGGCATCTGGACTCTGCGTTGTGAGGTTCGAGACTGAAGGGGAAACGACGATTGCCTTGTGGTTATTCGTTTCGAAGCCGAAACCATCATAATTTCAAAGCTCTCAGAGATCGAAACAGAGCCATTTATATGCGCCCGTTTTGACTGCCCGGATCTCGACACTCCCGTGAGACGCCCGCCGAACGTCTTTGTCTTCCGCACACAGCATGAAGCTTCGCCTCGTTGTCCCTTCTGCATCGCCATCGCAAACGTTGCCCAGAATTGGTCATATGCACCTCTATCGTGCGCATTCCGCCCGCGCCAGAACGCTGCATCTAATTTACTCTGGTACGCTTCCTTTATGCGCCGTGTGTGAGAGATTGACAAGGCAGTTCCCGCCTCGCCGCACCTCGCTCAACACGAACTCTGTTCATCACACATCACACCCATGGCATCATGATGATAACCCCCTGATCACTGATCAGTCAGTGTAGCACATCTCTCTGCGGCGATCTCGCTGGTTCGGCGTTCTGTTTTCCGCGGAGTAATGATGGTGAGACATCCTGCAACCATCGAAGGTTCACACTCTGCGGCGATCACTTTGAGGCGGTGGCGGTGACTCGACGCGATAGGTCAGCGTTTGAACACTGGTCGTCGCGGGCATAGCGGCCTAGGACCGCAGATAGGTCGACATGCACACAATGCCATCCGTATGATGCACGGCATTGACATCACATCAATGTCGGCTATCGCGAACTTGATGCATAACAAACCAAGCCGAGTCGTCTGACTTCGACAGTTATTTGTCATCGAAGTGTCCGCGGTGATTTCGCTTATCGTGCGTCAGCAAGTGTACCTCGCCTCGCACGTCCGACACCAACTCATTGATGTGAGAGCTCAGCGCTCATTAATCATTTTATTCACGCCGGTGCACAGTGGGCGTGGATGTAAGCGATGGTGCCTGCACGCCTGTCGCTACATATGTGGCGGGTTCAGGTGTGGGACCGCTGCCGCTGATATGTGTATCCCCCTCTTGACCCGCATGGGACTCGGGGTAGCTCGACCTCCTTCCGCTGGCATGCTCTTCTATTCGTTTGTCATCAAGACGCGATATTGCCGTGCCTGGTGAGAGCGTCTTGTATTAATATGCTCTTGGCCGGTGATTCTAATAAATCACTGGTTGCCGCAGATGACCAGAGTACGTCGAACACAGCGTTGACATGTTGGACACGTCCTGCGGATGAATTATTAATGATCGGCCGTATCCACCGTGCGTTTCACACAATTCGCAATGCCACTTTGCATGCACAACCTAATAATCATCGTACAAAAACAAGGCATCATGGCCATGTCGACTGCTCAGATTGATCCCTTTACTCCTCCTGCAAGAGCAAGGCTTTCATTGAAGTGGATCAACACGGCTCTCTCGGTCAAGCCCGGCTACCACTTGTGGATCGGGCGGGTAGCTTGCTTTATCTTCTCAGCTTCGTGCGTTGGCCGGTGCTAGAGTCGTCGCCCGTTGGACCATTTCGGAGCAAAGTCGTCATCCACGGTACGGCGTCGATATACACATGTGCAAGCCTCATCACATCGGTCTTGCTCGGTCGAATGCTTCAGTCTCATAAGTAAATCTCATAAAGTCACAAACAAAGGAAAACAGGAAAAATTACCAGACATCATACATCATGCATCATGATCGGCGAACCACGACAGCTATATTCTCAAGAATACTGAAACAGCAACATGCGGAGCATGATCAGGTTCGCTGATTAATTGCCTTTCGATTACCCTGGCCCACAACAGCCTTAACCACATCCCGCACCGACTGCGATCACATCGGGCGTGGGGCGGCCTGTTATCACCAATCCAAGTGAGGAAAGCAAGTAGTACGGTATCTGCTCGTACTCATCACTCGTACTCATCATTACTAGCATACAGATAGGGGCATTTCCATCAAGTGAACAGGTTTCAAGTGGCTTCTAGTAGGCTAGCAGAGCCAGGTAAAGTGAGACATAGCAGCTACATCAGGATATATCTAATAAAACTTGCAGGTGCACACGGGGGTAAATTGTTGTGAGTCATCAAGACGGCGGCCCGCTTGTCAAGTAAACTCGTGAAGAGCGCGCCAGACAGTCGCTTATTTTGATGAGAGCAGAGAATATTGAGCATGCCATGGATGATGTCGAGGTGCACGAGATACAGATTTAATGCTCGACGTGCAAGATCGCAGGATATCGGTCCCTAATGTAGATTAACGAACGTGCACAGGCAATATATGAACTCACCAAACGGTTTTGCAACGTACATGTTGCAGAGCTCATTAGCCCGCATCACGTATGTCCTATCGAGACGTTCTCCATGAGTGTATTAGGTAGCCCAACAGTCCATGCAATGCAGATACAGACAGATTGCTACGCAGGCATAATACGGCAACCCATAATATATAGTAGGTAAAGTCATTCGTCGCAGCGGTGAAGTCCTAAAGCACACGCAACCTTGCCAGAAACGTCATGCCGCGAGGGCTGCAAGGGGAAGAAGGCAAGGTGTCCGATGAATATGTGAATCGCAATGCGCGTGGACGGAGTGACGGGAATGAAGAGAGAACAAGCCCAAGACAATATAAATTGCAGGGATATCTAGATGATGAGGTGAGAATGAGGCGAGCAACGCACGTACAGGAGAACGAATGAACGACGAATGATCCATGATGTACTACTTCCGTCGTTGCTGTTGCTGCCATAGCGCCAGCGGTATTTCCTCGTCCTCTGAATGCAGGTAGTTAGTCGACACTGCATGGGCGCTCACGCCTTTCCTGAGCTTGCCGTTGACATGTTGCATGGTCTGCACAGGCGGTGCGGCGGAAGCAGACAGGGACCGACTCGGAATCTTCACTCCACCTCCGCCATACGACTGCTTCTCTTGCGCTGGAGTATAGCGATTTGGAGGTGGTGATCGTGCGCGGCGAGTGGCACTCGGCTGCGGTGCTGCCGATTCAGATATAGAAGACCGAGGCGGCGATGCTGACGACTGCCCTCGTGATGTTACTGGCTGTGGCGAGCCAGCAGGACTCACCCATCCTTGCTCTACAGCAACAGGAGGCATCGCGCCCGGTGGCAACTGTCCGCCCATGACGACAGAAGGATACTGCTGAGTCGGTATAGAAGAATTATCCATATTGTAGAATCCACCATTGACCTGCGTTTGTGGCTGAGTACTACCGACTGTGAACGGCGCCGGAGCAGCTGAAGATGATCTTGTCGATGGAGATGACTGGTATCCTGAGCTGCCTGCAGAATTGGAAGCGGATGTTGTTCGACCAAGCGACGGGTTCGCAGATCCGTTCGCCATTGGCGGCTGATTGTACTCTTGCTCCATCACCCGATGCTGCATCTCGTACTGTGGTCCACGCACTGGCATCTCTGCCCTCCGTGCACCAGGCGCAGGAGAACCAGCGGAGGATTGCTTAGTGAGGCCACGTCGCTTCTGCTCCTGTTCTCTCTCTAAACGTTCTCGTTCTGCCCTCTCTCGCTCTTCGCGTTGCATTTGTTCCCGTTCCAACTGGTCCCTGCTGGGCGTCGACTGGCTACCTATCTGAGGTTGAGGAGCAGCCGCATCGTTACTGATCTGCGCAGTCTGCGTCTTGTTGATGACACCCAGATACCAGAACATTAGATTGCTGATCAAGACCTGCTCATATAGAGGACGACGAGGATTTGCAAGCTTGATGTGACTTAGCCTGTAGATCGCACGCTCCACGTGGATGGGGTAGCGCGCATACATTCCGGCCAGCTGAGGAGACGGTGATGGTGTATGACTCTTGGAAGTCTTAGAAGAACCAAGCAGCGCAGCAGCAGTTTCACGCCCAGACGCACCCATCCCCATCGATGGAGCTGACTCTTCCTGCTTCTTCTTGGCACCAAACAGCGACCCGAAGAAACCGGGCTCTTTCTCTTTCTCTTTCTCCTTCTTCTTACTGTTCTTATCGCTGCCCCACTTTGCGAATAGACCTCCCTTTTTATCCTTCTCCCGACGCTGCTCAGAGGGGCTCGGAGAAGGCGGGTGATAGACAGGGGACTCTTGTAGAGAAGGGCGAGGTTGTGGTGCAGCGATCGGAGGAGAAGCCACTGTCGCAGGAGGCGCAACTGAGGTGGGTTCAGGGGAAGGAGAACGTGTTAGTGTAGGAGGTTCTTCGGGGACGGCAGGTGCCACCGCTCTTTGAGGCTGAGGGTGGTGAAGAACAGGAGGTGGTACGGCCGGGGCAGGTTGTTCTGGTGCATGCTCAGAAGGATCTGAATGCGAACTCGTAGAAGGTGGAGAGGCGGTGGACTCGACCGATGGCTCAGGTGTTGTGGTGCGGGGAGGTGCTTCCTCCTCCGGTTCCTCCGTGGCATACGCATCGTATATCAGCGCTTCCATGCTGAATGACTCGGGGCGTGTCTGGTTCGCAGCCGGCGCTTCGGTTTCACTGCGAGGTCGCCGGCTATAATCAGTATGGTCATGATCGCTTGAAGATATATCGCTGGATATTGAAGCACGCGATTCATGCATCGTAGCCGATCGTGTTTCTGACTTGCGGCGACTACGTGTCGCGGTGAAGCGATGAGAGCCTTCTCCGGTCATTCCTGGCTTGCGGATTTTTGTACGTGCTGACCGACGCAGCACCTGCCCCGGACGGGGAACAATGATAGGCGCATCTGCATCGTCCGCAAGTTCGGGAATGTCATCCATCTGGTCAATGACTGCGCGCAAATGTCTTTAATGAAGAACTGCAACAGATCAAAGGATATCTACCTGACGGAGCTATATTCAAACTAAGACTCCTTTTCAATACATTTCGCAGTCGTGTGGGGTCATGACTCTTAGATGCTTCTTCGGCAAGCTCTTCCAGCTTTTGCAGGTCGCTTATTGTGAGCTGTGGGCCGGAACGGGCGTAGATGCTGCTGCGATTTCGTCGGATGGGTACGACCTTCTCCTCCTCCACGCCATCATTTGGAGACGGACTGTACTGCCTGCTAAGCATAGACCGTTTCCTCCCTAACCCAACCGAGCCGCTGGAAGCCGAGCGCTCCAGAGTGCCTGTCTCGTCAACGGGAGTTCGAGCATGTTCCTTTAGAAACTGCCTGAATTCTGCAGGCGCAATCTCAGGATGAAGCCGAGCAGGGACCCAGAAGAGGTGGAAGGGATCACTAGCAACATCCGTGGAGTCATGGTCGCTGCTCTCGTGTGAACTGCCGCTAGATGAGTCTTCGGTCGGCCAGTATGCAGGGTTGGACGACGCCTGGGATGATGCGCTCGGGAGATCAGGATCTAAGATGGGTTCGCCTGCCGTTGACCGCCTTCTCAGATCGCGGAGAGCCTCTACTTCTCGCTGAATCTCATACTCGGACGGTTGCATCGCGGGCTCGATTGGGAGGCAGGATCAGTGACACAGCGTGCAGGCCAGCATGCTGCGCACTTACCTCAAACACCAGAGCCGCCGCCACGGGGTACTGTTGGTGAGATGGTCGTCGTGCAGGAGGTGGCCGCAGTCAGTAGATGCACGAGACGCGCTTGCTCCGGGATGCAACTTCGCCCAGCGGCCTCGGGCAAACCAGCTTCATCAAGCTCTCGCTTCCAGGGAACCATGTGGCGCGGCATCTCCCTGCCGGTCCACATTCATAACAGTTCAAGCGCCGGTTCATCAATTTGTAACAGGAGCTTCCAATTGGGTCTTTCGGGCTTTGAAATATCCTTACCGTCGTTTGGCTGCGCTTGTAGTCTGTCCATTGACGTTGAACCCTAAAGCCATCAATCTTGCTCACTCGTCATGCATGCACGGTGCCTCGTGCATTGCAGTTTTCCTCGCTCGGAATCACTATCGCTGCCATCGCTATTGTTCTCCGTAGCGTCGGCAGTGTTCCTGCCGCTATCATTGTGAAGAAGCGTATTATCTCCAGCCCATACTCTTACTCCTGTCACCCAACGCGGTTTGCGGTGTCAATTGGCAATTATGTCATACTTTGGGCGCACCACCCGGTGTAATCGGCAAGGTCACACAAACATTGCATCTTTTCGACGTCGACGAACCGATCTGAACCCAGTCCCTGGTTTCTGTACCGTTTGCGGAGTTAATACATTTATGGATTCTACCATGATGTCTGGTGACAACCGTCTCATTGCACCATCTTATAGAAGCATTTGCATCTGTTCGTTCGTGATGACGAAGACCGACTACGCCTGTGCAGGGAACGTAGAACACGTTCCCTTCAGCGCATTCTTGGAATCGTACCATTCGATGGGCTACCCATAACCAGCATGGGTTGAACCTTCATTCTGGACTTGTCTGGGAGTCCAGAGATACAGGTGTGTTCTGCGGCATCATGTCCCAAGGGACTACGCTGTGATGTACGATACAAATCATTGAGCATCGGCGCACTCTGCTCTGCAATGTACCTCCTGGGTGGTCTAGATCTCGAAAATTTCCGATGGACGAGCGGCTGTTTTGAGCAATGTCCGATCAACATCGGCATGCACGAGAAGAGTCGAGGATAGCACGGAAAGATCGGGCTATGCTCTGGTATAACAGAGCCGCAACAGGATCTTGTGGCCCATCCGCATACAGCATCATGCTCGCCTCTCTCTTACGTTCTCTGTTCGTGTTCGCCCTGGCGGTTGATGGTCAAGTATGCGCGCAACAACAAGTTATTGCGGTTGCTAATGCATCGTCTTCTGGCATGAATGGCGCAAGTGTGCTAGGCTACGAGCACACGTGGAACGCGCTGACGACCTTCGCTCGCGCACGTCCGCTGCGATGTCTCGGCGCTGATATAAATGAACTGTACGACGTCGCCGTGCTAGGTATGTATGCAATCGATGTGCTGGCATTATACTCCTTCATGTATGCTTGCGGGCAGGTGCACCATTTGATACTGCGACGACATATCGCTCTGGGTAAGGAGGTATTCCCACTACTGAGCAGGAATGCGTCCGAATTTGTGTGAGACGCACAGAGCACGGTTCGGCCCAAATGGGATACGTCAGGGCGCACGGCGGTTGGGGATTGACCGGATTTACGTCCCGCTCAAAACCCGTGTCAGCGAACACCTTGAGGTGGTCGACTGCGGAGACGTCCGTACGTGGTCTTTCTTGAGGCGCCATCTTTAACTGAATAGTTTTAATGTATAGCGATGGTATACATCGATAACAAAGTCGCCTTGAGACAGCTGGAGCAAGCCGGAATGTCTGTGCTTCATCGCCGAAGTCTGAGAACATACGAGGGCAAGAGTCTCGCAAAAGATGGGAATTTCCATCCTAGAATCTTGATGTTGGGCGGCGATCATACTATAACGCTATCTATGCTGCGCGGTGTCGCGAACATTTACGGTCCGGTCAGGTAAGATTTATTCAGACTGACAAGTACGTGTCGATAGTGACGCGCGATCGACATGTAGCATCGTGCACTTTGACAGTCATATCGGTATGTCATCACGATGTCTACGTCAGTCGAAGGACTGAACCAAGGATTTCGTTAGCAGATACTTGGAAGCCGCATAAGTTGGTAAGCCGCTGTCATGCACGGAATCGATTATCAGGAGGTTGACTGCGCAAAGCCTGGAGGGCCTTGGCTACCCGGCGAGGTGAAATTGTACGATACTGATGCAGGAAGCCATAGGTTCTAAATAGCGATGCAGGAGATACCGGTGACTCACGACAACTATTTCTGGCACGCACATAAGGAGGGCCTCTTAGCTGCCAACCACTCTAACATTGTGCGTGACTCCCGCTCTGCGCAATCGCTCCCAGCAGCCTAGTCAAATTGCATTCACAGCATGTAGGAATACATGGGGCTATAGATAGCTGGCAAGATTACGAGGATGACTACGAAGCTGGCTTTGTGATCTCACAGGTCGATGAGATCGAAGATGTCGGCTATCAAGGTATTGTCGAGAAGATTAGGAATACCGTTGGTAATAATCCCGTGTACAGTATGTGTGCATGCCTTCGTATTGAAGAACTGTACTCACTGCTATGCCAAGTCTCATTCGACATAGACGTGATTGACCTTGGAATGGCACCTGCGTACGTAGTCTCGTCCGAGATCATGTCGGGTTCTTTCAGTGAACTGACGTCATGACTCATAATCTTCAGAACGGGAACGTGAGCCTCTACGTTTAGCGCAGTCCTTCATGCGCTGACGCAGCTGCGCCAGTCCGGAGATTGGAGGCTTCACAACTAGAGTACGTCTAACGGCATTGTCGCTATCCGTGAACGCTCATTTTCGGGTTACAGGAAATCAAGAAGATCTTGCAAGGATTAGATGGCCTGAAGATCGTCGGTGCAGATATTGTGGAGGTTGCTCCTGGTGCGTGATATTCACCTGCGAGGTTCTCGAACGTTACTGACCTTCCGTCTTCGATTTTATCCAGCTTACGACACTCAAGGTATGATCCACTTTTCGCCTATGGGCCTTGCATGGCTTAATGCCGAGAATAGCGGAAGTTACACAGATAGCGGCCGGCAACATTGGATGGATTCTACTTGCCTTGATGGCGAAGACGCCTCTGGTGGCTTGAATGCTACCGCCTAGACCGCTGGTCTGTGTCTACACGTAGAAATAGAGACAATGTAGTTTGTGAGGGATACATACGGCTGTATCGGATATGGTCTCATCGACCAATCGGGATGAGGAGCCACACAGCTTCAAGTTATGCTGGGAAGCTTGCAGGCCTTGTCTGTGTGACGCCGGCACTCCGATCAAAGCTTACCTCTACTACAAATTCGCATCTTCTGCCGTGGAATACGAAGGTCAAGATCTCCGGATTCTACTTTACGCAAAGCGATCGAGTCGAAACGCGTACTGCGCCGGCGCCGCGACGCGTCGGCGCGTGCGATTCCCATCATGAACCTATGATCCTCTAGCCTCCAACATCTCCTTCCGCACATCTTGTTGCTCTCAAGGCGCCGTACATACTACTTGAAGGAATTCTCGAGGAAGTGAAGTGAAGTCACGCCCCAGCATTTCGTTCCCCAGCGGTTTGCTGACGTAAGCAGTAAAGGTTGGGGATCCATCGTCTTTTAAGCCCACCCGTCCTCAACAAAGTCTGGCCTATACTCGCAACTGGGAGTCTCCCTCTAACCATGGAGAAGTACGACCACTCGAGAGCTGCGCAGTTCATCGGTACGTCGCCGCCCACGTTGTACTGCACACGCGGCCACATGACTTCGTGTTGCAGGCGGTAATACCCTCGACAAGGCCCCGTCCGGTCCTGTTGCAGATTTCGTGAAAAGTCATGGCGGACACACAGTCATCACGAAGGTGAGCATATTGTCTTTTGTCCTGAAGAATTGCGTTGCTGTACGGGGTGATCACGCTGGGATGGTACGCGCCAGGGGACACGCAAGGCGTGACGGAGCAGTAGGATGGTCCATTGCTCTCTTATATGTCCTACGCAACGATTTGACATTTACTGATACGCATATATGCTAGGTTCTCATTGCCAACAATGGTCAGTGACACTAAGCGTCACATACATATTAGCTGACTCGAGGTCTAGGTATTGCTGCTGTGAAGGAAATTCGTTCCATCAGGCAATGGAGCTATGAAACGTTTGGGACCGAGCGTGCAGTCGAGTTCACAGTGATGGCCACGCCAGAGGATCTGAAGGTGAATGCCGAATACATTCGCATGGCGGACCGCTACGTGGAAGTGCCGGGCGGCTCGAACAACAATAACTATGCCAACGTTGACCTCATCGTTGATGTCGCTGAACGCGCTGGAGTACATGCTGTGTGGGCCGGGTGGGGACATGCTTCCGAGAACCCGCGCCTGCCGGAGAGTCTCGCTGCGAACAAGATTGTCTTCATTGGCCCTCCGGGGAGCGCCATGCGCAGCCTAGGAGACAAGATTTCCAGTACGATCGTTGCGCAGAGCGCGGAAGTCCCGACCATGGCGTGGTCGGGCACGGGCATCTCGGAGACTGCAATGTCGGAGCAGGGGTTTGTGACGGTGGCGGACGATGTGTACAAGCGGGCATGTGTTACGACAGTCGAGGAAGGTATGGTAAGGGCGGAAGAGATTGGATACCCGGTCATGATCAAGGCGAGCGAAGGCGGTGGCGGTAAGGGTATTAGGAAGGTGGAGGCACCCGAGCAGTTCAAGAACGCGTTCAGTGCAGTGGCAGGAGAGATTCCTGGTATGTAGTCGAGGAGGTACGCATTGATCAATGCTGATAGTATCTACAGGCTCTCCTATTTTCATTATGAAGCTGGCGGGACAGGCGCGCCATCTAGAGGTCCAGCTGCTTGCGGACCAGTACGGCAATGCGATCTCGCTTTTCGGACGTGACTGTTCGGTGCAACGGCGCCACCAGAAAATCATCGAAGAGGCTCCAGTCACGATTGCCAAGCAGGACATATTTGAGGAGATGGAACGCGCGGCTGTGCGCCTGGCGAAGCTGGTCGGTTATGTCAGCGCAGGAACGGTCGAATGTATGCTACATTCCAGTTCTTTCCACCTGATATTGACTTGTCCTCGCAGACTTGTACAGCCATGCAGAGGATGTCTTCTACTTTTTAGAACTAAATCCGCGTCTGCAAGTTGAGCACCCGACAACGGAGATGGTCTCCGGGGTTAATCTGCCTGCAGCACAATTGCAGGTCGCGATGGGCATTCCACTTCATCGCATTCGGCACATTCGCCAGCTGTACGGTGTGGCCCCCAACGGGATGTCTGAGATCGACTTCGAGATGGTTGATCCCGAGGCGAGCAAGCTGCAGCGCAAGCCGCGCCCTAAAGGCCATGTCGTAGCCGTGCGCATCACCGCCGAGAACCCCGATGCGGGTTTCAAGCCATCCTCCGGCTCACTGCAGGAGCTCAACTTCCGCTCGAGCACAAATGTATGGGGCTACTTCTCCGTCGGCACGGCGGGCGGGCTGCACGAGTTCGCGGACTCTCAGTTCGGTCACATCTTCGCGTACGGTGAGGACCGCGGCGAAAGTCGGAAGAACATGGTTGTCGCGCTCAAGGAGCTGAGCATCCGCGGCGACTTCCGCACGACCGTCGAATATCTGATCAAGCTGCTGGAATTACAGGCGTTCGAGGAGAATACCATCACGACGGGCTGGCTGGACTCGCTCATCAGCGACAAGCTCACCGCTGAGCGTCCGGATGCCACGCTTGCGGTTATATGCGGCGCTGTCACTAAGGCACACCTTGCTTCGGAGGCGTCGTGGGCAGAGTACAAGCGCATCCTGGACAAGGGCCAGGCGCCCTCGCGTGATGTACTCAAGACAGTCTTCACGATCGACTTCATCTACGATAATGTCCGCTATTCGTTCACTGCGACACGGTCTTCCCTGACAACCTGGACGCTCTACCTGAACGGCGGCAGGACGCTGGTCGGTTCTCGTCCTCTCGCCGATGGCGGTCTATTGGTACTACTGGATGGAAAGAGCCACTCGGTCTATTGGAGAGAGGAGGTCGGCGCACTGCGCTTGATGATCGACTCGAAAACGTGCTCGATTGAGCAAGAGAACGACCCTACTCAGCTGAGGAGCCCCAGCCCGGGCAAGCTTGTCCGGTATCTGGTCGAGAGCGGCGATCACATCAATGCTGGAGAGGCCTACGCTGAAATAGAGGTTAGTTGTCCTTCTCACTGGATTTGCCGTTCACAGTTCACTTATGTTCCGCGCAGGTTATGAAGATGTATATGCCCCTGACCGCATCGGAAGACGGTATTGTGCAGTTTGTGAAGCAACCGGGTGTAAGCTTGGATCCAGGTGCGATCATCGGTATCCTTACGCTTGACGATCCCGCCCGCGTGAAGCACGCGAAGCCATTCGAGGGCCTCCTGCCTGCTATGGGTCCCCCAAATGTCATCGGGAACAAGCCACATCAGCGCCTCCGTCACTACTTGAACATCCTGAATGACATTCTGGACGGCTTCGACAACCAGGCAATTATGGCTTCCACCTTCAAGGACCTCATCTCGGTGCTCGAGAACCCGGATTTGCCGTTCTCGGAAGTGTCAGCCATCCTGTCGGCTTTGTCTGGTCGAATATCTTCGAAGCTCGAGGACAGCATTCGTGCTGCAATCGAGACTGCACGAGGTAAAGGTGATGCGACCGAGTTCCCGGCGGTGCGCATCAAGAAACTGATGGAGCACTTCATGGAGGACAACATCCGTGCGCAGGACCGGCCGATGTTCCGGACGCAGCTCAGTGCGCTGTTTGATGTCGTCGAGCGGTACTCGAATGGCCTGAGGGGGCATGAGGTCAACACGATCGCGGAGTTGCTGGCGCGCTACGAAGAGACGGAGAAGCTATTCGGTGGGAGCATTGAAGCGCGCGTGCTTGCGCTGCGCGAGCAATACAAGGACGACCTGGAAAAGGTCGCGCAGCTCGTCCTGAGTCATATGATGGCGCAGCGTAAGGGACGACTGGTTACGCTTATCCTCGATCACGTTAAGAACAGTGGCTCAACTGTGTCGAACCCGGACAGCAAGCTGTATCAGGTGCTGCAGGGGTTGGCGTCACTAGAGGCGAGGTAGGTTGATTCGCGTGGACGATTGGGACTGATGCTGATGATAGGCGTGCAGGTCATCCACGCAGGTAGCGCTGAAGGCTCGGGAGGTCCTCATCTCATGTCAGATGCCTTCATATGAGGAGCGCAAGGGACAGATGCAGGGTATCCTCAAGGCTTCGGTCACGAATAGTTTCTATGGCGAGCAGGGCAATGACGTCAGGTACGAGGAAGGTGTGATATTTGGATTACTCGTTGCTCATTTGCTTATAGACAACCATCTGCGGATGTGCTGAGAGAGCTGATCGACTCGAGATATACGGTGTATGACGTGCTGCCGACATTCTTTAATTTCCACGAGCAGTGGGTCACATTTGGTGTGTATTAGCAGCGTCTCACCGTCCAATTATTGACACGCTCGGTATTCAGCTGCACTGGAAGTCTATGTCAGGCGTGCATATCGTGCCTACAGCTTGCTATCTATCGATTACGAGGAGGGTGATGGTCTTGACGACGGGGATGCTCCTCACATCGTTACCTGGCGATTCAACCTTCCTCAGTCGCATTCGCCACCCACAACTCCTAGCCTGTAAGTGTATCGTGCATGGCTATCCTATACGAAGGCTGAGATTGTTGTCTAGTGCCAACGTTGCTCGCAGGCAGGCGTCTGTCAGCGATCTGACATACATGATCAACAAACACCAGAAGCAACCTCTGCGTACCGGTGCCATCGCATCGTTCCCGAATTTTGCGGCGCTGACGAGGGGCTTCGACAAGGTCGCGAGCACCCTGCCGCCATTCGACGTTCAAGAGTACCGCGAGCGATACGGAGCTAATAATCAGCCTCCTAATGTCCTGAATATGGCGCTCAGAATCTTCAAGGAGACCGATGACTTGTCGGATAGTGCTTGGTACGAGAAGGCCCATGAACTGGTCAACCAGCGGAGCCGTGTTCTCGCTCAGCGTGGTGTTCGACGTATCTCCATTCTTATCTGCAGACCCGGCTTGTACCCGCAATACTTCACTCTGCGCAACATGGGCTCGTCCTGGGAGGAAGAGCAGGCCATCCGTAACGTTGAGCCGGCGCTCGCGTACCAGCTGGAGCTCAGCCGGTTGTCAAACTATAACCTTACACCGTGCTTCACGGAGAGCAAGCAGCTCCACATCTACCATGCTGTCGCGCGCGAGAACCAACTGGACAGCCGGTTCTTTATTCGAGCTCTTGTTCGGCCTGGTCGCGTCCGTGGCGACATGAACACGGCCAAGTACCTGATCTCCGAGACCGATCGTCTTGTTACGAACATCCTGGACACCCTCGAGGTGGTATCTGCCCAGCACAGAAATGCGGATGTCAACCATATCTTTATGAACTTCATCTACAACCTCCCTGTCACTTATGAGGATGTCCTCGAGGCGATTGCAGGATTCATCGAGCGACATGGCAAGCGCCTCTGGCGTCTGCATGTCACCGGATCGGAGATCCGTATCGTTCTCGAGGACAATGAAGGCAACGTTATGCCGATCCGCTGCATCGTCGAGAACGTCTCCGGCTTCATCGTGAACTATCACGGCTACCAGGAGATCACCACAGACAAGGGTACCACAATCCTGAAATCGATCGGCGAGAAAGGCCCTCTTCATTTGCAGCCAGTTCACCAACCGTATCCGACCAAGGAGTCGCTGCAGCCGAAGCGATACCAAGCTCACCTTATTGGCACGACTTATGTGTACGACTTCCCCGACCTCTTCTCTAAAGCATTAAGCAACGTCTGGGCAAAGGCGCGCACCCTCAACAACTCATGTCCGTTGCCGAAGAAGGTTCTCGAGTCGAGAGAGCTGATCTTGGACGAGAACGACCAGCTACAGGAGGTTGACAGAGCACCTGGCAACAACACTTGTGGTATGGTGGGATGGGTCTTCACGTTGCGCACGCCGGAATGCCCGGACGGACGCCGAGCTGTGGTCATCGCGAACGATATCACGTATAAGATCGGCTCGTTCGGCCCCGAGGAAGACCAGTTCTTCTACTTAGTTTCGCAATATGCGCGCGAGCAGGGATTGCCCCGCATTTACTTGTCCGCGAATTCAGGCGCTCGTATCGGGTTGGCAGAGGAGGTGATGAGCCTTTTCTCATGTGCTTGGAATGATCCAGCACATCCAGAGAAGGGTGTTGACTACCTCTATCTCACCCACGAGAACTTCCTCAAGCTGCAGGAGAAGGCTGCAAGTTCCGCACGGACCGTAGAAGTCGAACATGGTGGCGAGCTTCGCCACAAAATCGTTGATATAATCGGTCTTCAGGATGGGCTCGGCGTGGAGTGTCTGAAGGGTTCTGGTCTCATTGCCGGCGAGACATCTCGTGCGTACGACGACATTTTCACGATCACCCTCGTTACTGCTCGATCCGTTGGTATCGGTGCATACCTCGTTCGCCTTGGCGAACGTGCTGTCCAGGTCGAAGGCCAGCCGATCATTCTTACTGGCGCACCGGCACTCAACAAGGTGCTCGGACGAGAGGTGTACACTTCCAACCTGCAGCTTGGTGGCACCCAAATCATGTACAAGAACGGTGTGTCGCACCTGACAGCGAGCAGCGATCTGGAGGGCGCCACACATATCCTCGAGTGGCTCTCCTACGTGCCAGAAGTCAAGGGTGCTCCGCTGCCTATTGTCGAGTCTGCTGATCCGTGGGACCGTGACATTGGGTACAGCCCGCCCAAGGGTCCATACGACCCGAGGTGGTTCATTGAGGGCAAGACAGACGAGACTACGTCGGAATGGATGCCTGGCTTCTTCGACAAGGGATCCTTCCAGGAGACGTTGAGCGGATGGGCGCAGACTGTCGTCGTGGGACGTGCTCGCCTTGGAGGCATCCCTATGGGTGTCATTGCTGTTGAGACGCGTACGGTTGAGCGACTCGTCCCCGCCGATCCTGCCAACCCTACGTCGTTCGAGCAGCGTATCATGGAGGCTGGCCAAGTGTGGTACCCTAACTCGGCGTACAAGACAGCGCAAGCCATCTTCGACTTCAACCGCGAAGGCCTCCCGCTGATCATCTTCGCTAATTGGCGTGGCTTCTCTGGCGGACAGCAAGACATGTACGATGAAATCCTAAAGCAAGGTTCGAAGATTGTCGACGGTCTCTCGAGCTACAAGCAACCGGTGTTTGTGTACATTGTGCCGAATGGCGAGCTTCGCGGTGGCGCGTGGGTCGTGCTTGATCCTTCCATCAATTCGCAGCAGATGGAAATGTATGCAGACGTCGATTCGCGAGCGGGTGTTCTTGAGCCAGAGGGTATCGTGGAGATCAAGATGCGACGCGACAAGATCCTCAAGTTGATGGAGCGTCTAGACTCAACATATGCTACGCTCAAGAAGGACAGCACGGACTCCTCGAAGAATGCTGATGAACGTGCGGCCGCAATGGATGCGCTTGCGCAAAGGGAGACGCTCTTGCAGCCTACTTACAAGCAAATTGCTCTGCTTTACGCCGATCTACATGAGTAAGTATATTCCAATTGTGGACCTCTATCGCTATTGACTTCGTGCCTAGTCGTGTTGGTCGCATGGAAGCCAAGGGTTGTGCGAAATCAATGGTCTGGAAGGATGCTCGACGACGCTTCTATTGGTCCGTTCGAGCTAAGATCGCTTGGTCCGCTGCAATGGCAGAGCTTGCCGAGGCAAGTCCAGATTCAAGTACTGAATATCGTACCACTCTGCTCGAAAGGCTTGCATCCGTTGATAGCAGCACGGAACGGCGCGCGGTGGCTGAGGTGCTGGAGGCACTCGACCTCACTGCCGCAGTTGCCCAGTTGAAAGCAGACCACCTAATGCGGAGCATGCTTGCTCTGGCCCATGAGGACCGCAAGGCGACGCTGGATGGACTGATCCGCCTTGTGGATAACCTGACGGATGACGAAAAGGCGACACTCACCGGTGCGCTACAGAATTCTGGCCGTTCTCCAGGTTCGGGTCCAACTTCAACTATGTTGCCATGAAATGTCTACTGACGCGCCGGCCGTTGCACCCAGGGCCACCGTCCTATTCGAATGTCTCGGGTACAGCCTAGGACTAAGAGGATAGATTCCACTTGATCATTGCGTTGTTTTTTTTTCCTTTCGGATCATACATACACTTTAGATTGTAGCATACCCGTGTAATAGCTCTGTTGCTGTCTGCTCTCCGCTAGCTTTTGAACACACATCCATGCATGAGGTGAACTGAATGTCGTTCCCTTTCACTGGATATTCGTCTGGAACGCGTTAATTAAGCAAGACGCGTCGGGACACGGCCCAATGTCGATCACGTGCTCAGGTTTTTGAATTGCTCCGTCCTGCCAACGTCTCGCTGCAGCCACCGCTAGCCTAGCTCTGGGAGCAGCCTGTACGCGCTTCGTGCAGCCCGACTTTTAGCTTAGAATGTCTGCACTTGCGACACTTCGGTCAAGTCGAATTCTAGTGGAAACGCTTGCGGGGGCATCGCGGACGAACTCAGCGCTCACATGCGTGAGCCAGAAACGATGGGCCTCCCAAGATAAGCAGCCGCAGTTGAAGACGCAGTCAGGTATGTAGCCATTAATCCGTGTTTTGTCCAAGCTTTGCGAGTACAAAGTCTCAAAGTTGTCTCTTAGCCCAAGGGTTCAAGGGGAAAGGCAAGGACCAGAAGAAAAAGAAAAGTAGGAGCAATGACATCGGGGTGAGCGCGTAATCCACTCTATCGAATCACGGTGCTGAATTTCCTGCATGCTTGCTTGTCTTAGACATACCTGCCGCTGCCTGTCAACCAGTTGTCGAGTCCTCTTTTCAGGACGAATTATCGCTCTGAACTGAAGCTGCCGCTCTATTCTCCCGTGCGTACCCATTGCGCATGCCATGCTCTGAGAACTCACGGCATTGTGTTTATGTCATCCAGGAAGCGTTGACGGATGCTGCAGTGGGAACCGCTATGCAGTTCCCAAAGTCGGAGAATGAAGCTATGCGTGCTTACGGTCTCCCGAGACAACTGCTGCTTGAAGTAGGATCATTCAATGTTCATGATTGCTCAAGACCCTAACGTCTTATCAAGTTCCGCATTCTATCGAAACCGTGCTCGGTCGTCCGTGATGTCACATTAAAAGCGGTCAACAGTCTGGATGCGGCCAGTCGCAAACCAAGCAGGGATACGAGACTAGTGATGAGTTAGTGAAGTTGGGGATTATTTATTGAGTTATCGTTAACACGCCATCAGCTGGGCCGTCAGGCTGCGGAAAGAGCTTTACGCTCTTGCAGGCGGTAGAGTACGCCGCACATAGCAATTGGATTGTTCTGTACATTCCAAGAGGTTTGTTTATTACCTCTCATAGCATGTCGCACTCACTCCCGACTTACGCAACATAGCTATTAAGCTCGTCAATTCGTCGACCACGTATTCATACGATGCTCGGACTCGAAGCTACGTTCAGCCGGATGCCTCATACGAACTTCTGCGCCGATTCTTGAGCGTCAACGGTGAAGCTCTGCAAAGCCTCAAAACGCAGGAGGAATTCGTCTATGGCAATCAGCATGTGCCATCAGGCAGCCCACTTCCAAATCTCATCGCCGTCGGAACCGCGAATACCGAATTTGCCCCTGCGGTGCTGTCTTCGCTCATGGTAGAACTGTCGCGCCAGTCCAAGTGAGGACATTCCAAAGTCAGTCTTTGCGAGCATTGATCAGCTTTCACACAGGTATCCCGTCCTTCTTGCAGTTGATGACATCCAGGGATTTTATCGCTACAGCACCTACCGTGACCAGCACTACCATTGCATCATGGCCCATCATTTGGCCATTCCCCGCATGGTGCTGGAGTACGCTGGAGGGAAGAAGTCATTCGTACGTAAATCCCTCTTTCCCATCCTGACTCATCCTGACAGTATTGTCTCCAGCCTCGCGGCGCGATCTTCGGTGCCGAATCAACTGGTAATACGACCTTCTTGATGCCTCTAGAGCTTCGTGAGGCTCTCGGCTTGCCATCGTTCCGCCCCGCAGGACCATATGTGGCTCGTGTGCCCGAGTTCGTGGAGTATGCACAGGGTTTGCAAAACTTCCCTGTTCCACCTCAGCTGACTGTCAATGAGGCGGCGTCGATATTTGAGGTCTGGATGGAGGACCAGGCGCTGCATTCGGGCGAAGTCAAGGGAGAGAAGGGAGACCTTCATTCAGGTACGTTCCATCATAGCCGATGCACTTCGTGATGCTGACTGACACGTGTTGCCGAAGTGCCGAACGACGATGTTTTCATGACTAAGTATTGCGAAGCAAGTGGCAATGCAAGAGCTTTTGTATGGAAGGCGCTCTTGGGCACTATCTCGACCTTGTAGCCTGAGGTCATGGTGGCTTTCTTATATATTTTCTCGAATATTGATGGCTCCAAAACGTAGCTCGAGTCGACTGCTGGCGGCGATATGGAAGACCGCGTCTACCGAGATACATCGATAGAAGGCGAGATCAAGAGTCACACGGTACTGAGCTAATTTGATATCAAAGTCACCATCTACGTCGTACACCTGACTGTTACGGCACTCGCAACTTCTCCCTCTCTGGGCTTAAAGGACGCTCCATCTCTGATAAATAAACACTGCCGCTCATTGTCTGTGCAGATATCGCATTCCTCCGCTAAGCATCATGACACACAAGCGATCGTCTCGTATGTTTTAGCAGTCGTATGTTAGTCACTTCTGATTTCCCTCCATTCAGCTGCCACGATTCCGAGCCACGCCCTCGCGCGCCCTCGCTCGTACAATTTAGTCAAATCGGTGTCACGCGCGATGGGTTTCTCCGGTGCCTCAGCACCGCTGTTCAGATTGTTATCGGTGAGTAGGATTGAGTACGTTTTGCAGAAGGTCAGCTTATACCTCTGTGTTTAGAAATGTTGCAGGACGTATTCTGGGCGGTATTTAGACGAAACAGTGACATTCCGTGACCAGGATCCGGCGAAATGGGTCCTGTTCTTCGACAAGGTAAATTATGCTGCTGAAATCACATTGAGCTTCATACGAGTCGGATCATCATATTATGTAGGTTGTTAGTACCTGTCCATTTGTGAAACAATACGAGGGAGCATGGCCGGTGGATTTCTTCATGCGAAATCACCTCGAGCGCACAAAATACAAGTATACGTTGAAGATCAAGGCATCAGAGGCTTCTCCAATAGACCTCACCCTGGATGAGTTCTTTGGAGAGCCCGATATAAGTGGTGCATCGGTAAGCATTCACTTTGCTAACCTGCAGAGTATTCCGTTTATATGGTGACACATGCCTAAGAGCGATGCGGCAGGCCGTCCGTTGACTCAGGCAAGCTCTCAGAGCAGGCCCCGGGAGACAAAGCGAATTGCCATCCCGCAGGAAGAGTTTGACGCAGTATGATGTATGCTTCTTCCTCGTTGATGCTTGCTCACGGCATGACTTTAGATAAGTGTTTCTACTAGATTCTCATCGGCCACAGATTCCGAGAGAGAGAGTTCGCCTTGTGAGGTATATACTACTACATCTCTATGATGACTTGTTCTGACCTGACCTGCCAGATCGCGACGTCATCGCAGTTGCAGTGCGCCACCCGATCGTCGCCGTCAGTGAAGCTTGAGGAGGCAGGCGAGGTGGCAGCCTTCTTGAGCTCGCTGTATCCGAGCATGGAGGCTCTCACTGCGAAGTTCCTTGAGGCAGGTATTGTGGACCTGATGTGCCTCCGCGGCCTGGCTACTCTCTCCGATAGGGACGCCCTTCTCAAGGACGACATAGGCCTTCAGGCCTTCCAATTCCGCATCGTACGGGCTGGTCTCGAGTTACTGAAGGAGAATTGAGCGGGAGTGTAAGACATAGCCGCGTAGCTACCGATCCTGTGGTACAGTACTTCGAAGGATCGTCGACTGTATAGAGTCACCGGCGTTAACTTTGTTTGAATTGCTCTGCACCATAATGTAGAAACCGCTGGTCAAGAACGTCGTATCGAGACATGACCTGCATGTTAAATCGGCTACTCTGAGACTTTCGGGAGTAGGATTGTGATAGGCCCTGGATTAATAATGGCCATGGCACTCGCTACTTTGAGATGTGAGTAACATGGCGGTATTATCGTATTTGGGAGCAAGCAGTTGACGCACCTGTTCTATGCGGGGTCGACCCAGTACAATTTGCCCGTGTGATGGATACGTTGAAGTCAATCCAACCCCCGTCATAGCGGGGAATGCATTGGATGCGATGCCTGCATCGCAGCCGTTGAGTTTCATTCACATAATCATTTACGTGGGCGCAGCTAAGTTATAACGACTTGTGGCCCTGACGTGGCGGGAGGTGGCGGGAGGAAGTAAGTGCGACAGGTATAGTAAGCGCGTTCCGCCCGGGCCGGCGTCAACGTAACTTTCTTTGCAACTTTCAGACACATTCTGCCTTCTCGCCGAAAACAAGCCGTCCCAATTGCATGACGGCGAGGACGATGCAACTAATACTTGCATTTCGAGACAATGAAAAGTGAAAAATCTGATCGATGAAAAGATGCAAGACATGACCACCCGACAAATACGAGATACTTACAAGGTCCAAATCGACAGTCGTTTAAATATACTGGCATACGTACTAGTGTATCCTTCGCTTCGGGCCTGATCGATATCCTGCAGGCATCAGAATCCGGCACACGCCGTTGCAAGATGCTCCAACTCTCATTGCTGTGCACCGATGTGCATATCCGCATTCACGACGAGCTCAAACATAGCAATCACCAAGCTTAGAGGGTCAGTTAAGCTCGGGATAGCCATCACTTCCCTTATTAAACCTTCGGAGACGGCAGGAGGGTCAGAGATTCCGACAAGCGTCGCGACCTTCGAGGGGGATCACACTCCAAGAAAAGATCGTTCAATATCTCGAGGTGTCCGGCACATTTCTCCCGGCGACCTCGCTCCGCGGGGTGGTCTCATCTCGTAAAAATGCTACTCGGAGCGTAGGATGACATGGAGAAAGCTGGCGATGGGCTGGATCAGGTAGCGGCGGTAAGAACGAGGGGGAGGACACGTCGACGAGCCGTTCACAGTCACGGCTGGCCATTCATCGTTCCCTGTCGCGGGCCACAAACCTTGCGGGACACCAACTCTCGTAGTGTCGGCCCAAACAGTATCGAGGATCGTGTCCGTGTAGAAGTCTCTGGTCTGTGCGTGCCCAGTCATTTGAAAACAGTAAAATATGCCTTCTGGTGCTTATCGTCTGCTAAATGCTCTCCGTAGACCTGCCGGTCCTCGTTCGTGTGGTGCTTATAACGGGCTCGTCAGCGTTCAGCTACGAAAGCGGTTCGCTAGGAGGAACATCGGTGTCATCGTCGGAGTCCTCAGGTTCAGACGTGGCGGCGCTACGTCATGCAACTGCGTAAAATCTGTGAGCCCTCTTCTACGTATCAACGGTCTATCCTGATGTATCAACCTTCTCGTTAGATTCAGCGTGCTTGCTCCTAGGTCTTGCTAATGCCTAAACTCAGCCCGGCAAGCTTTCAGTTGAATTTCTCCCAGTTGGCGACATAGGGCACACAAAATTGTCCATTCGTCAATTGCAATCGACGTTGAGGACTGAACTTTAGCATTACGGCAAGCACTCGATTATCACCGATCGATTGGTCGGCCTGCGCTGCATTCTCAGCGTCGCTGGACGCGTCGTACGCGTTATTTGTTTCGACGTGTATCTTTACGTAGCTTTCCACCTTATTTGGCTCCAAGTAGGTTCACGTTGATGATGGCCAGAAGCATTTCCTCGTGTGTCTGGCCACAGAAGGTGGGTGTAACAACAACGATATTTTAGCGCAACTTACTCTGTTTTCTTTTTTTTTTTTGTTATGTCATCCACATGGCTCCTCATGATGAGCCTGACAAGCTCAACCGCTGGGCTCGCTCCATCGAGACGGTCCGTAATCCGCCACTTTGCATCCTCGAGCGCAACCACGACTGAAACGCGCAAGTGTCCAGGAGGTTCTGGACCACTCTTGGAAGACTTGTCAGCACCACCAGTGACGCCGCATGACAGGATGCGGCGCGCTCACCTCGATGGTCGTCGAAGACACTGCAGGACTTGCGATGCATTCAAAGACGCATGGACGATGGAGGTGAATCCAGGGCGTCGGCAAGCTGAAGGACGCGATCAAGGTGCGACGAGTGCAACTTTTCGGTCTGAAAAGCACGATACAAAATTACAGGCGCTATTTACATTCGCGACGAACTACGGGTCATCATGATAACTAGTTCGCATCGTCAGGAGCTCTACGCTTTACCCTCAGGCACTCTTCCGCCACCCATTTGCTGTTCGTCAACGCGTCAAGCGTCACATCCTCAAACCGTCCACTCTTAATTAGCACCATCTCCAGCGATCTGCAAAGGGGCGTCAGACATCACGGAACAGTATTCCATGCCTGTCTTGGTCGCCGGGGACAGCGAGAAAGTCTCAGCCGCCACCTCGTACGTGGATGGCTCGCTTGGCTCAAAGACGTTCGTCAACGTCTCCATCGCCTCTGAGCGCTCCTTGACTCGACACTCCTTCTCAGCCTTGTCGTCAAGCGGCTCAAAGTCGACGTCGATGGATGAAGTGCGCGGACTCGTAGTCGATGAGATCGTCGGAGACGAGGCCACCGTCAACGGGGAATGGTCGGGGGATGGAGAGCTGGCGGAGCAAGTTGCGGATGCCGGATGGTTCATAGTCAACAACTCGGACGCGGTGCGAGCCCAGACCGACGTGCCGTACCCGGCGATGTCGTACCAGCTGAGGCCCATGCGCGAGTCAGGGACAGAGAATGAAGACGCGTCCGGCCAGGCGGCGGTCGCTTCTTCCTTTGGCAGAAGAATCGTAGTCTTCTCGACTACGCTACCCTTCATCCGCATCTGCGCCTGCGCATCTTCGTGAGTGGCGCTAACAAGACAACAGTCATATGTACTTACCAACTGCGGGTCATTCTGTAGTGCGTCTCCCTCACATTCGCCTTCAAGACCTCCTCGGCGATCCCAAGTGCCATCTGCGTCAAGCGCGGATAACAATGATTCACCGACAAGGCTGTTAGCTAGCTCGGTATTGAGGACGGTAGGGTCCATGGCAGCCTTGACGCCCGGGGTGATAGGCTGAAACAAGGCAATTAGCTTCTCTCTCTCGTATCAAGTCGACGATCAATCAACTCACTGGCCACTCATACACGTAGTTCGGGTCGGCGTAGAGCATCGTCTTGCGCTCGTCATAGTGATCCCAGAAGAGGCGCTTCCAGCTCGCGAGCTCGGTCTCAGCGAATACCTCGTAGGGAATCTCTTTCGTGGTCTAATGACGCGTCGTCAGTATGTTGCAAGGGGGTGATGTGCAATAGACTCACCTTCTGGATTTCAGACCCCACCTCACTGTGCGAACAATAAATCTTGTCCTCCCCGCTAAGCATCTCCTTCGGCTTCATCGAGAACTTTGCATGGTTGGTCGGAAGTGATGACGCCTCGGATGGAACCGACGACCCACTTATCGGTGCGTCGTAGAGCTCTGTGGCTGCCTACCCCAATGAGGTGAGCATTCAATACATAACAAAGTTGTGGTGGTTACCTGACTGCAGATGCACTCGCTCTCCTTTGTTATGTGTTGAACTGTTCCATAGTTGGAAAACTCCCATTCGCCGTCCAAGATGTCGGCAAAGTTGGCCCGCCTCTGCTGTGGCCTGGGATGACACAGAGGCAGACTATGCTCAGACGTCTCGACCGAGCGTGCCCACGCAAGAATGGCCTTGAAGTTCATAGCGATACCTGGTAGCGCCGAGAGGATGGGCAATGGGAAGAGGTCAACGAGAACAAAGGACAACGGATGCGACTAGGTCTCACCGAGTGGCTAGTACGTTGTGAGATGTGAGTAGAGATGGGGGAGTGTGATAGCTGATGGGCTGCAGCGAGAATATTCTGTGCACTCTGAGAAGGGCAGGAAGAAAGGTGCTGCGTTGAGTTGGAATTGGGGCGCGCCTTTATAGCACGGTGACTCGGGCTTTGACATCCCTACTATGGCTAGTGCTGATAAGCGCTGATCTCCCAACAAAAGGCCCTGGCGGAAGCATTTTCGCACGGATCAATTTCTAAACCCCGACCCACAACGTGCATGGAAGCCGCCCACTATGTCAGCGCGATGGCTGGCGAAACGGAAAGTAGACAGCTCTGCAAGTCCATCCCAGTCTGCTACTTTCGAAGGTGATAGAGCCACCATTGCATATGTCGGCGTTCGCTGCGTCACAAATCCTTTGATATGAATCCGATTCTGAGCGCCCGGTGCGTAAAATCTGTGGGCCCTCTTCTACGTATCAGCGATCTATCGCTGATGTATTAACCTCCTCGTCAGATTCAGCGTGTTTGCTCTAGGTCTTGCCAATACTTGAACTCAGTCCGGCAAGCTTTCAGTAGAGCTTATCCCAGTCGGCGACATAGGCACACAAAATTGTCCATCGGTCGATTAGAACTGACGGCGAGGACTGAACTTTAGCATTATGGCAAGCATTCGATTATCGTCGACCGATTGCTCCGCCTGCGCCGCATTCTCAGCGTCGCTGGACGCGTCGTACGCGTTATTTGTTTCGACGTGTATCTTTTTGAGGGTGGTCCAGAACCTCCTCGACATTTGCGCGTTTCGGTCGTGGCTGCGCTCGAGGATGCAAAGTCGCGGGTTACGGACCGTCTCGACGGAGCGAGCCCAGCGGGTGAACTTGCCAGGCTTATCGTGAATTCTTGGATAACGATGAGGAGCCATCTGAGTGACGCCGCACGACAGGATGCGGCGCGCTCACCTCGATGGTCGTCGAAGAAACTGCAGGTCTTGCGATGCGTTCAAAGACACAAGGACGATGGAGGTGAATCTAGGGTGGCGGGAAGCTGAAGGACGCGAAGATGCGACGAGTGCAAATGTTTGGTCTGAAAAGCAACATACAAAATTACAGGCGCTATTTACATTCGCGACGAACTACGGGTCATCATGATAAGTAGTCGCACCGTCAGGATCTCTACACTTTACCCTCAGGCATTCTTCCGCCATCCATTCGCTATCCGTCAACGCGTCAAGCGTCACATCCTCAAACCGTCCACTCTTAATTAGCACCATCTCCAGCGATCTGCAAAGGGACGTCAAACAGCTTGGAACAGTATTCCGTGCCTGCCTCCGTCGCTGGGAATAGCGTGAAGATCTCAGCCGCCACCTCGTACGTGGACGGCTCCCTTGGCTCAAAGACATTCGTCAACGGCTCCGTCGTCTCTGAGCGCTCCTTGACTCGACACTCCTTCTCAGCTTTGTCGTCAAGCAGCTCAAAGTCGACGTCGATGGATGAAGTGCGCGGACTCGTATTCGATGAGATCGTCGGAGACGAGGCCACCGTCAGCGGGGAATGGTCAGGGGATGGAGAGCTGGCGGTGGGAGTCGCGGATGCCGGATGGTTCATAGTCAACAACTCGGACGCGGTGCGAGCCCAGACCGACGTGCCGTACCCGGCGATGTCGTACCAGCTGAGGCCCATGCGCGAGTCAGGGACAGAGAATGAAGACGCGTCCGGCCAGGCGGCGGTCGCTTCTTCCTTTGGCAGAAGAATCGTAGTCTTCTCGACTACGCTGCCCTTCATCCGCATCTGCGCCTGCGCATCTTCGTGAGTGGCGCTAACAAGACAACAGTCATATGTACTTACCAGCTGCGGGTCATTCCGTAGTGCGTCTCCCTCACATTCGCCTTCAAGACCTCCTCGGCGATCCCAAGTGCCATCTGCGTCAAGCGCGGATAACAATGATTCACCGACAAAGCTGTTAGCTAGGTCGGTATTGAGGGCGGTAGGATCCATAGCAGCCTTGACGCCCGGGGTAATAGGCTGAATCAATGTTATTGGCTTCTCTCTCCCGTATCAAGTCGACGATAAATCAACTTACCGGCCACTCATACACGTAGTTCGGATCGGCGTAGAGCATCGTCTTGCGCTCGTCATAATGATCCCAGAAGAGGCGCTTCCAGCTCGCGAGTTCGGTTTCAGCGAATACCTCGTACGGGATCTCTTTCGTGGTCTAATGACGCGTCGTCAGTATGTTGCAAGGGTGTGATGTGCAATAGACTCACCTTCTGGATTTCAGACCCCACCTCACTGTGCGAACAATAAATCTTGTCCTCCCCGCTAAGCATCTCCTTCGGCTTCATCGAGAACTTTGCATGCTTGGTCGGAAGTGGTGAAGCCTCGGATGGGACCGACAACCCAATTATCGGCGCGTCGTAGAGCTCTGTGGCTGCCTATCCGAAAGAGGTGAGCATTCAATACATAACAAAATTGTGGCGATTACCTGACTGGAGATGCACTCGCTCTTCTTTGTTATGTGTTGTAATGTTCCGTAGTTGGAAATCTCCCACTCGCCATCCAAGATGTCGGCGAAGTTGGCCCGCGTCTGCTGTGGCCTGGGATGACAGAGAGGCGGACTATGCTCAGACGTCTCGACCGAGCGTACCCACGCAAGAATAGCTTCGAAGTTCATTATGATATCTGTCAGCGCCGAGAGGATGGGCAATGGGAATAGGTCAACGAGGACAAAGGACAACGGACGCGACTAGGTCTCACCGAGTGGCTAGTGTGCAGCAGTAAGTTGTGCAATGTGAGTAGAGATGGGGGAGTGTGATAGCTGATGGGCTGCAGCGAGAATATTCTGTGCACTCTGAGAAGGGCAGGAAGAAAGGTGCTGCGTTTAGTTGGAGTTGGGGCGCGCCTTTATAGCACGGTGGCTCGGGCTTTGACATCCCTATTATGGCTAGTGCTGATAAGCGCTGATCTCCCAACAAAAGGCCCTGGCGGAAGCATTTTCGCACGGATCAATTTCTAGACCGCCGGCCTACAACGTGCACGGAAGCCGCCCACTATGTCAGCGCGCTGGCTGGCGAAACGGAAAGTAGACAGCTCTGCAAGTCCATCCCAGTCTGCTACTTTCGAAGGTGATGAAGCCACCATTGAATATGTCGGCGTTCGTGGCGTCACAAATCCTCTGATATGAATCCGACCATGAGTGCATGATGTTTAGAAGGCCACCCATTCTCGCTGCTACTATGTGACGCAACCCGTATCTCATTCGCTCATAGTATGTTGTTGAGAGTAGTCTCCTGAACGCTTAATTCCTTGTATTGCTAATACAAACAGCAGAGGTTAGGCATGTTTTGCACGTGTGGCAGCTAAGCGTCGCCATGATACAAGTCAACTTCACTGGTTCTAAGTACGGAGCAAATTGGCAATGTTGTTTTGTATCCCACCGTGCACTACGTCGCCGTGCCAAAATCAGACCTTTGGCCTGCGACATATGTGCATAACTTCCCTCGACACGACACAGGACCAAAACCATCATGGCAGTCTTGTAACATTCCTGTGAGACTCTCTAGAGCGAAATATGGATCAAGCTTTGACCGCGAGGTCCCTCGAATTAAGAAGTACCATCTCGCCTATGTGGTCTCACTTCGTGCAGATCGAGATCTTGTGCTGAAAAGTTGACATCAAATTACAAGCTTACAATTTTTTTTGGTGGTCCGCATGGCTTTGCGAGATTATTGAAAGGTAGTGGATTTGGTGCATCATTATCCACGGAAATGTTTGGTATCTGCCATTTTAGCTCACTGTACATTCACGCCAGTGGGCTAGTTGACGTTGTACAGATCCGTGTATACTTAGTGCTCGTCTTCCCTCAACACCAGGAGAATTCGATGATCCTTCCTACAACTCCAAGGTGGGTTGTGCATCGCAATCTCGTGTTGCGGCTTCGCGCAGCATCTTTCACATGATGTGGCTGGTTTATCGACGATACTTTCAATGGACGATCAGTCAAGATGCAGGCAATGAGTGCATGTCAGATTGCACTACAACGACACATAGAAAGATGCCAGAAATGCGAGAAGAACAGTACAAGAATCAGATCGTAGAAGGGTACAGCATCTGTGGTAAGTGTGATGAGCAACCAGGCCGCGCAGGACATGAGTGTGAGACATACCACTCGGACGCTCGCACCGAATGCGTGAGGGGGCAAGTTCGACCTGAACTTCGCTTTTACAGCACCGGAGTTGCCGTGAGGACGGGTGACACGGCTGTATAACAAGAAAGAACATGAGGATGCACGGAACTCTTGCAGAATATGATCGCACGCACCCCCACATCACCCGGATCTTCGAGCCCTGAATCTCCCGCTTCGCCCGGTAAACGTACGCAACACGCTACAAAACCATTACCGAATAAGAACGAGACGGTTCCATTCCATGAGCAATACAGACTTTTCCGAGGTAGAACTGCGCCTCCTCCTTCGTTGAGACGCCCTCAATCTGGACGAGAGAGGTGTTAGGACGGGTGTTGCGCTTGGCGCGCTTATGGCCGAGGACGCGCCCCTTGCAATAAGTTCTGAGGTACAGGTAGTCACGAGTGAGTCAAAGTCGGTCCAGATGCGCGTGCAGAGAGCATAGAGCAGGGAGCCGAGTGGAAGAGGAGAGTAGCGCAGTAGCGTCATCCGTTGTATCGATTGTCCATCCACCCACTTCCACGTCCCGCGCATTCACCAGATTGTCCCGCCAGCATCCTACGGCCCTCTAGCACCATGCGGAACAGAGCTCACCTTGTTGATCCCATTTTCGTCGTCGTCCCGGCCGTTATCGAGTGTCTTGAGGATGCCGCCAAACTTTGCGCTAGCGCCGAACAATAGCCGGTGGGAATAATGCACTCCTAATCGGGAAATCTATGACTGTGGGAACTACCCGACCTTTTTCTTCGCGCGCGTGAGTGGCTATGTCCCCTCAACCACCGACGCAGTGCAGAGCTGCACTCGGCCGTCGTCTGCGCTTCGACGATCACGAGTAACGGAGCGGTGGGAGAGCGAGTCATCCCCTCGGTTTGCTTTCTGCATTACAGTCTGCTTGCTTCGATTTGTACTTCGACAAGCCTTCAGTCGCGGGGAATATACTATTGGAGATTGTACGCGGAGTCATTGCGTGAATATAGCCACATTATTTGCTCGCTGCTCGTCCATAAAAGCCGGCCGAAGAGCAGTGAACTCTCTCGTCGACACACTCATGGCTGGCCGGCTGCCTGCCCTGTGGAAGCGTTTCTCGTCCACCATCACCCCGAGGCCTATCCCACCAAAAGCTCACCACCACGCCCCGATTCCCGACCATGCGTTCCCCAGGGGCTACGTCCTGACCGGTCTTCACGCTGGCGTGAAGAAAACAGGAGCACTCGACCTTGCGCTGATCTTGTCTACGACCCCCGACCCAGCATCGGCTGCGGCGTGCTTCACGCGCAACGCTTTCAAGGCCGCGCCAGTTGTGGTATCAGAAGAGGTGCTTCAGCGCAATGGAGGGACCGCCCGAGCTGTCGTGGTCAACAGCGGGTGTGCTAACGCTGTGACAGGAAAACAGGGCATGGAGGACGCATGGGCGATGGTTCGTGCCACTGACGCGCTCTCCGGCGCAGACAAGGCAGGAGCAAACCAGACGTTGGTGATGTCCACCGGTGTCATTGGTCAATATCTGCCCATTGCAAAAATTATTGCAGGAATCCAGTCCCAGGCCGCTCAGAATAACAGTCTTGGGTCGACGTTCGACGCATGGGAGAGGGCGGCGAAGGCATTGATGACCACGGACACATTTCCGAAACTGCGTGCGCGCACCTTCACGATCAATGGGAAGGAATATCGTATGGCGGGGATGGACAAGGGCGCAGGGATGATCCACCCGGACATGGGTCCGCCCAGGACCATTGGACAGCTGCACGCGACTTTGCTTGGATGCATCTTGACCGATGCGGCCGTCTCAAGGCGCAGTCTGCAATCTGCCCTCACGTATGCAGTGGACCGCAGCTTCAACTCGATCAGCGTTGATGGCGACATGTCGACGAATGACACGATCCTGGTGCTTGCGAACGGCGCTGCTGTCACCGGGTCGGGTATACTGGAGGAGATCGATGAGGAACGAGACCCTGCTGCCTATGAGATTTTCAGGGATGAGTTTACTGCGTTCGCGACGGATTTGGCTCAATTGGTAGTGAGAGACGGCGAGGGCGCTACGAAGTTCATCACGGTATCTGTGGAGGTCTGTCAATCTTCTCTCGAAAGAAATTGACTCTCTGAACTCACCTTTGATTAGGGTGCCGCAACATATGCGGATGCTCACCTTATCGCATCGCGCATCTCCACTTCTGCGCTAGTCAAAACTGCACTGTACGGCCAGGATGCCAAGTGAGTATCTGTATTTGTCTTCCCCTGTTCGAGGAAGCTTTGGAGTACATGGCGTCGAGAACGCTGTATTCTTTTTTCGAGACATGTCCTCCAGCGCTATTCTACCAACAGTGGTTGCTATGAACGGTGTTCTCAAAATGGTGATGATACAGCTGGGGTCGCATCCTAGCTGCGACAGGTTCCGTACCGCTATCGACACCGCTTGACCCGAAGCGCGTCAGCGTTTCATTCATCCCCACGGATGGCTCACCAGTGCTCCCGCTTCTCGTGAACGGCGAGCCCGAAATGGTCGACGAGGCCCGCGCGAAGGAGATTCTCAGTGTAGAAGACCTGGAGGTGCGCGTCCAGCTCGGTATCGGGAAGGAGAGTGCGAAGTACTGGACGTGTGATTTCAGCTATGTAAGTGTGCCTCAACCGTTTGTCGCCTGACTAGGCAGTCTGCTGACATCGACGTGCGCACTGCAGGACTACGTCAGGATTAACGGGGACTACAGGAGTTAGACACGAGATACTAGCTTGGATATGCGACACTCTCGCAAATATACTCTGAGCTTGGAGAGCAGAACGAAAGCATAACAGTGAATACAAGCTACGGGCTCCGGGTATATGTCCGCCTATCACAGTTCGGATCTAAAAACAATTGGCACAACAAAACCATTCCGAGGACGAGCAAACCCAGCAAAGCATTCAGAAATCATTTCCACACAAGCTTGCCATTCTCGTCAACATATGCGGTCATTCCGCCGCTGATGGTTTTGCCCTTCTTTGCGTACTGCTCTGCAATCTTCGCTCGCTCGAGCTCACGCTCGTGCTTCGCCAGCCGTGCTTGGCGGTCTGCTTCTGCCGCTGCCTTGGCTTCTTTCTGTGCCTCGCGCTTTGACGCATTTTGCCGCTGTTTCTTCGTCAATGTTTCGGGAGCGGCTGGCACCGTCGCGCTCTTCTGCGTTTCTAAGGCATCGCTGAGTACTCATATTATGAGGAGAACAACAAGGGACGTACTTGAATGACCTCGGCCCTTCACAACGCCCCATCCACCGTCGTCCTCACGGTCTGCATCATCAGCAGTACCTCTCGGATGATCCACGTCCTCGTAATCTCCCCATGAGAAACCTGCCGCTGGCTTGTCGTTCGGCCCAGGCTGGATCCGCATAACGCGTGAGAGAGTCGGATAGTCTGGTGTCTCCAGCATGCTGCAAAGATCGTTCAATACGACTGAGTGAACATAGGAAGGTTCAACGTACTCATCTACACCCGTCTTCCGTGGCTTTGGCAACAACCTCTCTGCCAGCGCCCTCCGATTTTCGGATGGCTGGCCCGGATGCTCCGGAAGGACTCCATCATCTGATCGTTCCACGGTGGGAGACGAGGTCTCAGTGAGGGACGTCGTGGTGATCCCCGCATCGCTCGTGCCCGCTTCGGCTGGTGGCGCAGATATAGATGCGGATGCAAGCTGTGAGACATGCCGTCTTCGAGAATCCACACGCGTCCATGACTCGTCATTGTCAACGGGGGCTGGTTTCGGCGTGGAACTCTTCCTAGACTTGACCGTCGGTCGCACCGAGGCCTGCGACTCTGGCGCAGTCGCGGACGAGTCGGACATGACATCTGCAGAGGCAGCGCGCGACGCGGCCGTCCCTGACGCGCTCGCCTTCTTGTTCTTGTTCTTCTTCTTCGGTTTAGAAGAGGGTCTAGCGGGCTCGACGTCGTGGGGCTCCGAGTGCGTGTCGAAGTCACCTGGAATGACGGGCGGGAAAGACACCACATTGGGCGCCACTGTGGTCGACTCTGATGCGACCTCTGACTGCGTTTCCGCCTGTTTCTTCTTCTTCTTCTTCTTTCCTTGCGTTGGAGGGGGAGGGGGTGGTCTGGGCTGAGAGTCGGATGGTGGGGTGTACTGTACGTAGACATATACGACTGCTGCAGCTCCTGCAATCAGGAGAGTCGTGATAGCAGCTCCGGAAAAGTAGCTCTGCGCTGAGCCCATGATGGGAGGATGGAGACGACTCGCGATGGTGGATGTTCTGCCTTGATGTATAAGCAACACCGTACAGATGGCTTGGTGGAACCGCGTTGGAAGGCTCGGCGCAAGAGGAGAAAAAGTGCAAGGATTTCTCGCAAGTTCGTTATGATTAAAAGAGCAGAGCCGTGGGCATGAAATGTAGAATTAGTCGATGCCAGCTGTAGAGCAGACTGGAGTTACACGCAAACGGGGACAGACGAGCGCTTGCGCGGCAGTGGCTAAGGCACCAGCGTCCTAGGAATAGCGTCGGGACGCCTTTTCCCAGTAAAGGTCTTATCGGATGCTATGTCGATGGTATAAAACATCTCTGAAGCTGGAAAATCGCCGTACAGGAGCTGAATTGTTTTGTTTCGCCGTAAAATGCAGAAGGAAACGGTTCAGCAGGGGGGGCCAACGATAAATGATTGCGAGGGACGCGCACGTGGCTGCGAGTTACTGTGCCCCGCCATGTCTAACCCCACCACTCCGACAGACTCCCTAGGCAGAGCAGCCTTGTCTGATGGGACAGCTACCAGGAGACTTCCATCGCTCCCACAACTACCCGAACGTGCGGTCACCCCAACTCAGTCCAGTCCTGTCTCTTACAAACGTAGCGGTGATGGGTTCTTGATGCCTGAGCCAAAACGCAGCAGGACCCTTGAAGCATCAACCAAGGAGACGCCTATATCTCCTACATCTCCTCAGCCGAAACGCGGCAACACCACTGAAGCATCAGCCACCCAGAAGGCTGCGGACGCGGCGCGTGAACTGCAGTTTTATATCGGACGTGTGCAAGCTTATATAAACTCTATGAAAGAAGAAGGCGGGGACAGACGTGCTGCCGCGGCAAAAATCCAATCCGTTGTGAGCTGCTGGAGAATGGTTATGGGCTATGTTCTCGAAGGACCAGAATGGAAATGGACAGAGACGGAGCTCAAGCTGCTCAATTTCCCTATTCCGATTTCAGAGCAGGAAACAGAGGTGCAAGGTGAGTGCTCCTCTCTCTCTCCCTCCACAAATCCAATGTTGACCCGCTCACAGCGGTGATGTTGAAAGCTGCCAATGACGCCTACGATAGCCTCAGCATGAGTTTGAAACTGAAGCTCTCTCTCGGTTCCCCCTCTGAATTTGGCAAGCCCGGCCCTGACGGCTGGGAAAAGGGGCAGCGCGAAACCTCTGGTATATTGTGCCTTCGTCCTGTTAAGGATCTAAAGAACCCGCGCACTCTCACTCTCGCCTGACCCGCCAAGGTCCTCTGGCTCAAGTAGAAGGGGTGAAGATCTAACTCGAAACTGGGGGGTAGGCCCCAGCTTGAGCCAGTATATATATTAGTGGGGCAGGACCCCTGGTACCGGGGGTAAGCCCAGCGGTACCCTAATACACAAGATTAGGCCATAGTGGCGTGCTATGGCGTGCTATGACGTAGCTAAGTCCAGACGAGTCCGTAGGGGCCTCGGTGCGCCTACCTGGTCTAGGTGTATGACGTCATCGTGACGTATGGTCACGTGACTTGTACATGTCCGAGGGATGTCCGAATGTCCCTGTGGCGTGGGTATCCTACTGATAGCCACGTGGTAAGTCCGTATAGGGTAATGGTATACGGTGGAGCGGTCCGGTTCTCCTTGCCTAGGAGTCCCTGAAATGAGGGTTACGACGATGATCGTAACATGACCCCCGTCCTACGCCGAAGTGTCCTCACGAGGCCCTTTGGTTATGGGTTCCACTGGTATATTCCCTGCCTTGAAGCGCTGCTTCTGGAATACTTCCTTGACATCATGGGGATCTTCCCAATCCTCTGCCGATCCCTTTAGCATTGCTATGGCGAGGGTTTTGATGGTGGTATAGGTGTGGTTCCCAGGGTCCCTTCGTTTGGATGGTGGGTATAGACGTGTAAAGCCCGTGCTTCCAGTAGATTGATCTGGGTATTTGGGTGATCGTTCTACAACACCGGACATCGTCTTTTGTCCTTCGGGGTTCGGTGATCTGTCCTAGATCTGTGCCGCTTCCTCCACCACTCCGGGTATCTACGGAAGATTAGTTTTGCCAGTAATGGACTTTGATATAGGATATGCGATGCCTTGGATCGCACCGTTCCCTTGGACCCAATAATGGGTATAATCACATGACTTGTGATCCTTGTATTACCGATCTGTTGGTAATAGGTACGACCGTCGGCGGGTATACTTTGCCTGTAATGGTCTTGTAGTGGCTTATCGAGTCCGTGATGTCCATTTGTCATGGGTATACTTGTGACTCGTGGCCCGTAATGGCCCGGTGTACTTTATTAGTAAAGACCGTGTTGCGCCATATGGTATATTTGTATTAGCCGATTAGGTTTCCCGTCTTGCCTAGACTTGTTTCCCTTGTGGCCGGGTAAGGTATTATACCTTATTACGCTTCGGGCCCTAATTGCCGGAAGCGGGTATCGGTGGTTCGGGTGATGGGTACTCGTCTCGGCCGGAGACTGTACATAGAGCATCTTCTTGGTCTGACTACACCAAGTGATGGATGTGCATCGCGGTCTCTCAGCTGCGAGCAGTGCATCTTCCCGTTCCGAGGGTATAATGAATTGTACCATAGGGTATCGTTGTCGTTATGTTAACGTATGGGTATCCGTTGCGTGGGCCCAGCATTGTCTTATGTGGGTTGTCCGACGCGTCGTGGGTGCGGATTATGTTATTACCTCACGGTTCCTATAATGGCGCTCCAAGCAGCCAGGCAACCGGAGGATGGATGGAGGTTTATCCTAAAGGTATATTGGAGCTTCTCTAACTCCGTCGTTATCGTGGGACTTGAGATTTCCCGATGTACGTCCGTGGCTTACTCATTCGGAGCTCGCCGTCCTTGGGCCGTACTTCAGTACTTTCCCAAGTCCTTGATCGTGACGTAAAGAGCGTGGTGGGTAGAATATATTACCCCCGTCCTAGGTGGTGTCTTCCTGACGCCTACTTGTCTGGACCCCTTGGGTCAATCCCTTTCTATAGGGTGAGGGACGGCCGGGTATCTTGGTCCAGCAAGTCCTAAGGCGGAGAGCGTATCCTACGGGTATCTCCGGGTATTGTATTATGTAATATGCTTGGTTCCTATAGTGGCGCAACGCAGCCAGGTTGTCAAGCGTATTGTAGTTGGGTTATGTTATTATTAGGTTACTTGATTCCTATAGTGGCGCTTCTAAGCTGCCAGGATATCAAGCCTACTGTATTTGGGTATAGTCGTGACCACTATCTCGGTTTGGTCTTACCCGATATGGACTGCCTGTCCGATCGGCGCCCGTGCCGATCTAGCGTGTGGAAATGGTATATCCGAATAATGACTGTGTGTAGTTGGGATTCGGCTACGGCGATCTCCTTGGATCTATTGCCTCCCGCAGTTACGATGCCTAAGCAACGCGTGCGCTCGGCGTCCTAGGGCCGTGCCTTATGATATGGGTATCAACGAGGTCTTGCGTCGTTGGGTATGTGTCGTAATGATGGCGTAAAAAGGTTATTCCCGGATATATTTCTTGGTATTGGTGGGAATACCTATTATTCTAGGGTTGCTACTACGCTAGGGGTAATACCTCCTAGTACCCCCGTCCTAGGGCTGAGCGTCCTCGCCAAGCCATTTCCTGGACTCCTTGGGCTTTCCCTTGGGTATATGGTACTTGCCGGGTATCTTAGTCCGGATAGTACTAGGTACGAAGGTCGCGGTTCGCGGGTATCTTCGGTATGTTATTATTAAGTTTCCCCCGAGTCCTGGGTCGAGGTTACTATATTTGGGTATCCTAATAGATAGCCGTGCCCCCCACGAGCTGACTGCCCGTGAGGGGTTTTTCGTAATAGAAAATGATCGCGTCGTTAGTGCCGTGCACTGTATTCGAATGGTGTTTTCTTTTCCTGTACCACCGGGACACTGCCTGTGTCAGCGGGGTCGAAAACAATGTGTCCAGACGAATCGCCTTGGCACTTCTGATTTGATCCGACCGGAGTATCACGGTCAACGAAGAATATATTAACCCTTGGGCTGGACGGCCACGGGCAATAAACGTAGGTAACCTATACGCCGAAGCTAGGCACCCAATAACTAAAATCTCCGAAGTTGTTCCAACGGCGCAAGGCAGCCGAGGCTTCGAAGGGTGAGAGTTGTTCCCTCTAATGGCGCCTGCAGCAGCCAGGGCTCTCAACCGGGATCCTGTTTATCCGAGCGCAAAGCAGCTGGGCAGGATACGAATAAAAAGTATAGACGGAATTAAGTACAAGGACCCACGAGGGACCCCTGCCAAGCTTTACTCGGCTGCATCCACAGCGTCATCATAAAGACCCCATCTTTATGATGTTACAAAAATTAAACGGCTTTAATATAGCCATTACTTCTGGTGCCCCTACTGGACTTTCAGAAGTTTGTCGTGGGCTCGGTACTTCTTCGGCCCTGTTCGTCGGCACGGTACTTCTTCGGCCGGTGTCATAAGTGATGGATCGGATCAGTTCCCCGCTCACAGATCAGTCCTGACCCTCGATCCTTTTGATCCGCTCCCTCGCCAATTGTCTTCGTCAATTTGGACTGTTGTACTTGGTTCCGGAGACGGAGTGTAAACCTTTGGCCTGTTGCCAGGGCGGTGGACCCTTTCTTGGACCTTCGAGTCGCTGAGGATAGTCGAAGGGTGAAAACCTTTGGCTGGGCGCCAGGGCGGTGGACCCTTTTTATCGAATCCGGAGGCGGTGCCTCAGGGTGGATGCTCTCTTACACGAGCTCGAAGCGCCTGACCAGGCGAAGTCTTCATCGGCCAACTTGCTAGTGCTAGCTACTTATAACTACGGAGGCAATACTGAGCAGTCCGCAGTCGCGGGAGGGTCTTAACAGCCTTTGATTATTACGCTGCCAGTGTCCAACAACTCCCGAGGGTCTTCTGGTACCCTGGTTCACCGGTCATTCCAACCGAGTGTTCCGACAGTTCGTTCCGCCACAATATGCCTATGTACTACGTGGCTACGAATAACTAATCCCCTAACAAGTCGGGTTTACAGCGGGGATGAAGGCTGTTCCCGGTGCCGCTTTGGCACTGAGCAGGTGTGTTTAGTCCCTCGACACCCGAGGTTACGCAGGTCACGCTGATGCGGTCCAGATGATTGCTGTCCTACAGCATTTAACGGAAGCCCTTTCCTGTAGAGCTCATACATTGTGATGGCTATCTCACTGGGTCACCGTGATGAGACTTTAAAAGGTCGTCCCACGGGTCAGCTTTCGCCATTAGACAGTAAACTGTCCGTGTCGCATGGCAGCTATGGCCAAGGATATTTTTTATGGGCTTGGCAGCTCCGCCGTCAAGGTCACCGGTGCACTTTAGCGGTGGTGTTGCCTCGTAGCGGTACCCTTTTAAGGAGTGCTGCGCCCCTCCGCCCGGGCTCGTTGCACCGTCGTCAGGTCCTGAGACCCTCTGTGCCCCGATGGGTTTTAACTGCCCAGTTCCGCGGAGTCCTCTTACGCCAGAGGTCACGGCAAGGTTTGCGACAGGTCACGGCTGAAGCCTTCTGCCGACTTTCGCGGAGGCTTATTTAAGGCCTTTATTCCGACTTGTCATGCGCTCGTTTATTTCATTGGGGCGGTGCCCCTAGTATGCCTCGCCGCCTAAGGGCTCTGGCAATCTCTTCGGTTGTTTCTGCCCTAATGCAAGGAGGACGGTGCCCCCGGTGGACCTTCGGCACTCCGGCCTGGGCGGTTGACCCATGTGGCTTTGTTTTCGCACGGCTGCCTGCCTACTGCGGGGGAGATCCTACTCCCCGGGGCCCCCCGACGCTGCCTGCATCGAGGGGCGATAGATGGTCGCGATGACCGTGCTCTGCCCTGCCTGGGCGGTTGAGTCGTCGACGTCGGAGTCCGCTGCCTGCGGGTTGTTCGGAGCGTCGTGGTCGTTGGCGGATCCTGCCTGGATGTCGCCGAGTGCTCGAGGTCACCATGCCTTGGCTTGTCGAGGAACGAGGGAGGGTGCCTGAAGCGGCAAATGAGGGCCTCGCCGGGGCTGACTGCCTTGTGTCCGACGAGTAGTGTGCATACGACCTGGGCGGCCGCAGCGAGTGGAAGGTGGTATAGTGGTCGCCAAGAAGAAGTCCGGACTGAGGCGGCTACCGGTGCCCACAGCCCTAAGGGAGCAGTTTCGAGTTATGTTAAGGATCTAAAGAACCCGCGCACTCTCACTCTCGCCTGACCCGCCAAGGTCCTCTGGCTCAAGTAGAAGGGGTGAAGATCTAACTCGAAACTGGGGGGTAGGCCCCAGCTCGAGCCAGTATATATATTAGTGGGGCAGGACCCCTGGTACCGGGGGTAAGCCCAGCGGTACCCTAATACACAAGATTAGGCCATAGTGGCGTGCTATGGCGTGCTATGACGTAGCTAAGTCCAGACGAGTCCGTAGGGGCCTCGGTGCGCCTACCTGGTCTAGGTGTATGACGTCATCGTGACGTATGGTCACGTGACTTGTACATGTCCGAGGGATGTCCGAATGTCCCTGTGGCGTGGGTATCCTACTGATAGCCACGTGGTAAGTCCGTATAGGGTAATGGTATACGGTGGAGCGGTCCGGTTCTCCTTGCCTAGGAGTCCCTGAAATGAGGGTTACGACGATGATCGTAACACGTCCCACCGAGAAGAATGGTGTCCCATTGTGTGTGCTGCATGACGTTTTCCGCCGATTCATGCTCTTTGCCGGCAGGCCCCTTCCTGAGGACTCAACCACCACAGTATCTGCTGTGAACTCCGCTCAAATGTTGTGCAACAGTATGGGAGAGCCATTCGATAATGAGGCAGCGCGATCCACTGAATTCGACACCTGTGTTAAGCAGCTGTTTGACGGCTGGACCCGTAAGCACCCGTTAAATGCATCGTCAGATCTCCATTGCGGCGAGGTCAATGTCAATCGCGTTTTGCTCGGACCTCGAGACGTACCGATCTGCTTGCGTGAGGACAAGTGGGAGCCCGGACAAGGAGGCAGCGACGTCTATATGCAACTGGCGCGCAGCTACGACCTTGCCATCAAAGTCTTGCGCGAGAATACATCGAACGATTTGACATGGACGAGGTTTTTAGAGCAGGGCTCACCAATGTTCCTCATCTCTGTGCTGGGTAAGTTTTGTTGTGCATCCATGCATCCTACCGCCTGACGATCGACGGACAGGACCTCAGCTGTCTGTAATGGGTGGCTTCTATGAAGGCGAGCATGTCATCGTGGAGCCATTAGGACATACGTACTACATGCTATATGACAGCATGGGCAGGCGGCGGCAGAAGCTTGCAAAGGTGCTGTATGCACTGGCGAAAGGGCGATCTATGTTAGAAAGGTATGTCGAATGACACCTTCAATGTAGATTGTTCTGAACAATTCTGTCTTCTAGTTTGATAGCAACACCACAACGGATGACATTTCCCGCTTCTTCACCTCGGATCTATGGGTCGTGCACATTATATGCAGAAGCAGGCACTACAGTGGGTGCTACAGTGGGCGACCTTACATTCGAATGCCCTCTCTTTATAGATAGTGAGCGGCAGCTGTTCAGTGCCACGTTGTCTCTCAGCCCTTCGTCGGAGCATTCTCAGAAACCAGTGGTGGTCAAGTTGGTCGACAGATCCTATGGCGCACATGTACATCATCTGTTGGCTTGCCACGGTTTTGCTCCTATCCTCTACGGATATGCACGCCGTGAGGGTGCTCCTACCGCCTACGTCATGGAGCGCCTTGGATCGGATTGGGTGATGCTGTTCCAATTCTTGAAAGTGGAACCACCTGGCACAGGGTTTGCAGCTCCCATCTCGACCTCGCTGCAACAACTGCTAGAGCTACTGGACAAGGAGCATGTTGTGCACGGTGATCTCAGAACCAACAACATCATGTTGCAGATTGACGACGAAGGCAAGCCAGTCATATCAGACCGAAGGGCCAATATCAAGGTGATCGACTATGATTGGGCTGGGAATGCTGGGGAGGCACGTTATCCTCCGTCACGCAATGAGTATATCGCAGGTATCAAGTGGCCTGGGAAGCCTGGCAGTCTGATTGAGTCTGGGCATGATCGCCAGTTGGTTGAATCGTGGTGGCATTTTTGATCAGTCTGGAGATTTTTCGCCATGTCCTCTTTGTTCATGTCATGATTTAACAGCTGACGAGGAAGCGGACGGTGATGCATCCTGTATGGCAATATCCTCATTCAAATTTCACAGTATCTATCTCGCTTGCTGACAAGTATTGGGGTTGCACGGTATTGTAGTACATGAATTATCTATTAGCACTACGTTCACCGCCTGCCAGTGCGACCGTGGCAGATCACCTTGCGATGGAGCATCAGACACAACGGCACATCATATTCAGTGAGTCTGATTTCCACGAGACATGCACCGCGCGAGGGCGGATGGACCGGATGTACGTCTTCGTGGACAGCCTACGCGCACCACATATCTGCTAGACACACATGCATGCCCGACCGACCTCGAACGTGATGTGTGCCACAACATTTTAGCAGGGAACGCAAAGTTACTCGATCTCATCAAGGACACCACCGTGGTGTACGATGCCAGACAATTAATCGACATCGAGCTCTATGGCTGAAGTGGCTCTGCTCTATTTCAAGTTATTGCGGCTATTCCCAAAAAACGGCTCCGAGCGGTGCGACTATTGTATAACCACTGCTCTGCATCGAGCGGAAGAAATCCACTCAAATTGCTGGGATCTCCCCGTCTCTTCGTTCTATATCATTTATCTTCTGGTCGACCTCAGGAAGGTCTGAGGCCTCGATCTGATGAAACAGGAGGAAAACGCTTGTTCGTGTCTTGTTTGATGGCCATACCAGAGAGACCGGTCATGAATCCCCCAAAGGACCGTGACCAGTCACGGATGGTAAAGTGCAAGGATTAATTGAACGATGCGTCACTATATATAGCCCGGAGGGAGTGTCTATATGCAGCACGTATTAGATGGAAAGAGCTACGTACGTATATGTATATAAAAACTGCCGACCGGCTCCTTAAGCATCCCTCTCACGGTCTAAAATTGTGCGTGCGCTTCTCCTCACATGAAGTTCCTATCTGCGAACGAGTCCCTCACATCCCTGCGGTCATTCGCTCTTATGATGTGCTCGTCAAAAGTAGAATCGGAAGACACATACGATTTCTCGCCATGAGCCGCGGCAGGGGCAGGATGTGGCGCATGTGTGTGCACCGTGGGGAGGAGCTGCGCGGCTACCGAGCCATCAGGCAAACATGGCGCCTTGAACAGCGTGCCGTCGATGAACGGTGGGATGCTGCGCACAAAGATGGCGCCCCACAGGAGGAACACGAGCGCTGCACGGAAGAGCCACTTAGTCCCAAATCGAGAATAAAAAATAATGGTGAAACGGAGACGCACCAGACCATAGCGAGCCCACGACCCTGAAGAATCCGCTGTCGAGCACGCGCGAGAGCTCGACCGTCAGCAGCGCAAATACGCCATTCGGGAAGACCAGCCCCCAGTATGCCATATTGAAGTGAAGCGTCGTCCGGCGCACGCGGACCACATGGTATATCGAGCATACCGCAACCACAATCCACGCAATGCCCATGCTCCACAGTGCGTAGCTCGCGCAGAAACATGCCGCATAGATCATCTGGCCCGCCAGCGCACTCTGCGGGAAATCGCCCTGGATATGCAGCGGGAGAAGCTCCGAGATGGCATTGCCGTTGATGAGGAGGGAGAAGCCGCCCTGGCCAAGTGGGCCGAGGACGATGAACGCGGAGAGGATAAGCCCCGGGTCGGGCACGCCGCGGATGAGGAGCCGGAGGAGGTAGATAGTGATCATCATGAGCGCGAACGCAAGCCCCATCGCGAGCATCGTGAACGAGAATGCGGTCGTGACGAGCGCCGACGTGTGTGAATGAACTTTGATCGCCTGCGCTATGAGCCCGCCTGTGGAGGATGCGACGACAAGCGTGACGACGGGCAGGAGCCAGACTGCGGCCATGTTCGAGATAGAGTGTTCGTGCCGGACAACCCTGGGAAACGTCAGCGAAAGTCGCAGTTGCTTGAAATACGGAATTACATGGTGTAGATCATGCCGTAGCAGACGAGGTAGGAGAGGGCAGAGTCAAGCCACCAGAAGCCCCATAGAACGTAGAGGAAGCCTGATCCCCCAAAGCCCCAGTTCTGATTGAGAGCCTAGCGATAGGGTTTGAACATCCAGCAGATGTGAAGCAAAAGAAGCGCACCCACAAGAGCAGAGTTGATGAGTGTAGCGAAGCCCATCGGAAAGCACCCTATGTACAGACTTTGTGCCGGGTGCCCGATCATGAGCCAGAAAACCTACGCGACATATCAGAATCCGACGTTCACGAGATGACCATGAGAGAGGGGCATACATCAGGATTCAATACGTATCTCAGGAACGAGCATATGCAGATGAATACGAAGAGTATGAGGTTCAGGATAAAGAAGACGCATCCGGCCAATTTAAAGTTGTCGTTGCTCTGTCCGTAAGGAAAGTCGTTGAGGAGGGCGGAGACAACACCTGTGCCCATGATGACTGCATGCCATGCTGGCGTGAAATGCCTGCGCATGAACGGTAAAGTCAGAACCTAAATAATTCACTGCGGAGCTGAAGCGCCCACCGTATGCGTTCCGGCCAGCTCTTCCACTGGGCGTACGGCAGCATAAGGGGCGCGTGGGCCTGCTTGCTACTCTGCATGTCGTGCGGGGTAAGCGAGCGAACGAGATTGAATACAATTAGCTACACAGCAGCAGAGAGGGCGGAGACAGAGACGAGGGACGTGTTAGGAGCCACGGGACAATATTGCGCGGCATATAAGGGCACGCGCGAGGCGGTCTGGCCTGTGCTCTCCTTGAACACGGGCGGCGTGTCCATCATCGGGAGTCTGTGCGCACCAACTTGCATTCGGAATAAGTATACTCGAACTAGCGCGCAAGTGTATGTACCCGCCCAAAATGCCACCGCTACTTCGGAACGCCCACAACACCTCCCCCCGCTCCACGACCTCGACAACCCTCTCAGTCCTTGCGCTACTCTGAACATGCCATCTAACGGCGCGCAGTATATCTCCGCATCCGCAGGTGGAGGTGGACATTTGCGGCCCCTGATACATTCAATATTCGGAATGCGTTCGCGCGCGTGCCACCCACAATTCGGAATACCCTGGTCGCTCAACATTCCCGCTCCACCTACCCCTGCATCAAGCGGCGGCGACGCGAGCGTAGCGGAGCGACGGCGTTCCAGCCGCCTGTCGTGATCCTCGCTGCATTCCCGCGTTCACTTGGCGACTGCTCGTCGGGTAGGTCTCCGCACCCCCATCGCCCTTGCTGCCCTCCACGTCGCAGCTAAAGGCAATGGGCTACTGGAATTCTCTCTGGCGGGGCTTGCCTTTCTCTCCCACGACCTGACTTGATGCATCTTTCTGTCGGGCCAGAAGGCTCCAGCTATTACAACCAATCTCGTTCTTCTGCCTGAGGATGGGCATGCTCCGCTGCGACCGTCTTGCATCACTATGAGCTATCTATGACATGAAAATTGCTAATTTACTGAAGCGCTGGCTAGTCCAGACACATCGCATGAGCTAGACAACTAGTCTGTCCGAATTAAATGCTCCCTTTTCACATGCATACACAAGCTGCCGAGCTATATAGTAATTGGACAACCCGGTATCTTGTTCTTTGAGATCCCGAGTTTTCTCGCTATCAGTAGAAAATATGCCGGGTAGTATGCGACAACATCCAGTGAGCCCACATGACTCCGATTCATCCACGACACTCACAATACCCCCACCTGATCCGGTCGTTCCACCAACACTTCCCACCCAAACCTCCTGCTATGCTGACGTCAACCCCACGAGATGCGCAGTGGCGCCTCATCGAGCTCGTTGGGCCTTGCAGGCAGCCTGGTGTCCAGCGCAAGCTACGTGAACGTTTCGTACACTTGATGAGGTACCTATTTGACGCATGAACAGCTAGCGCACTCGCTCGCATACATTGACGCAGTCATCAAATAGGTGCTGTCGTTGTATCCCGCAGTGGCTGCCGGAAAATTCATTTAATCTCCCATATACAGCGCCCGACTAGAAGGCTTTGCGCAGATTGCTGCATCGCTTCAAAGTTCACGACGATTCTGCGAACGCGACCGCTTTCTGCATAGCAATGCAGATATTCTGCGCCTCAACCAATATCGCAGCTCTGCGCACTGCCAAACGACAGAGGCGGGGAAAGGGGGTGGCTTCGGGGCGCCGTACGTTGCCACATACACTTCTTGTCAGAATATGGTATCAGATTAATCGTATGAGTGCGGTCATGAGATTGTCTGCCCGTCATTGCCGCTGAGGCTGTACTACTTGGAAATGCATAACCGTCCGGGTGTCAGAACACCTAGGAGCTGCACCTCGTCAATCCCACCCAACGGTTGAATGGAAGCATTCGCTGATGCACCGTATTCATACCACATCCGTGACACCACTGGCAGGAGCGTCTACAGAAGAGGATAGCCACCATACACGCCGAACATTCAGGCAAAGCTAGTCGACAAAGCGACCGATTCCTGAAAACACCGACCGAAGAACTTCGAGTCGCATGCTCGAGTTGCGAATCGCGACAATCCGCGGAGCAGTATTAGGCCGAGAGTGCACTGGCGGCAGAAACGTACCCGTGTGGTTCCCGGACCGAACTGGTCGAACTGCTGCAGCAGGAGGAGTTGAATAGAGGAATGCATTACCGCCAAACTTGTACTCTGTACTGATCAACGCTGCCGCGATGTTGAGGATGGTGGCTAAGCCCATCGGATACGTCCCGAGGAACAGACTCTGTACGGGATGTCGGAGCATTTTCGACCAGATCTCCGGCCAGAAGGGGTCGCGACAAATAGTAAACAAATTGAAGAGGAAAAAGAGAACGACGTTGAGCAAGAAGAGTATTGCGGAGAGTACCTTCATGGGAGAGGACCCGCGTGCGTAGGGATGGTTGTTGAAAAGAGCGGAGACTGCGCCAGTTTCTGCGAAATATTGTCAACATCATTCATGATCATTCTATCGCTTTGTGGGTTTGTGGACTCCTTGCTACTAAGGTTGTGTCGTGGAGAGCTCATGAAGCCGGATTTACCCATGACAACGGTGAACCATGCCGCGGTGAAGTGTCTAGACGAACATAAAGCACTTTCTGCGTTGGCTGCTTGGGCAAAGTGACGTACCGAACAACATTTTTCAAGTGTCTAGGCACGCCACCAGCGGACACTGGCATCTTGGCCAGATTGTTCCGTCACGGTAAAAGCAGTGCAAGATATTTCCCTTGATCTGACCTTGCATTTTTTGTCGCCTGCCTGGCATTAGCACAGGGAGCGATTGTATTATTCGGTCAGGCTGCATCGGCATTGCTAATGTGACCGAGGCATGCGAAAGCGGAAGGCGCTTGTAGCTTTGTGCAGCGAAAAGAGAGCCGAGCAGTAGCTAATTAGAAGCAGTCGCGCTATTATCCGACGGAGTCCCAAGCCGTACATCACGTTTGCAAGCTGTACAAATTATTTGGTGATGGTCAATGTTAACGTTGAATACAAATCCAGAAGAGGCAGGTCAGCTGCTTCTTCGAGATACCAGGCAAACAAGTGCAAATTGATCGAGCAGCGTGGCCTCCTCGACGTAGCCACACAGCGCGAGTCCAGCGACACTGTGCGCAGACCGAGTCTCTCCATGTATGTCTCCAGTCTACTCATAATTGTGCATAGATAAAACATGCATACAGAACAGCGTCTGCACGGGTTAGCTTTCTAGCCGACATCCCCTGATGCACAGCATTCGACAATAAAGCTTCCCCATATTGGCCACCCCGACTACTTCTTCCACTCCGGCACTCGAACGTTCTGTTGTCAAAGGGTCACTGTCGCGGGAAAGGAAACGGATGTCTGCGCCCACCATATCTGCAGCACAAGCAGTTGGAGAGTACCTACAGTTTCCTGACGACCTGGCGAAGATCACCGCATTCCGCAAGAAGCTCGAGAAGGAGAAGGCCTCCATCGATGCCAGGCTGAAGAGCGGCGTCAAGGAGCAGCTGGATGCAACCCGAGAGGGTTTGCGTAAGCTGTTTAGTACGCGGAACAATCTCCAGACAATCAAGGATGAGATGGAGACGGTGGACAGGCTGTGCAATGACCCTCAGAACACGGTCTCAACCTTTGACCAGATTAGCAGAGTAAGCGACCGAGTCAAGCTATTCGACATATATCTGATCGTACACTTAGGTGTCAATGGTGCATCGAAACTTTGAGCGTACGGAGGAGATGGTCAATAATCTGGTGGAGATGGAGTCGCACCTCGACATGCTAGAGGGCATGCTTGAGGCAGACTGCCAGGACATCCTAGGTCCGGCACCCAATCTCCTTCGTATCCACTACCAAATCAACAGGCTGGAGGCCTTCCGCAACCAGACTATGCACCAGGCCAAGAAGTCCAGCGCGCATACAAGAGCCACGCTGGCAAAGTATTTCGAGCGACTAAATCGGCTAATTGAAGCATTCGACGAGTATATCATGGCGCTTGCGAAGAACATCCTCATGATTGTCATGGAAGGCCATCCGGAGACGGTTGTGAAACTCATCAAGATTGCCGAGATTGAGGGGCGAGAGGACGAGAAGGTACGTCTAGTAGCGCTACAATTGTTCAATGTGCTTACAAGTTCACCCCCAGGCTATAGCCATCAAGCTTGTCAAGAAAGCCGCCAAGATGGATGCGGCAGCCAAGTTCAGGTCGATGCAGGCAGACGCACGCATCATCAAGCATTACCGCATGAAAATCATGAAGAGCATCACCGAATCGATCACAGCCACGTTCGAAGAGGCCTATGCGAGCAGCGGCGAGAACCCTGCGGCTTTCATCGAGAATCTCGACTGGATCTACCAGGACCTGATCCACATAGAGACGGACGTAGTGCCGTGCTTCCCGCCGTCGTACGAGATCCACAAACATTACGTGCGCGGGTACCACAAGGCGCTGAACGCGATGCTCACAAAGATCATCAAGTCGGAACCCGAGGCGAGCGTTCTGCTGACGCTGAATGCGTGGATCAAGGAGTACAAGAAGAAGATGAAGGAGCTCGAGATCGCACCTGAGCTGCTCGAACCGCCGCTATTGGACGGCAAGGAGCAGAGCCTGATCGAGGACTACCTCAAGCTCATCATCAGGAAGCTCGAAGAGTGGACCGCGAACCTGATGAAGACGGAGATCGCCTCCTTCATAGCGCGCGAGGAGCCGCCAGAGGTGAACGCCGACGGACTCTACGGCATGCAGGGCTCGGTTATCCTGTTCCAAATGGTCAATCAGCAAGTCGACAACGCGATGGAGAGTGGACAGGGCATGATCCTCGCACGCGTCGTCGAGGAGGTGAGCCGCGCGATGCGCGGGGTGCAGGACCGATGGACGAAGCTCATCGAGGCGGAATACAAGAAGAACGTAGAGAAGCCAGAGGAGGTGCCCGGCGGTCTCGTCGAATACTGCATCGCGCTCGCGAACGATCAGATCAAAGCTGCAGACTTCACCGAGGCCCTCTCTGCGCGCATCGAGCCCCTCGTCTCGGAGAAGTATCGCGCGCCGATTCATGATCGCCTCAACGACGCGATCGACGGCTTCCTCGACGTCGCGAAGAAGTGCACGCAGACGCTGATCGATATCATCTTCAACGACCTCAAGCCCGCGACGAAGCAGCTCTTCACGCAGACATGGTACGATGGGATCAGTGCGCAGATCTTCGCGACGATTCGTGACTACATGTCCGACTACAATGCGTATCTCAACCCGACACTGTTGGAGCTGCTGGTGGAGGAGCTGCTCGACCAGTACCTGGTCACGTACCTGACGGGCCTCGCGAATGCACCGAAACTCAAGATACCTGCCGCGCTGGAGCGCATCAAGGCGGACATTGACGAGGCGTACAAGCTGTTTGGGCAGTACAAGAAGATGAAGGAGCTTGAACCTCAGATGCAGGTGCTCGAGATGGTCCTCTCCATGCTCGAGGCGTCTCAGAGCTTGGTGTTCCTCTCGTACTGGTCGTTCGCAAAGGTGTACGGTCCGAACATTGCATTTGTGGAAGCATTGATGAAGGCGAGAGGAGACTTGGATCGGTCTGGAGTGAGCGAGGTGATGGACAGCATCAAGCGGAAAGTGAAGGAAGAAAATCTCACTGATCGTACGTACTCATTGTTGATGATCACCAGTCTCATGCTGACCTATCTTCTATAGCACCTGAGCCGACCATCATGAAGAAGATCTCAGTCCAAGGCGCACTCTCTCGGTTCCTCGCGCGCACATAGACGTTTCACTAGATGAACATTGTACACTAGCATTGTTTTCCTAGATATCACGCTGGCATATTTATATTTATTAACTTACACGACTTTGTCTACTATCATCTTCCCTCTAGCCTCTAGGACGGTGCTTGCCTCGCGCACATCAGGCTGCTTTAAGCTTGACATGATCCGCCCCCATTTGCGATCGGTCGGGAAGAATCGCGGCGATGTCGTCGATCTTCTTGAACTGCCATGGGAAGCGCGAAGGATACAGGAACGGGCGGAGATCGTACCCTGTTATATCGTTCCGTCAGTCTAGTCTGCCGAACGAGGAAGCGAAGGCATACGGTTATCGTCGGGGCTGTATTGCTCCTGTGGCACGACATGAGGAGCTATTATAACTCTTCAATAGAACTGCGCTCACCGCGTGGTAAGACGGCGTGAGAGTCGTCATCTTGTGTCGGTTCCGAGCGTATTCGAAGAAGAAGCGCTTGACTTTGTCCGCGATCTGATGACCAGAGCAGCTCTCAGAATAACTATGTTCAGCAGAGTGATCTCGCGCCTACCTGGACAGGGCTCAGAACAGAACCCCATTCATGCACCAGTTTCGTGAACATGCTGTACGGCCCGCATTTCTCGACCTTGCGCAGCCGTCCGAAGACGGAGAGCTCGTCGTAGGTCATTCCCATATCGGCCTATGAAGCTGAGTATTCCTGCGCACAAGTGATTCAAGACAGCCTACTTACTTCATCAGCTTGCACGTAGGTCTCAGTGATGGGCTCCAGCTCAGCAGTCGGGACTGCTTCCAGGAAGCTGACGGTCAAGCATATCAGCCTCAGAAGACTCGTCATGTAATAAAGACATCATGCGCACCTCTCTAGGATGGGCAGCTCGAAGGCGTCTCGAGCATAGGCGATGAAGCGCTTCAAGTCCGTCTTACTGATCGCACCAATGGGGTTGACATCCGCTACGCATACAATTGGTCACAATGCAGGATTAAAGGAGAATGCACACCACTTCTTACCGGAGGAGCAGTCGTACTTGGTCAGATAGCCCCGCAAGCTGCATTGCTCATCAGTGACGCCAAGGAGGGCATTGAGCATGTAAAATGATCCTTACCTTTCGTCGACGTTTGCACTACCGAGAACAAGCAGACCGCCTGACCTTCCTCTCACCCACGGAAGAAGCTGAGCGAACAGGTATGCAAGCACCATACGCAGTCTCGCCTACGACAGCCTTTCAGTGATATGTGTGTAGATATGATGAACGGTGCAACCGACCTGGATGTTTTGAAGAGCAAGATTCTCCGCATCTGAGCCTCCGTGTGCACGGAACCTAGGTTTCGCACCCGTCACATAAGAAAAAAGGGCGTGCACGGCGGTGACGAGTGTGTCCATGTTCAGGTCAACATGGTAGCTATGGAATACAAGGAATGCTTCGAGTGAGAATCTAGCAGCTGAGGGCCCGAAGAGGATGTTGTACGGCTCACCTGCCGATCGCCTCGGCCAGCTCCTTCGCCCGTGTCCTCGTCTCTTCGCTCGAGTTCTCCGTACCCATATAGCAGGTATGAAAGATCCTATTCGAGAGCTCGCGCGGGTCGGTGGGGATGTACGTTGAGTCTTCCGACTCTCCGACGATCCGCCGAGCGTCAGCGATGACCTGCTGGTCTGTCTGCTGCATCAGCGACGTAATACCTCAAAATATATGATGAACGCACTCCCCGCACCGGCTGCCTGCACAGCGAGGCGGCACATGGAATACACGATGACGGACGTCGCACAGCTGTCAATACCACCGCTGAGTGGAAGGAAATAGCCCTGCGTCCTCGAGCGGCGGACATAGTCCCATAGCCAGCACGCAGGGCCCAACCTATCGTTGATTAGAAATCAGTCGTGACAGTCATTATGCTTGTTACAGAGACACTCACGCAATCTCCTCCTCCGGTATATGGTATCTCACCTCCACCTTCGGGCTCACCACCAACTCATCCTCGTCCTTTGAGAACTGGAATTTGCACTCGCTAAGCGCAAAGTCGACCTCGATCCTCTGATAGCGCTCAGCCGCGGCGGCCTGCATGCTGCGACTGCTGATCGCACGGTGTGCGCGTACATCTTCGATGTCGATCGTCGCGGTGACGACCTCGACATCGGTGAGCGAGAATTGCGAGCCCTGTGCGAGGATCTGTCCATTCACGGCGATCATCGCGCAGCCGTCGTAGTAGAGCCGGTCGCCGTCGCAGCCTTGCTGGTTTGCATAGAGGTAGATCCCGCCGACCTATAAGTAGGGATGGGTATATGCGCAATAATGGGAGGGAGACGAAGGCCACCTTCATGGTTGCCTCCTTGATGAGCTCGACGCGCCGGTAGAGCTTGCGCAGCTCGTGGTGGCTTCCGCTGGAGTTGGTGAAGATCTCGACACCGTCGAGTCCCATGAGGATGTGCGGGCTGAAGTGGACGTCAATCAGGTTTCCGGCTTACACAAAGTCATGTTCACCAACCTCGCAGGGGTAAACAGTTCCTCGCAGAGCTCTACTCCGATGCAGGTGTCTATTGTGCTAACGACAGCATCTCCGAATGGTACTTTCGTCTTTGAGAAGCATACTCAGTCTAATCTCAAGAGCTGCACAGATCAAGTCACTTACCTGGCCAGTAACGGCATGAATAATTCTCGGGAGGTAATGGTCCTCGGTGCACCTATGCTTCATCCACGGTGTGAACCAGCGCAACTCGCGATAGTTACCATCATTGGCGAGCCACATCTTTGGGCGGATGAGGAGGATCTGGCCGCTGTGAATTATTATACGACAGTTATATATGACATTCTTGTGCACGACGGGCCTGTGAGCCTGGATGAATGGACATCCGATCAATGAACTGGATACGCACATGCCGATGTCACATAGGATACCCTTAGCCTCTTCTGACTCGAGAATCTTGGCTAGCACCTCATATGAATGCAAGGCGGTATCACCTTGCCGGAGTTAGAAAATAGGTAATCCGAATTGATCCTGTGAAAGCATACCTTCGAGGAAGTGGTCTTGACAGCCATACCCGCTGCGGTGATCAGTGTCTCAGTAACTACAGCTTGCGTTTGATGCATGCAGACCCACGTTATCTCAAGCTCAGGCCCGACTCGCAAGGTAGCGCCCCGCTCTTTCGCTATGCGGATACTCTCCAAGATCCGCTCGAGGTTTCCCTGTAGTCGCATCAGATCACGGTGATGATATCGTACTGTTTAAATCACCTGAAAGTCCAAGGACCACTGGTTCAGCGAGCTGCAATGACCAGAATTGGTTCAATGAATGTCTGATTAGCCAAGACCGTACCAACTGCGATGCGTTAGTTAATGGCGGGAAACGTTGTAGTGACAGCTCACGTCGCGACCGTTATTAGATGTCCCATGTTCACGACTGTTCGTCACGATGCAAAGCGCGAGCAGGAGATCACGCAAGACTCGACCAGAGTCAAGCTTTGGTCGACCGTCGTGGCGTCATGCGCAGCCGGACCCGCTGATTGTTCATCGAGCGTGATCGATAGGTTGTTGCCATCAAAAAACCCAAATCATCAACGACTTGTGGACACTTAGATGATCTACACATGCTTCGAGCGTGCTTTGTGCGCTATATTTGTCTAGAGGGACTATCTCAACGAGTAGTATGCAAAATTCCGCTATCAGACCACAGATATTACAAGCACAGGATCATGCTCAGAGAGCTGCCATAAGTTCACAGAATCCATCGTGGAGCAGGGCTTGGAAACGAGCATGCACGGACCTGCATTCGCTCGGATGCTGGTGCTGGCCAGCAGAGCAAATATATATCCTAAAAGTGAATAAGTTAAGCATACCAACAGGACAACCGCAAGTCAACGGGAACCCCCCTCCCCCTGCATCAACTACTCGTCTCTTGCATTGGAGAACGAAGCGATGTCGTCGTGGTCGTCATCCGCTTTCCTTCTCTTCCCAATCCCGCAGCACGCTCCGACTCTTCAATGGTGTACGCAGGTTCCCTGAGCGTCTTGCATCTTCGTTTGTGCACTTTGCCCCGCCAATGCGATCGTAATGCAGCATCGGTCTCGAAGTATCTATTCTCATCATTAGTATAAATACCGGGAGCAAAGAATATTTCAGTACTCACTTTGCACACTCCACACAGTAGTGCTGAGCCAAACCAGGCTTTTCAGGATCCAGCGGTTGTGCCTCGAGGATGGCTCGGTTCTTGAGGATGTCATGGGCTCAGCAAGCACACAATAAGCAAACGCGCATATACTTACCTTTGGGTCCAGGTCTATCAGCTGTATCTGATCCAAATCCCTCGTTCGCGCCTGAAGAAAAAAGGATGAGGGACGTTTGAAGTACAACTGGCCGGTTTGACAGACCCTCGTTCTTGCGGCTCGATGCACATCCCTTTTTGCATGATGCGTCCTAGAGCGTCTCAACCGGCCCATGTTGCCCAGATTCTCTAGAAAGGATGGGTCTCGAGTAAACTCGTAAGGACTGGACTAACGAAGCCGCAACAACTCTGGTTGGGTTGAGGCGCCCATAGAATAGATGGGCGCCAATCGACTGACGAAGACGTGACACGACCGGATTTGGCAGTCCTCACTTCCGCTTGTAACCCAATTCCCTGCTTCACTATCAACACGATTTCGAGCCCACGAGCTGCTGTGATAGCTGTAGAGAGAAGAAGAGATAATCGAGATAAACAACGAGAGAGGCCACGGGCTGATTTTTGCAAGAAATAACTCTTAAATCATCTGTAGCAGATGCGCATTCTCTCTTGGAACATTGTGAGTCCATTTCCGACAGTCTGTGTTTTAGTTCTGATTGACAGTAGGTAATTAGAATGGTGTCCGAACTCTGCCAAAGTACCACCCGTAAGTGCATCAGTGGATGTGCTTGATGTGTTTGTCGCCGAAATCTTCTGCGCAGCTGGAATTCTTTCGCATCCTTCGATGGCGTACTTGACGCGTTGAACGCGGACATTATCTGTTTCCAAGGTGCTGAACACGTCAATTGTGACAGATCGCTACTAAATATGCTTTCAGAAATGAAGTCGTCGCGTTCTCTGCTGCCGCGAGATGTCGCCATTCCTGAGGGCTACCATTCCTTCTTCTCCTTCCCGGTCAATAAAGGCGGCTACAGCGGCGTAGCAGTCTATACAAAGTCAGCCAATGTGACTCCACTAAAGGCAGAAGAAGGTCTGTCGGGCATGATACAGCCAAAGCCTCCGCTGTCCCAGGAAGAACGCGTCTCCCCTGCATACCCGCACGCATACGATATCGACGCGTTTTCTGACGAGAATGGCCATGTACCATCTTCCTTTGATGAGCTCGACGCCGAAGGACGTGCTCTAGTTCTTGACTTTGGCCTGTTCGTCCTCATCAACGTCTACTGCCCCGCCGAGACGTCCGACGACCGGCTGCCCTACAAGATGAACTTCCACCTACTTCTCGAAGAGCGCGTGCGGAAGCTGATTGAAGAGGAGCATCGCGAGGTCATGGTTATTGGCGACATCAACGTTGCTGCCACGCCGATGGATCACCCAGATGGACACTTGGCTAGCGTTGTTGAGACATTTTATGACCATCCGCCTCGGGCATGGCTCCGTAGATGGCTGGACCCAAACGGACCTATGGTCGATGTCATACGGACGTTCTGGCCTGATCGGAAAGGCCTGTATACATGTGCGTAGCTCATCATCTCTTTTTATTTCTGGTCTACGTGCTCATGCATCTGCAGGTTGGAACATGAAGCTTCAAGCGCGAGAGACGAATTACGGGGCACGTATTGACTACATCCTCGTCACTCAAGGCTTGCTGCCCTGGATCAAACACGGCGACATTCAAGCATCGCTCAAGGGTTCTGATCATTGCCCTATATATATTGACCTGTACGACGAGCTTACATTGGAGTCTGGGGAGACGGTCACGCTCCATGACGCTATGAAGCAGGGCACGATCAAAGATCCTCCTCGAATAGCTGCAAAATACTGGGAAGAGTTTGCTGGAAAGCAGACAGTATTATCATCCTTCTTTGGCAAGCGGTCTGAGGTGCGACATCAGGGCGGGCCGGAATCACAACGATCTTCTGATCCGCCTGTCGTGAATTCCGCGGGGCCTTCCTCTTCATCACCAACCAGCAGCTATACCCATCCATCGCAGCCGAAGCACTCCCCGCATAAGCCTTCCCGGCCTGCATTGAGGCCAACCACCGCGAAGTCTGGGCCTAGTTCTATGACGAAGCGGAAATCTTCCGACAAGTCAGCCAACAACGGGTCAAACAAGAAGACAAAAGTAGAGCCTGGTCAGGCCGGCATCGCATCCTTCTTTTGCAAACCCTCAAAGAAGTCTCCACCAAAGGAGGCAATCGTAGTCGACTCTGATACCGACTGCGACGATGCCGATACCGCACACACGGATACCGCACACACAAGCGAAGACCATATCAGCGATTCTCGTTCTTCCCAGGATCTATTAGCATCTCAGGCTGCCCTCATTTCAGAAAGCGAAGCAACTCAGATACCCTCAAGTTCTCAGAACCACAGCAAGAGTGCTTGGTCCAACCTACTTGCCCCATTGCAGCCACCCAAATGTATCGTACATGACGAGGCCACAAAGTTGTACACCGTCAACAAGCCAGGACCGAACAAGGGCAAGACCTTCTACATTTGCTCGCGGTGAGTCTTTCTTTCGTGTGCGTACTACTGCAGGATATTCATTCCGTGCTGCAGTCCTGTCGGTCCTGGATATGACAAGGGCAAGGCAGAGCGACTGCGGGACGAGGTGGATCATCAGTACCGGTGCAACTACTTCAAGTGGGCAAGTGAAGTCAAGCGAGAGGCATTGCAGAGTCGGCAAAGCAAGAGGAGCGGTCCTGTGGGGACCGACTCAAAATCATGACAAACGGTGGGACTGTACTGTTGTACATTAAATAGCCATTCCGGATCTCATGCATGTACATCACAACCCTCTCATCTCGACTCATATACTCTCCAAGCTGTACCGTACGTTTTTCAGTGTCCAGGAGTAACCAATGTAATATTAGCACAATAGAATCCATCATGGTCCAATTACCCGTGTCTGCTTCTTGGCCGTTCCAATCGTCGTGTTGTTCACCTGAAGGGAAAGTGAGCGCTGATGAATCGATAAAGCGTACGAGAGTCCGCACCTTGGTGGCAAACCGAAGGGAGCAAAGCGACTCGTTCAAGTGGGATGCCAGAGGCGACAAGTTCAGGACCATCTGCAAGGTGTTATCACAAAGTTCCGCTGCATGATTAACAACTCACCAGGGTCTTCGAGTTGCCACTCAGAGAGTTCTGGAGCAGATACGTGAGCTGTGGAGATAAATCAGTATCAACGGCCACAATCACACGACGGAGAGTGGTCCGACCTTCGAGTTCCGGTACGGAATATGCTTGTCGGTCTTACCCTCTCCCTTCTCTCCAAGCGCAGCGATGACATCGCCAAGGGCGCTCAAGCTCTTGTTGATGTTCTGCGTCTCCCGCAGGCGGTCCTTATCGCCAGCAGCACCGCTCTTCTCGAGCCGCTCACTACCAGCAAGATCGACGAGATTGAGGCTGCCGTCGCACGACTCTCCCGTCAGGGAGTTCTTGCCGTAGATCCGCAAGGTGAACACCGAGTGCGAGCGCGAGGACCGCTCGTTCATGAGAGTGGCCGCTACGCTGCGGCGGGACTGCGCGAAGTTCAGGAGCGTGCTGACCTGTGCGGGTGAGGAGAGCGGCACGACGTTCACGTCGGTGACGGTCGTGCGGCCGGTCTTTGCATCGTGCTTGATTTCATGCTTCTTTCTGTCGAAATCTGCTTTTCCAAGAAGGTCGTTGATAGTCTCGTTGTACTACGACAGCGTCAGACCATACCGAGATTTGTCAGGCGTAACGACTCACGATCTCGAGGAATTGGCCTTCCATCTTGTACTCCCATCCCTTGCTCTTCAACTGCTCTGCTTCCCGGAAGACTTGTTCGACTGCTCGAGGGATCATTCCAACAGTCGCCTCCGTCTGTGTTGCAATTGAGAACACTGAGCATGAGACAATAAGATGTGTGTCATACCGTCCCGCCTTCCATGGTGAAAGATTTGCCAGAACCAGTCTGGCCATAAGCAAACACACAGACGTTGTAGCCGTCTGTGCAGCTCTGAGCGAGTTGCGAAATCTCCTCGAAAACCTCCGCTTGACTGGCATGCGGCTCGAACACCTCAATATGATATGAGCCATGACTGTCATCTTTGCAGGTATCAGCTTACCCGATCGAACGCGAATATCCACTCGTCCTTGCGCTCCTGTCCAGTCGCGCTTTCGCTCGACGAGCTGAGCATAATCTCTTTGTGATCCATCTTATCCGGGAACACCATGAGCGCCTTGCACTCCTCTCTGCGCCGATCCTCCTCCTCCGGGTCGTAGTCGGGAGTGCTTGAGCCACTTTCACCAGACATCAACGATGGCAAGGAGCCAGATGACGGGATGTCGGAAGACAACAACGGGCGCACTCGACAGAAAACACGGATATTGCCCTTCAGCTCTTGCACTTGGTTGTGAAGCTTGCGCCGTATGGTTTCGGCCTCGCGTGTCTCTATCTCCAATTCTACTATCCGCTTCCGCATTGACTCCAACTCGGCCTCGAGGTCAGACTTAGCCTTCATCTCTGCCTCTAGATGAGCTTGCAAGGCTGTCTGATGTGCCTGTGAGGAAGAGATCTGCGTAGTAAGCGCGACATGTGCAGTCGACTGGTGGGAGACTGTCGCTTTCAAACTGGCGACAGTCTCTCGTTCCCGTTCCAAGTCATGCTGGCACATGCGAAGGTCCTCCTTGAGTTCCCGGACTTCACGATCCTTCTTGCGCATGTCAATCTCTTGCTCCTCCAGCTCTCGAGCATGCCGCTTCCGCAGCTGGTCAATCTCATCGCTCGCGCTGTCAAGCTCCCGTCGCTGCGCCATCTCCTGCGTTCTGGAAGCAGTCAGCTGCTGCGACATGGCGAGCTGGTTTCCCTGCAGTTCCGCCACTTTGACACGCTCTGCGTCCATATCCGCAGCGAGCTTAGCGGCATCTGCAGCACGAGCAGCCTTGATAGAGGCTATCTGATCTTGCAGTGCTTGGAAACGTTTTTCTTGTGCAGACATCGGAGCGGCGCGAGCAGTCGTTGAGACTGCTCGCATAGGCGCAGATGCGGTCCTCGTCGCCTTTGCCGCGGCGGGTCGCGTAGTGACTGTCGAACGCGCTGGCACAGGGGGCTTCGCTGATGCACTTGTTGCACGCGTCGTCCGTCTCGTCGTGACATTGGTCAGTGACGGAGCCTGGGGTTTCGTGAGCGGAGGCGGCCCCTTGCCCAGCCTAGCTATCGCAGGCCTTGTTGGACGAGTGGGCTTGTTGATGTCTGCCTCCGCGATAGCGGGCAGCTTTCGTGGCTGCTCGTTTGCCATGGCATTTTCGTCCTGCGCAATGGCCTTGCGCTTCAGCGGATTTGGCCGTGCTGTCTGCGACGACGACATCGACGGTCCTGCAGGATGTCGAGAGTCGGGAGAGGAATGCAATCGTGGGAGACGGGACATCGTAAGCGAGATGAAGCGAAACCGGTTTGATGGAGAAGCGAGAAACCGAACCGCGACGCGTCGATCACGTGGGCGCGTTGGTTACTGTACCCTCGGCTTCTACCGAGTGATCGGAGACTTCCCTAAAAGCTCCTAAAAGTCATATGGTTGAGGTCAGCTTCAATATCGCTCACTTTTAGCATTCAAAGGGCTACTTTACGACACTCAAAACATAATTATGATATCTGGATGTTTCTATGTTTTGAAACTGTACGTGACGACGGTTGCTGTTCGCTTGAGGCCCAGCCAACCCTTAGCCAGGCGAGTTATCAATCTGGAGTTTTGAAAGCACCATTTCTACGTCAGCTTTGGGGATTCTGCTGCGATTGAGGTGAGCGCTGTAACCCACATAATTGTCCAACTGAAATTGTGGATCTTCGCTTGTTGATCCCAGAGAAATTATATAATTACCTTAAACATCCTTAGATTGTTCTACGCACAGAAAGCGAAGTACGTTATATTTCTCGTGCATGTAAACCTCAGGACGTATGCAAGGAGCGCCACAGACGTGAACAACAGGTTAGTATGTATGACTTCCCAGAGAGAATAGATATAACAATTGTTTTGGAACCATTGACATACACGCATGAGGAAAATATTTAGATGGTGCGTTCCGATACATAAAAATCCGATTGGAAACAGATTGATGATGACGAGGAAACAATATTAGCACATGTGCGATCCCTAGGAGGAAGAGGTCTCGTTGCGCGGGTCGTAGGGCTCTTCATTCCCAAGGTCCCATCTATTCCATGACTCACGCATCATTGACTGCAGATGCTTGAACGAGCCCTCGTAGAATATGCCGAGGCCTTCGGCTTTGCACTTTCGAAGGACGGCGTGTGTCCAGTTCTGGCAGTTCCAATGATCATCCTCAACGATATCGACCTTCTGTATCACGTTTGTCATCTTATCTATGTCGTTGCTCTTGATAATCCCCACGGTCATGAGGCCGGCGAACGGTGGAGGCTTCGTGAACTCAACGTTGTCGAGCATTTCGAAAGCAAAGTTGCCGGGGAAGCCTACGATGTTGAAGACTCGACCAAACCTCCTTTCTCCGACTTTCGGACTAGTTTCGATGGCGACCTCCCAGTGCAGAGGGATTTTAGGGTCGAAATTCGCCGACCGCCAGAACTGGATAACGTAGACCTTGTTGAAGTTCATGTTGTCAGTAGGATCTAAAGAGTCGGTGAGTTCATCACCTTTGTAGCGGCAGTGTCTGAGTCCCACCTCAAAGGAACGGATGGCCAAGTGCTTGCTAGGACGTCTGTGACGACCGTTGTCGACCCTCAACATCCTCAGTACATATATACGTCGAGAAGGGTAGACTAGTAGCCGAGGTGAAGAGATGGAAATTCACAAATTGGTGAAGTACAACCCACGTCTTCGCGATCATATCACCAGATCTGGGGCCCGGGCTTGTATCCGCAGTGCGCCGCATCTAGATGACCTTCATCCAGCTGTAGTGAACGTGTGTTTGTTGCGAAGAGTTGCCATACCGTCGATCAACATTAGTCCTCGTGTTTCCTCGCGAAAATTTCCGGTGATCGCGCTTATGATTATCCACAGCTGGGAGAGACCACCCTCTGGCTTGTGCACAATTCTCAGTGGCCCATTCTCCTTCAGCCGATGCAACGTTGCTTTCCAGACGCGTAGCCGACCGATCTGGACGTACCCGCACATTAAATCTGCTCATATCAGTGGCACAGACAACGGATGTACGCATTCTCCGAGAAAGACGCCACCCGGCCAGTGCCAATGGGCTGTCTCGCCCTGGGGCACACGGGTTTTCTCGTCACCTCAGCGAGGTCAGCAGTCCTCGCATATTCCACGAGTCTAACAGCCGCATCACCATGGGTAAATTGTGCGGATGGAGGGGAGGATCATGTTTTTTGCGTCTCATTTTCACTCACCATTCATTGATCAAATGGCTTTCGGATGCCCCTGCGCCTGCCAGGGATTGTGCGAGAGGCGGGTCAGCTGCTGTGGCACTGTATCTAATGCCAGATGCCTGGACCTTTTCGTTAATTTCCGCTAATTTTGTGCTGCTTGCGCAACCCTCGAGGCGGTGGCCACTCAGTAATTGACCTGAAACGCCATAATAAACGGCGCCGTTCAGCTACCACCTTCAGCTTATATGATCAAACTTGTCTATACTCCGGAATCCAGAAACAAGAACGCCGCTTGAGCTCGATGCTTGCAAGTTGGGTGGGATTGAGCTGTGGCCACAAAGTTGATGGCTGTCGACCGGCCAATCAACGGGCGCTCGGATGCAATCCGTGTCCTCGACAACCGGTGGCGGGCGCTTAAGTGCAGCCTTCAATGAATTCCGCATCCGGCGCCACGTGCAGCCCCCAGGTTTTCATTTTGTCTTCGACGTCCATTCCGTCTTCGTGTCCAACCGCTCATTGTAGCCCACGCTCTTTTTCGCCTGTCTCTACTGTGTCGTTCATTTCACTCAGCACGCCTTCCAGAGGACACGGCCTGCCTGAGCTTCCGTTACCCCTTCTGATAATCCTCCACCGACCGAGTCTCCATACCTACCCGGTCGTTCCACACGTGTTCATTCTTTACGACATCCTACGCTGAAGAAGTGTGCTTATATAATTGCTCGACTCTGCTGCCTTTGGGCGAAATTCTTGCGTCGTCAGCTCTGAAAATGTAAGTTGTCACTTGCTCTTGCATGCGGTTACCTAGAGCTCCTCATGTGTCCAGGTTTTGCTAGCGCTGTCAATACTATCCACGTATCCTGCCTTCCACGCTTTTGTCATCTATTGTAAGTTTCCTCGTTATTTGATTTTGTGCCTGAGACATGAGTGCTGGGAGAATTCGGATTCATTTGAAAGGATAGCCGGGTAGATTGCCGCCACGTTGTCGAGCTTGTGAGGTCAAGGGCAACCGCTCGGAACTTGCTTACTATGCAGCTGTTCGCAGCCTGGCAGTGCCAGCTACCACCCTGATTTCAAGTCATCTTTGCTACACTGTTTGCATCGAACTTTCTTTCAATATAACATGCCATCCGGCCTCCTTCCTCATCACTGCCGAGCAGGTCATCAGCTTCAAGAGTGGCGTGATTTTCCTATAAACCACGCCCGGCTGCTTCACTGCCCTTCCTTGACAGCAAGCACGATGCCTGTAGCTCAGCTAATTTGCCTTCATTTCAGCTCTATGATAGCAAGCAATGTCACTGAAGCTGATTTTCTTTTGACAGAATCGCAGTTGTCTAGCTACATCAGCCCTAAAACACAACCCGATGCAAGCAGACCATAGTTCGTCTGACAGCCACCCCAAGCAGCGCGCCACTCCCTCAGGATTACGCAGGCTCCCTGGTAAATCCCATACCCTTGACGCGCCTACTAAGTCAACCATCCCTGCCAATGGACCGCTGCGGCCGGAAAGATCTAAGACAGTTGGTTCTCATCACCTCCATTCACGTGAAGAATTCAGCGCCACGCCACTCCCCAAGCACAGCTTCTCACAGCCAACAAGTTCACCCCTGAGTATCCACTCATTCACAGACTTGGACACATTCGCACCCGCAGTCACTGGGGCGGCTTTCAGTACGCGACTGCCCTCGTCTAAACGCGCTCTGCTATCTGCAGGGGCAGTAACTACCTTGCCAGTTCGTACGCCAGGATCACACAAGTCATCTGGTGCAAGTGCGGACAGAGATGTTGGTCCTACCCTAGACATGAAGCGGCTTTTGAGCAAGCCGGCGAAGCACACCTTAGCAAGCTCATCAACTGTATCGTTGCCGTCGGACTCGGAGATCTCTGCGTCGTCACGCAGTAGAGCACATGTATCCAGGCCAATCACGGGCTTTCACGAGCGCCCCACTACTTCGCCTGGACCTGCGTCAATGCTGGCACAGAGAGAGGGCTCGAGGGATACGTCATCCTCGTCGCGTAGTCTTGCGAAGGTTGATGATCCAAAACCTCGAAACGTTTTGCGACGGCGAAGTAGCCGGCCTTCAACCCAGCCCAGCGCCGGGGTTTCTGAAGAACCCGCTCGGCATCGATCCCTTTCCTCCGCCAAGCGGCGGATGCGCTCAATGGAGACTTTGCACATCACGCCTCCAAAACCTGCAGCTGGCACTGTCCCTCTCAGCACGGCCACTCCTAGACCGATTCCTGCCGGTATCACGCCTGCAGGACAAGTTGCGCTAGCCTACAAGCAGCAGGAGCTACGACGGGAGGAGATCGCGGAGTTGTCCGGCTGGAATGACAACGTTCGGGATTTAAGCAGGGGCGTCACCACGATCTCATCCGGCAACAGGCATAGTACCGAAGGGCTGCTCACTGCGGCGGCACGAAACAATGTGCAGGACGATGAGGAAGAACAGGCTAGTGGCCCATATTACACGGTATTCGGTAGCAGTTCAGGGCACGTGGTACCGTTTGGAAGCTCGAAAGATTATTCACCTCAGTTGGATCAACGCTTCACCTTCAATGATGTTCCGCGCAAGCACCATAGGAGTTTATCACGCAAGGTGTCTGGCAGACTCAAGAAAGTGGCCGATATCGTCAAGGGCGATCGGGACTTTTCTCCATCACCAGCTCATCGTTTAGATCACGATGATTGGCGCCCGTATGATGGTTATCCGCTTGCTCCCAAGTCTCCAAGATCACCGATCCGGATGTCCGTGGATGACCAGTTCGATACCTCGATGGGGAGCATCAGTTCGCGCCATTCGACTCCGACAGGTAAACGGGGCTCTCATGGGAAAGGAAGATCCATGGGAGGGGGTTCTGTGGAGGAACGGCGAGGCTTGTATCCAGTCAAGTCTGCGAAGGACAAGGATCAAGAAGACGGGGAGGAGGAACATGCCTCAGGGAAGTTCTGGAAGCTTGTGAAGCGAATCAGCACAGGCGGATTGCGGGACAAATATCGGCATCAACGGACTTCGACGCCGCCGCCTGTGCCTCCATTACCAGTAGATCTACAGAAGCTGACAGAAACGCGTACGACCGTCGACATACGGCAGTCTCCAGTACGGGATCATACGCCCGACGAGACTTCCCAGACACTTTCTTCTCGTGCGTCGTATGCACGGGTGCGTCCATCCACTGGCTTATCACTCAAGACTTCTATGCGCCACACGATCGCATCTCGCCCTTCCACGGGAGGAAAGGCGTCTTCGCTGCCTTCTGTTCCCCATCTCAGTACAACGACGCGTTCTTCATCGCCCGTATCGTCAGACCTCGCGTCATCTGGTTTTTCTCCTAGGCCACAATCTCCAAGGTCGTCATCGTCTTCATACCCCGAGGAATCGCCATCGGGGCACAAGCCGAGCACCCCGAAGTCCAAGCTCGGGCAATATGTCATTCCTGAACATATGCTCAGTCGCTTGCAATCTGCTGGTAGCAAGGAGAATGAGCGCAGAAAACGTAGGCCGAGCCGTTCACATTCAGAGCCCGATCATCGACGATTCCCGAGCACGCCTGACGAAGAAGTGCCTTCCTTACCTCTACCATCTCGACACCGTGGTGCTGGTAGCCAAGATGTTGAGATGCCGGAACGCTCCCCGTCGCCTCAGATGCCGTCGTTCAGCACGCATGACCCTGTCAACAACTTCATTTCTACGCCGTTGGCAGCCTCTGGATCAGGCCCGCCCCCGCTGCCGAGGCGGAACCCGCGCAGAAAGCCTGCGAGCATCGAGCTTACTATATCAGACAAAGTTGCAAACGTATCCCCGAATCCTCCCCTCACTCCTCGTACGCCCCGGGCCCATACTCAGATTTTCGTCGATGCGGAGCCACTCAGTCGGACATCGACGAGCACAGCGAGGAACGCTTCTCCCACAACACAGACCTCCCTTTCACCATCCTCGACGTCCTTGTCGCCCTCGACCGCTTCGTCGCACAATCAATCTCCACTTACTTTCCGCGAGATTGAGTCTCCGCGGCATGTGTGGACGGAACAGGAGAAGGCGGACAAGTGGGAGGACCTGCTTCAACGAAGCGAACGTGCAGGCGGGACCTTGCACATTGGAGAATCGCACTTGCTTTCGGACAAGATGCGTTTGTCGCAGTGTTCGGATGTCTGAGGGGAGGTATCGCTTCTTTGTTGTCGTTTGTCGTCGACGGTCGCAGCATGCTTGTGGGCTGTACGGATGAGATGGTGGTTTCGTTTGCATTATCGCGATTATAATGTAGGGCATTCATGCGCCCTCTTTAGTCTCAAAACTTGTGTATGAGTTCCCTTTTATACCCAGCGTACGAATATCACGTTATGTTGCTATCGTTCTATGCCATAGGATTGCCATGACAGCGCACTGTTTGCATCTCGAGCAGAGCCATCGCGCCTGCGTCTGCCTTCACATGTGCCGTTGCTACCGCCGTAACGTTTGCAGAGAGATAGGTATCACTCCCGCGTGGATGTTGCCTACTAGTAGCAATAGTAAAAGCATCGTCGACGCAGAAGATGCGCTATCCCCCACTTGCGCTTGATAGTTCGCACGAAGCCGGTAGTCGCTCCTGTCCTGTCTTAGTCTATCGCTGCAGATCAAAACCATCAATTAGGCAGCTTTTGAATGCATATTCTCCCTATAAATACAATATACAATCGCGACGCAGCGAATACGATAAGCCAACTCTGATAGCGAAGAATATGATCTGTTCCAGGCGCAGTATGCATGAAGTAAGATAGTCCATGCAAAACAAATGAAAAACAACCTTCCACCCTCATCGCCTCCAGAGATCGAACACACCATTCACAACCCCCCTCTCTCACCAGATATCAGCCCCTCACGACTCTTTCGTCTCCCTCGAGAGCTCGTCAAGCCCCTCATCATAAACCCAGAACGACTCCCACTGCTCATCCTTCTCAGGCACATCCCCCGTCTTCTCATACTCCTCCTGAGCCGTAACGTCCGCGACGCCCAACGACTTCAAATACTCCTCCTTCACCGCCGTCTCGACCCGCTCTGCATCACCCGCCTCCTGACTTCCGCGCCAGAGCAATCGCTCAAGAACATGGCGCACGAGCATACGCACGAGGATATACCCATGCGACGCGGCGAGCGCGACGAGCAGCGCGCTCAGGAGGAGCTGCCGCGAGGACGAGTTTCCTTCGCTGAGATATACATGCTTGCGCTCGAGCGTCGTGCCCAGCGGCTTGCAGTGGTCCGACGGCCGGAAGAGGTACACGAGCGCCGAGTTGGTGAGCGCCGCGAGCCAGGCGAGGAAGGAGAGCGAATCGAGCCACGGGCCGATGGTGTCTGTGCGCGAGGGGATAGGCCTCCGGACGTGTCTGGCGATCTTGAACGCGTCTGAGCGCAGCTCGAACCAGTTGTTCGTGAGCGCCATCACTGGAAATAGCTCTTGGATTAGCCGCAGGCGGTCGTGTATATCGTTCAACGAGCACTTACCAGATGCGAGCGGCCAAATAGTCGACCACAGTGCGACGTAACCGAACTGTGTGACCATCTCGCTGTAATCCTCGAACAGGTCGTAGTGCGGCAGCGCCACCTGCCGCCACACCTCCTCAAGGAACTGCCGCTCCTCCTTCCCATCTGCCTCGCTCACCTGCCCATCCGCCTTATCACTCCCCTCGCAAACTTCTCTGGGCTGGTCCTCAAACGAGACTTTCTTGGGACTCTTCTTCCCACTGTCCTGTTTTTGCGTCGTGTGCGTCGAGAAGCCGAGTCCGTGCCCCCGCCGGAACGACGTGACCGCGCGCAGGACATACGGCAGGCCGATCTCAAGGAACGCATTGACGACCTGGTTCGTCACCGTCGACGCAAACATCTGGTCCTGCAGCCGCGTCGGGCTCAGCTTCTTGCGGGCACTCATCATGTCCATCTCCCACATGCCCTTACCGCTCAGCTTCCCACCGTGCCTCGCACTCGCGGACGCGGCCGCCTCCTGCAGGGTCCTGCTCGCGCGGGACTTGAGCGTTTTGCCTGCGAACGCATAGCGCAGCGCGTCCTTGATGGAGATGTTCGACGTCGGGTCGCGCTCGATGACGTTCTGCACGAACGTCATCACCTCCTCGCCGAACGGCACGTAGATGAATGCAGACAGTGCGAGGCCGAGATACTCGACGATGGCCGAGAGCGAGAACGTCTTAAGCGTGAGCGAGGCGTCATGCGTCGACTGGTGCCCATGGTCCTCCCAATTGGTAAACGCGACGGCGTACTCGTGGTAGAGTTTGAGGAAGCGAGGGACGGCGACGGAGACGACGATCGTCGGCGCAAACGCCTTCAGAAAGATCAGTGATGTGAGTGGCGCCACAGTCACACGACTCACCAGGAACCGGTGTCCGGGGCCAGTATACAGTTCCGTCACGAATGCTTCGACAACGAACATACACGTCAGCAGCGTGGCAAGCACGACTGCGAACAGTGCGATGACGGGCATGCCGGCGATCATGCGCAGGTCCTTCTGCCACCAGGAGATCGGCACGTACTGCGCACGCCGCTTCTCGACGCGGAATGATCCCCGCGTGCGCCAGCGCACGGAGAGGATCCGCTGCTGGATGCGCCACGACTCGACGAAGGCGACGGACCATAGGAGGAGTATGCACGAGTACACAGCCGAATATGCCTCGCTGAAAAAGTAGAACCACGCGCCGACCGCGGAGATGAAAATAAGGTATTTGGTGTAATACGACAAGAAGGCAAAGTACAGCGCGATCGCTTCGCCGAACTGTAGGGGAGGGTCAGCCTTGTCAGGAGCGAGCACGCGAGGGCGGACGCACATGCTTTCTGATATTGTCAAACTTGACGAAACCGAGCTCGCGCCGTGTCCAAGAGCGGATCCACTTGTCATTGAAGTCGTAGTCGTGGAGCATCATAATGGACTCGACGCGATCCCACTCGCTCGAGCCAGGGGCGATGCCCAGCCCTCCGTCGGAGACGGTCGACGTGACATATGTGTGTACGAGCCGCAAGTGGTCAGCAGGCGAGAGGGGCTCCGTATCGAGATCGAGCGTAGCAGTGGGGTTGGCAGTCGGCAGACCATTAATGAAGTCGGAATGGCTACGCGACAGTTTCAGGTTGTTCTCGTGGTGGACGAATGTGGCAACGCACCGTTCGCGTTGCGCCAGCCGTGTTAGCGTGCTCCGAGGACACGACACGAATACGAGCAATTGTCCGTCGTTCTCCCCGCGCTTGCCAACCGCCCGTAGTCCGCCTTTCTGCAGGACGTCAAGGAGCTTTGTGTACTGACTGGTCGCCTGCCGCGCATTCTCCCTCGCCTGGGGCCTCGAGAGCACCTTGCCAGGGCTGGAGCGGAAGATTAGAACTAGATCAACCTGCGGTGCCATGAGTGGTTCGCAGGGAAGATGGCGGTTTTGATCTGAAGTCTGTAGTGGCTTCGGATGACCTCAGAGTGGGTTGACATAGACTTGCCGACTTTGGACGGCCTTGAAGTGGATCGACTCCACAAACAAATTGAGCGGGCCTTTGCAACAGAGAAAGCAATCAATAAGCAAGAAGGTCACAGGAGGAGAAAGGAGGTCTTGACCATTCCAAAAAGCAAACGAGCTATTATATATATTGGGAAGCCAGCAGAGCCGATTTGATGGATCTATGAATAGCGCGGTGCGGGCGCTTAGGGCGATGTCATCACGTGGCAAGGCGCGCGCAGGTCCTCCACCACAGAGAGCTCGCGGCGACATACTGTTTAGCTGTCGTTGATATGTCTGTGCTTTAGCTTAGGTGTCCTTTGCGAGGATCTGGACAGAATATCCGGGATCGCAAGGTATTCTGTGTCATGCCATCACGGTCGCGCACGTGGCTAATGACCGAGCGTCGGTTGAGGCCGCACCTCCCCGAAGTACTCGAGGAACTCAAGTGGCGTCCCCAACCATATACGCCCGTGAAAGGGTCTTGCTCAAATGATTTGGATACGCGGGCAAACAAAGAAACGTGGTCTTGTTCAGCGAGGCATATCGACCGTATTCAGATTCCCTTTGATGATTTGTACAACATGACACGATGGATATTGAATGTAATAGCAACAAAGTATCTTCGAAGCAGGTACGGGGAGTCCCCGAACACATCAAACTTGATTGCAACGAGCAGTGTTAATCCTAGAATGTACTACCTTCGGGAGGCTGAGGAAGCTTCCTGTTGTTAAACGACGCCATCTCTCTGAGAATGCAAAGTGTTAGCAGCAAAGCGTAAATTCTGAAAGCTGATCTGCACGCACTTGCGGATCTCCACCAAGACTGTCTCGAGACTGCAGTTTCTGTTCCAATGCGCCAGCACATTCAACTTCGACGGATCCACCTTCCCGTCCACCTGGCTCACGAAGGGCAGGTTGACACGGGATACGAACTGCACTGTAGGAGGTCGATCTGGGTATTCGTCCCCGCATATTATCTTCAGACTATAGATCCGGTTCTCATGTACCGTCTGTGCGAGCGATCAGCCCCGTCTCCTTGCAGACGCCTTTCGTAGGTGATGCGCAGTGATGCACTCACATGCCCGGGGCCGATGATCGTGCCATTCCAATGGCTCATCATGATGTCGTCTCCATCCTCCAGTCCGTACGAGCACGAGCCGTCGCCGATACCCTTCTCGCCCTTCTCAAGCTCTTCGAGCAAGCGGAAGTTGCGTGGTACTGCATCGCGATAATGAGACCCTGGTCAATCGCAGCATCATATAAACCATCACCCTTTGCCATTGGGACGAGAGAAAGGGAGTGAGTGGCGGCGTAAAGAGCAGTGCAGGTGGAATTGACGACCACAGAGCCACCCGAATATGGTCAATTCGCGTTGTGAAGGTAACCTCAGTCTATGGTTCCGGTCGCCTATTCCGTTCTTAGCAGTACAGCCATCAACACCGCCGGCCGCAGTATCAATCACCACACCACTTGATCAACTGCTGCAAGTCGCATTCTTCCACTCACGGCTCTCCTAGCAACACAGTATTCAGCTCGACGGTCGCTGTCGTCGTCACTACAGAGATGTTCCGGAGCACCCAGCCCAATGCATACGATGAGATTGTCGGTGAGCATCGAGACTGCGTGCCTTTCTGGTACACATACACATGCTTGACATACTCTGCTAGCCAAAACCACAGATGAGAATCTCACCAGCGAGAACTGGGAGCTCATCTTGAATCTCTGCGACAAGGTGCAAGACGATGGAGAACAAGGGTATGTATTCATCCCATCGCAGTCGGATTCGGCCTGCTGATGTCTCGATTTAAAGTGCTCGGAACGTCGTTGCGGCCGTGCTCAAGCGGCTTGCGCACCGAAACCCAAATGTTCAGCTATACACACTGACTCTCGCGGAATCGTTGACGAAGAATTGTGGGATCGAAGTGCACAGAGAAATCGCGTCGCGCGCATTCACGCAGGGGTTGGAGAAGCTGATCACCGACCGAGTACGTCTCCATACTGTCTTGATCCTTTGCTTTTCAACCGACAGCTTTGGACAGACAACACATGACAAAGTACGACACAGGGCATTGTCGCTCGTGGCCGAATGGACTGCGGATTTCGAGAAGGACCCGACGCTGGGCGTCATGGAGGAATGTTACGAATCGCTGAAAAACAAAGGTGTGCAGTTTCATTACCTCTTTCCGTAGCAAACGCTGACCCATCATCATGCACCAGGCTACAAATTTGAAGCTCCTGACGAGCCGCCGCCGCCGGATGTCGAGGATGAGGTGCGCCGGCGCGAGGAGGAGGAGCTTCAGCGTGTACTCGAGATGTCCATGCAAGACAAGGGTGGCCGCCCGCCATGGGAACAGTACTCTCTCGCCTCCTCCAGCGGTGCTGGAGGTTCCGGTACGAGCTCCGACCACCATGATTCGACAACATCCTCCCGTCAGCAGAGCTACTCTCAGCCGCCTTCCTATGGTGGCTATGTACCCTCTGCGAATCCGGCGGTGAATGCAGACACGGTGAGCCCTCAAGGGACGCAGACGACCGCAGTTACGAGTGCCTCGCCGGCGCCCAGCGCGAGCGCGGGCTCGCAGTCCCAGAATATTCCAATAGTCACTCGCGTTCGTGCGCTGCATACTTTCGAGCCGACTGAGCCAGGGGAGTTGGCTTTCGAAAAGGGTGATATCATCAAAGTGGTGGATCGGGGATATAAGGACTGGTGGCGTGGTCAGTTGAAGGGAAGAACGGGTATTTTCCCAGTCAACTATGTGGTATGTCTGCTTTTAACGCGTTCTTTGCTGGAGGTTGATTAGTTGAGCCGATGATAGGAACCTCTGCCAGAACCAACGGCCGCTGAGATCGCGAAAGAGGCCGAGCAGGAAGCGGCTGTGTTCAGCCAAGCCGCTAATGTCGATCGTCTCCTTACTTTGCTTCGTCAGATGGATGCTTCGAAGGATAATTTGGCCGATAACGAGGAGATTCAGGTACGCCTTCCATTATCTCGATACCGTCACATCTCTTACATGATCGTGTTATGCAGGAATTGTACCGGAACTGTATGTCTTTGCGACCCAAGATCGTCAAGTTGATTGATAAGTACAGCCAGAAGCGAGGTTGGTATATCGTCCTGACTTGAGGTCGTCATTGGCTCACACACCGATGCAGCTGATCTTGTCTCCATGAACGAGACATTTGTCAAGGCCCGGACAATATTTGACCGTATGATGGAGGAGAGCCTCGCCAGACACACAGCAAGTAAGTGTCTCGCACGTCTCCATCGTTCGGGTCGGTCGTCTGACCTATCCCGCATCGCAGTGTATGATTCCCGGCCGCCCTACACGCAACCACCTTTCCAAACGTACGGTGCTCCCCAGGATTCTCGTGTCCGACCAGGGTACGCGCCCAGTCCGGTTCCCCAGCCGCAACCATACGGCTGGAATCCCGCCGGTTACGAGCGGCCAGGATACAACGCTTATTTCGCTTCCACTCCTGCACCTGCACCTCAGGCTGCAGCGTCATTCTCTCGCCGGCCCGAGGGAGCGAGTGCCGCGCAGGCTCAACAGTACGCACAACGGCCACAGACGATGTACGCACAGACACCGAGCTACGGAGCCCCGTATGGTCCACAGCCGGAGGCGCAACCGCAGGGATATCCGGGCGCCCAGCCTGGGGTGCAAGCACAGGTACAAGCGCAGGCGCAGCCACGTCCGCAATCGCAACCTCAGGCTCAATACCAACAGTCGCCGCCGCAAGCCCTACGGCAGCCCCAAGTCCAGCCACAACCGCAACCTCAACCGCAACAGCAGCCTCAGCCTCAGCCTCAGCTCCAAGCACAAACTCAGCCGCAGCTGCAGCCTCAGCCTCAGCCTGCTCAGCAATCACCGCCAGCTCGCAAAGCAGGCCCGCCGTACGTCTACGACCCAGCGGCATCGTACCCGGACCAGAACGTGCAAGCGTGGGCTCAGTACTATGCGCAGGGCGGGAAGGACCCGACTGGCGCTGTGTACTTTATCTCAGTGCCGGGCGTGAAGGAGGGCCCGGCGCAACCACGGATTCCGCGGGCTGGTTCGCAGGATGCGGTCCAGCAGCAGCAGCAGCAGGTACCAGGTCAGGTAGAGGCGGCGCAGGCGTATGTGCAGCAACTGCAGCAGCAGCAGCAACAGCAGCAGAAGCAGACACCAGCTCATGTGGAAACGGCGCAGGTGTATGTACAGCAGCAGCAACAGCAACAGCAACAGCAACCGCAGCAGCAGACACCAGGTCACATAGAGGCGCCGCAGGCATATATCCAGCCACAACAAGCGCAAGAAGGGTCCCCGTATCCCGTGGCCGCTACCGCTACCAGAGCGCCAACACAGTCAAATACCGACCTCCACGCCCAACCTGTCGTCTCGACCGTCCAGCAAGAGCAGCCCGGCGGCGAGCTTGAGACCGGGCAGCATCCGCAGCAGCAACAGCAACAGCAAGCTGGGGCCATTCCTCCAAGTAGCCCCACAGCCGACATTCAGCAACAACCACCCACGTATGGGGCGCCTTCCTATGTTCAGGCTGCCCCTGCTTACGGAGCATCGCCGCCAGCGGACTCGCCTCAGGGTGCTGTGCCGGACTCGTACGTCAACCATGTCAACGTCAACAGCCAGCAGCCGCAGGTTGGGTGGCAAGGACAGTATCATGATTTGCCGAATCAGTTTGCAGGGATAGAGGTCTCTGGGGCGACAGAGGGCGCCCAGGGTCCTCAGGGAGTAGGTGCGCCTGCGTGAGTGAGCGTGAGCGTCCGATTGACTGGAAGGACGGTTTGGAAACTTGTGGACTTTATATTATGCTGTTTGTACGGGCAGAACATTTCGGCGTTGCTGTATAAAATTGCGGCTCCCTTCATCGCTGCTGCATTCCTTACATCGAGAGATTCGTAATTTGACATCGATTATTCATTGGACCGAGAAACCTCGCAAGTCGAACACCCTGCACAACCGGTACCAGAACTTGTGATGGCCGAGATAATGCGCTACATATAGATATCCGGGTATATGCGTTGCCTTCCAATCCGTCGTTACCCTGCAATTCATGCGACCAAATGATACGATGAAAGACCTTTTGCTCATGAACAGATCGAGCAAAAAGTATTAAGGAGGAGAATATTTCGGTCTATACAGTAAGGAAAGTGTACGTTCATGATGCCAGGCCTCTTGCTCGTCTTGTCTTCTTCACGAATAGATCCTTGCCCTTTAACCATCGTACAAACCAATCTCCCACTATCACGCCCCACAGAAGGTCGTAATAAGCGACGCCACGATTCTGTCCACGCATCAGTGCTGCCAAGCGCCATCGCTTATTTTCTTGCGGGCACACGCACCTTGCCTATGGGAATGAGTATGATCTCCATGCTCCCCTTGTACGTCTTTGTCAGCGGCCGGCCCTCCAAGTAGCTCATGATGTTCGGCACGGCCACCGCGACGTGCGCGGGGTACTTCTGCGCCTGCTTCTGCTCATTACAGTCCGTGATGTCGCCGATCGCGAACACACCAGGGTGACCCACAACCTCAAAGGTCGGCTCGATCCTCACGAGGCCGCGCTCGTCGAGGACGTCCGCGCCGAGCGACGCGATCCATGCAGTATTTGGACGCGGGCCGAACGTCGGCACGATGAGGTCTGCGGTGGGTAACGCCATGCCGCTGCGCGTTGTGAGCCCGATGCCGGCGTACTCGGGGACGTAGTCCGTGAGCTCGGAGAAGACGCAATCGATGTTGCGCGCCCGCACGCGGCGTTCGACTTCTCGGCGGTACTTCTCTGGGTAGGTCGCGTTGAGAAGCATCGTGTCCGCTTGGACGATGGTGATCTTCTTATCCTGTCAGTTCCACGCGCAAGAATTGGTATACCATTCGTGTGTGGGAACAGTGGACATACAGGATACATGTCTCTGAGCTCTCCTGCAGTTTCTGCGTGCGTACGGTAAGTGATTCAGTCGGGGTGCTCAGCGCCACAATATTTGTATCCGTCTCACCGATGCCGACAGCCCCTCCGCCAATCAAGACGACATGCTGTGCTCGTGCATATCGTTTGCGCCAGTTGGCAAGGTGCGCGCGCATGTCCTCGTGGCTGTACGGGAAGTCCAGCGGCCCTGACCACGAGAACCCACACGCCAAGACGACGACGGCGTACGGCAGCCTCTCACCACTTTGCAGCACGAGCACCCTGCCCTGTCCCGGCGCCGTCTCCTCAATCGCAGTGACCCGGTCCACGACGAGTCGTCCGTTGCCGTTGATGAACAGTTTGTCGTACGGGATGAGGGCGAGGCTGTCGATGTTGCCTTCGGTGGTGACCGTCATACGGGCGCCTGCGAGGAGGTGGATCGCGAACGGGCGTTCGTTGACCAAAATGAGGTTGTATCTGGACGGATCGAGTGTTCCAGAGAGCGATCTTGCGAGGTGTGCACCGGCGTGTCCGCCGCCCACGATCACGACGTTGCTCTTCATGCCGCCCTCCTTCGACATGACCAACCGAGATGCGGTTTCGCCGTGGCTGAGCGTGGATTTCAAGGCCTGTCAGCACGATTGGCCCAAGGACAGCACGAGGAAGGGTGTCGGGACGAGCTCTGAGGGTGAAGGTGCGTTGGCGTCTGCGGCTTGGCCCGCTGACCAGCGTTGAGCTCATTACTTGTACCCTGCGCCGGCGTCTCGCGGGAGTATTGCAAGCGAGAAGCCCGGGCTGGGAGCGTGTACAGATCGGCAGCGATTGTGCGCTGGGGGGTGAACCATTCAGCAGATCATACGGACGCTGGAGTGGGAATGGCCTGCCGTTCCGTCGCGCGATTTTGAAGCTCTGCGTTGCTTCTTGTGACATATTAAGGACTGACCTCTGGACGTCTGCAACGGAGATGAAGGAGAGTTCTCAGCGTCTCGGTTGGTGAGACTCGGGAAAAGAGTGCCTTGAGTGTCCAGCAGGAGCTTGATGTGCATCATCACTGCTCTTGCTGCGATATGACTCTTTCATCAGGCGCTCTGTGTTGGCTAACTGCATATGCACTTGAAACGTGCATTAGGGACCGAAGACTGGCGTCCCGGTCGGAAACAGGTACGACAAGCAGTGCGACAACATTCATGTGGAGTGGACGTGAAGCGTCGAAACTGACAGTAAGTCTATTGTGTCCCACGTATTGTACATATCTAATACGCACCAAAAATCCCATGACTTGAGTCAGGAGGTCTGTTACGTAGAGACGGCCGTGATGCAGTGCAGTATTACTGGCAGCGCTTAGCTCTCGACCCAAGACACATCTGCCAGCGTCCGACACGTGTTTGATGCGAAGCAATCCACCGCTCAACAGCAGCTGATCGCCGCCAGGCAACAGAGCTCGGGTAGTATCGTCGACTCAGCCGCCAAAGCATAGCAAGCCGCTATGTACGAGATCAAGTCCATGAAAGTGCATGAATGCACGAGTTAAGAGTCTAACGAACCGCGTAACAGATGACCGTCGATTGTCGTTCCGAGCACATGAGAAAGTGTGAATGGGAAAGAATAGAGGCCTCCATTCGACGAAAGGGCGCCTTATATACATGGGATATCCAGCAAACCTGAGATGACAGTGACAGAAAGGAGGTCCATGCATGACATGTACCGTACGAGGAGGGGGGGAAGATATGTGATGGGAACTTTCTTGATACAGTAGTCGTATGCCTAAAAAGGAAAATTCAGTATCGAGGAATGGGATCCTGGGAAGCCGACTCGCTGGGAAAGAGACACTGTCTCAAGCCATCGTGACGTTTTGGAATATTCAAAGCGCACTGTCTCGGCCAGCTCGGTCATCGCGGTATGTAATAGTAATGTCGCCTGAGTTCGTGTTTGTGCAAAGTGGCCACAGACTCGGGTGTATTAGTAACAGTTCAGCCTCCAATGTACTTATAATTCATTACACGATACCCAGAGAGATTAGTCTGACACATAGATACAGAAATCTGTAGTTCCAAATAACAAAGTAATTTGGCTATTGACAGAATGTGGACGCGAACGGCTTACGTAATAATCGTCGCTGCAGTTCGACACCTTTTAGGAAGTAGTTTACGTAACGTTCGCCCCTCCTCCTCGTCATCGCGCTGCCCCTGTTGAGCTTTCTTGCTTTCTATCCGCTCACGTCGCTCGATGGCGTTTTCTACGTACCCCCTCACGGCAGTGCATGGGAGTAGTCTGTAATGATTTCGATGTTGATTTGCAGTGTTTCTTGCTGTTAGCGTGTACTTATTGCTTTATATATGCTCACGTCGCTTAATTATGTACTTCCTCGCGGCGGTGCATGGTGAGTAGTTGGCGTTTATTAAATGGTCTATGCTCTGATTTTGATGTTCGTTCACAGCGCTTCTTGCTATTAACATGTTCTTATTCGACGTGCTCTATTTCTTTATACCTCGGCCGCCGGTTGCACATTCGGGAGACGTCTCAGAGTGTGCACGGTCGCATCCCTCAATTGGTTACTGCTCTCCTCCGGTTGGAGGTAGTATTCATAGGTCATGCGTACACTTGACGAATGATATACATGGATTTTCGCCTTGATACGGATTGCCTGTCCTGCTGTCTCGTCGTTTGTCAGTGACGTTCAGAGGTACGCAACCTGTGAGTTTCCTCGATTCCACGTGGTCCTCGAATGTTTCATTGATCGTGCTTGACGTGCCTGCCACTGCCTTTATTGTTCTTTGCTCACGTACTTCCGTTGTGCAGTTTGACCGATCTCGCTCGAATTGTCACGGTAACACCGGACAAGAGATCAAAAAGACTAAAAAGAGACAGTCACGTGGAACGTGCCGCTCTGATCCCCCTGATCCCAAAAGTATCCCCCTGAACC